GTTTCTGGGTGCACCATGGAATGGGGAAGTCCTTTGGGAGACAGGCAATGTTCAGTGAAACTCCTTGAATAAATATGCTTTGGAAGACACTGAGTACTGAAAGGTCAAGTATGGAATAAATTAATTCTGTAATTGATAACAAGCGACTCCCAGCTCTGGCAAATTATGTACTTAAAACAAATTATTAATATTTGTTTTCTGAACTGTTTGTGATTTTATCCTCAGATGAAAAGAACCAAGGAATTTAAGATTTTGCCCTGAAATTAAAGGATGTGGGTGTTTTAACCCAGCAGCTTCTGCTTTGCTGAAGTGATTTTTCGCAGTGTTGTGAATATTTTGCATAAGGAATATTTATATTTCTTTATCTCTGAGATCAGTGTTTGTTTGTTTTTAATATAATCGAGAATGAACTCATATAGTAAACGCTGATGTTATTTAGAGGAAGCATAAATCAACCATTGATATCCTCACAGCTCCAGCAACTTCAAACCCCTCACTAAAGCAGAGCTGAAGACAGCATAAAGTTTCATAATACACAGAGTGATAGTAATGTGCTTTTATCTTTTCTATTTATTTGCAATTGTTGTCTCAGCTTGGAGGAAGAGGGAAATATTTGGATTCTGAGTTGATTACCATGCTGCTCTTGGTCCACCAAAGGTGTGAGATGCCCATGTCTACACACTGCAGCCTCCTTTGATACCAAACACAAGATCAGGAAAACAATTCCCTGGTATTCTTAGAGAACTACCTGCAAGAAGATTGCCTGAGAAGGGCTTTTCAATCTGATAAGGCTAGGAAGGGCTCTTTACAGCCTCCTGATTAAATGAATTGTCTCTTCAAGTAGCTGATGCCACTGAATCAGCTTCCAGCTCCACGATGGTGAATGCCTGATTCTGCTTACTGGGCTGTTGCAGGACTTTTAGAGGGGTCATACCTGTGAGTGTCATTTAGTGCCAGTTGGGCAGTGACTGCTCCATTCCCCTGGAAAATGCCAAGGCTGCCCTAACAAGGTAAATGGCTTAAGTCCCAGAAAAGACTATGAATATTCACAGTCATATTTTTGCCTTTGTTAAATAGCGTAAAGTAGCCGGCAGCTTCTGATTCTATCTGAATAAATTTTGGCAGCCTCAACGCCAGCTTGTCTTTGACCCTTGGATGGCATCACCCAAATATAAAGCAATGGGCTAAATGACTTGGGAGCTTTTAGAACACTGTTCAGAGAAGCGTCTTCCACTGCAAAGCAGAAAAGGCATAAATAATTTAAAAACAGCGCTTTTACTCAACTACTCCTCTTTGCTTACAAAGAAAGTCCTGGAGTTTCAGGCATGAAAATAAACATACTGAGGTGAATGGTAATGCCACCCAATGTAAAACAAGGTAAAGCATACAGGATGTAACTTTCCTTAACTTGACAGTTATATAATGAGACAACATTTACAAAATCTCTTTTCAGTTGCTATGCTGATAACTAGAAATGCAACATCATATTCTGGGAAGAATTAAGGATTAAATATTCTCTGTTTTCTAGACCATGAGAAACATTTGGGCAAGACTGAAAAATTATACCCTAGAGACAACATTCAAGCCTGGGCCATTCTTGCTGTGTGCATATACATAACACCATCAGAAGCTGCCAGCTTTGCCTCAAAAAGGAAATGAACCTCTGGTATGTTGCAGAGCAGACAGGAGTGTAAGAACCCCCTGATTTAGCCTCAGCCTGCAAAATACGGATTTAGATATTACAGTAATTTTGTTAATCTGCCTTACTGGTATTGAATTGTGTTGCAGTACATTATATTTCATCTGTAAATCTCAAGCTGCCTCGAGAATGGCTCAATGTGTCAGGAGAGGCTTTCCTGGTGCTTCAGATCTGAGTCATCAACCGGGTTACAGTAGACAAAGGTAATTAATAAATTAATTTCTCCTATGTCATGAGCCTTTAGGTTTGTGTGGCTAAGATACCTTGAAGCTTTGATTATTAGTTTACCCTTTCAAAAGTAATTTCTACAAATAAATTTCAAATGTCAAATGTATTTTATTGTCTAGAATCAGTACAGAAGGAAGGGCTGAGAAAAGCAATTCTGCCTCATTCCTTATTGGAAAGAAAATGAAGGAAAAACTCCTTTAAGAAGAGAGAGAACGAAAAGAAAGCAGGGGGGAAATATCAGGAACTAATTGGTAAACACTCCCCCAAAAGGTCATGGGAGGCAATGGAAGGAATGAAACTGGTGATGGAAATCAGCATCGGAGGCAAACATCCCAAAAATGCAATCTTCAAGAAAGCAGCAGGCAATCAGGCAGGGGTGCTGTGAGAATCCACAAAGCTCACGTCAGCACTAACCTACAGCAGCCACCAGCTCCAGTCCCTGTCACACCCAGGCAACACCCGTGCTTCAGGGAGTTGCACTCAGGGGTCAGAAACTTGCACATAACACCAAGAGCCCACCTAAAAAGAGAAAACCCTGGCACCCATTTTCCATGGTCCCAGGCTGGGATGCAGTGACACAGCATTGTCCCTGTGCAAGGCATGGTGAGAGCCTGAGATGAACTAATTTCCTTGATCAGAATAAAACGATGCTGAAAAAATAATTTTCAGGCATAAAAATAGAGGGATCAGAACACAGAACAAATATGAATCTAAAAATTATACAAACTGTTGCCACTAATTGCTAAAATTACTCTTTGTTACCAGTTTTGGAAATAGTTCTTATTCTTGCTGCATTAATAAAGGAAGGATCAAAGACGTAGAAAACTACAGTGCTGCTGCATGTCCTAAGGCAAAGTGAAGCTGTTAAATCACAGATTACAAATACACACAGGGGCTCATTTTTTAGATAAACACTTTGGACTTAAGCTGACTTTTGCTTAAAAATACTGTGTGGAATAACTTCTGCACTTGATTTTATCTGTTGCACAAGTAGACTTAAAGCCTCTCCATTTCATGCCCAACAATGGAATTGGAATAAGACCCAGGGTTTTGACTACCCTGGCTTTTCTATTTCAAACCTGGTAACTTTAAATTGTGAGATTACACTAAGAATAGATATAATTTCTCCCTCTGCCTTATTTTGGTTGTTCTGGGACACATTCTGCCCTGTATTGATAGGAGTTTAAAAATAAGTCTAGTCAAACATAAAAATATTTTTGTGAGAATAAAGTGCACACTTCTTTTACAGAGAATGTGAGTATTAGTGTCCTTTAGAAAACAAATAAGTTCAAAGGTGTAGAGGAGTAAATATTTTTCCTCGTGTTAATTCCATATTTCAGTTTTCCAGCCAGGCCTGTATCACCATTAAAGCTTTAACCTCCATCTCTTACAGCAGGCACAGGCCCACCTTCCCCAGGTTATAATGATAGCTTTGAGCTAAAATTTCTTTGTGTGACTTATCTGCATGGACCTCATTAAAGACTTCAGGCACCATGTGGATCAAAACATTTGGAAGAGCCTCCCAAGACTCTGTCCCTTCAGCACAGCAGATCAGGGAAGAGTGCTGGAGTGCACCAGCAGGGAAGGAGGTGGAAGCAGGGGCTTCAATATAAAAACCAGGAATACTTAAACAATATTTTTCTTACTATGCTTAGTATGATGGGAATGTAATAGACAACAGTGAGGATAAACCTTGTTAGGTAATGCTGGCTTCGATTCCGGTTCATCTGCTGGGTGGAGGATGCCTGGAGCTGCTCTGAGCACAGCTCTGTCCAGCAGGGTGCTGGAGGCAGTGGGGTCAGGGCTCACCTGTGGTTTGTGGCACTGCTCAAGGGATAATCCTGCCAGTGCCTTTCTGTGCCAGGTTAAGAGCTCTTGCCAGGCCCCCAGGGCATCCATGCCCTTGTGCAGCGAGCGGGCTCATGCTCACTGTTTGCTGATCCAGCTGAAAGTTGTCTCTGCAGGGAAAACTATGCGTAATGCTTGAGCAGACATGAGCCACGAGGCAGGAACATGTAGCTCACAGAGAGGAGCTACGAGCCCTCTGCTCTGCTGGGTTCAGTTTCACTTTGGCCCAAGCAAATCCAGGTAGCCCATAGACACGTCTCACTGTCAGGCTAGTGAAAGCAACACCGCAGCTTAGGGAATCTGTGTTTCTTACCCACAGGATTTATTTTGCAGGTACCAGGGGGTGCAACCAGCCTTCTGATCCAGGCGCCCGAGGATGGGTGTTCCCTCAGGAGACATGCCATGGCGCAGCTTCTGGAAATCTCAGGGGCATTGAAGAAATGTAGAGCTCAGCACCAGTGTTGACAGTGTGCAAGGACCTCATGGAAGAAGGTACATGTACACACACACAAACACAGTCACCGTTTTGGTTTCTTCTAGCGTGCTACAGAAGGCTGGAGGATGCACGCCTGGGTGATTTTAAAGAAATCTATGTGTTTTATCATGTCTGGGCGATTCTAAAGAAACGTGTGTACTTATCATGTTTGGCTACACCTGGCAGTCAAGTCACGGCCACATGTGCTCCAAAATGTCTGAAAATTCACTTTTTATCTGGTTTCGGGGGACCAGTTATCTTCACCTGCTTCGGAGGGCAAAACAAAGGGCGGGAAAACGAACAGCCCGTTACCGGGCGGCTCGGCGAACAAACCCCTCTGGTGCCTCGCACTTAAGCGCTCCGAGGACACGGGCGAACGGCAGGTGCCGCGGGCGCGCAGGCGCTCGCTCCGCCAGCCGCTGCCGGGCGGGCAGCGCCCCTTCTCCCGACGTAACGGGCAGCCAACCGCGCCGGGGGCGGCATCCATTAGCGAGATTCCAACCTGGGGGCCGTGCGCCCGCCAGCCCCGCAAGGTACCGGCAGCGGCCACGCCCGCGGCCCCCAGCGCGCCGCGCACATCTGGCGGCTCCAGCTGTGCCCGCGCCTGCGCGAGCCACGGAGGGGCGGGCGCGGCTCCCCGCACACGCACACGGGGCAGGCGCCGCCCCTCGCCATTGGCGGAGCGGCGCCTCGGTCCCGCCCCCGCGGGGGGCGGACGGCTCCGCCATTGGCCGCGCGGGCCGGCGGCGCCTCTCGGTTGGCTGCGGTGGCGCCGCGGGCGGGGCCGCGCCTTCACCGTGAGGTGCGGGAGGGCCCCGGCTGCCACCGCCGCCGCCGGTTCCGGGTCCGCGGGGGAGAAGCCGCGGAGGGCGATGGCGTAAGTGCGGGGGGGAGCCGGGACCGGGCTGCGCTCCGCTCGCCACCGGGATGGGCCCGGCGCGCAGGGGTCGGGCCCTCCGCTTGCCCTGGGCCTGCCGGGAGCACGCAGCCGCCCCCGCGCCGGGAGGAGCCGCGGTTCGGCGCGGGGCTCAGCCGGGCCGGGACGGGGAGGAGGCCTGGTGCCTATCCTTCCACCCTGGAGGGCAGTGTGGTGACCCCCGGGTGCCGGTCCTGCTGTGCTTCCCGTGGTCCCGGCCGCTGCATAGGGGAACGGTGCTAGGAGAAGCCCCTCCGGTGTCGGGCATTCTGTGTTTTCCCTCTGGCGTGGGTTAACGCCGTGCAGCAAGTCTGTGAGGCCAGGGGGCGGGAGCTCAGGCTCCTCCGGTTGTGCTTGGCCTGCGAGGGAAGTTTCCCTGGGCGGTGAAAGGCGATGTGTGCCAGTGCCTCGGGTTCTCAGAGGGTTTAACACACACACAGTGATTTAACACGACGTGCACCTGCTTTTTGGTGTGTCTGAAGCTGTAGTGGTAATGATACGTAATGATGTTATGCTAACGTGCTTGCACTTTGCATTGTCAATAAAAAACCCGATGTACTTACCAGTGTAATGTGTACGTAGCAGATATAATATGTAATAACACTGACACGGTGGAGGTGTTTTTTGGAGGTAGCAACTATCTCAGTCACAAACTCTGTCTGGACTAGTTTGCCATCCTAAGACGCATCTCCACAGCAGCCTTCACTCAACTTTGTCAAAACTTCCTAAGTTGGCAGTTTGCTGCTCTGTGTAACTTTATCAGGTTTAATATAGAAAAGGCCACAGTTGTTGCCATGTGAGTTCTTCTGTTGTGTCACTTAATCCAGTAATTCTGCTCTTCTGGCTTGTTTTTTTATTGTGGCCGTGCAGGAGTTCCCCTCCCCCCCCCCCCCCCGGGGTTCTTATGTGTAGTGAGCAGCTAAGCAGTGGGGCCAAAAATTTTGGCAACTGAGAAGAAAAACTGCAGTGGAGGAGGGAGTGTTCCTCTTGTTTGTTAAAGTATGTTAATAGGTTATTCAAACAGCCATTGATAAAAACAGTATTGAGCGTCCACTTAGGCAGTTGGCTCTGAATGGATGTTCAGGGATGTTTGTTTAGGGTCATGGCCTGAATTTGCACATTCTGGTAGTGATCAGGAGTAGGTTTTGATAGTGGAGGATCATCTGGGCTCATTGTGTGAAGGTATGGACACATTTAGGGAGAGCTTGTATCCTTTTCATGGTGTGCTGAAGTCACTCACCCGTTTAGGAATGCTGTTAGAGAACTTTGGCATGTGAAGTGTGCATCAGCTGCTGTTTGGTGATTGCTCTTTTGCACCATTTTATCCTGTGGGAAATAGGCAAGAGGTTAGTTCATGTGTTTGGTTAGCAGTGTGCAGAGTTATTCTGTGTTTACTGTGACATGTAATAACTTCTAGTCACTTCTTATCTCCTCGCATAACTTATTCTAGCACTTGTTGCTGCCCCAAAATCTTTGTGGTGACTTCAGGCTGGGGTGAACCTATAGGTAGTTCCATTAAGGGTGATGGTGTATATAGCTACAAGGCTTCTTTTCCCAAATTGTGGTGATGTGTCAAAAGAGAAATTTAGAGCAAGTATACTTCTGGAAAAATTCATAGGTATGGAGTAGATGACTTAGTTTCATAGAGTACTTCAAAGGTACAGTGCTGTACTCAAATTAAAAAAGGGGAGGAAAAAAAAGTTTTTGCCTCAAAGGCCCCAAAGACAATAGTTTTATTTTTCTCTCTAAGCTGAGGAGTGTCCATGAGGGAAATTCACAATTATTTCTACTGTTGTAAGCCTTTAGGTTCCACTCTTTGTGGATTTGGGGGTTTCTTTTTTTTTGGTTTTGTCCTTTTTTTCCTCTGCAGCATCAAAGCCTGGCAATGTAAGCAAGAAAAGAGCTAGCTCCCCTGAAGAAGTCTGGGAGGCAGGGTTAAGTATATTTTTACTTTTAAACAGTTAAATAAAAAATTATCCCAATTCAGCCAGGGATTCCTAGGCTAGAAGTGGAAGTACTCTATGTTGGTTGCCATAGCAGGAGTTTGTCTTTGATCTCTTTACTAGGAAAATTCATGTCATGTACTATTAAAAATAGATAAATAAAAGGTACCACTTGTGCTGTAAAACTACCTCATTGGGTAGGCTATTGTGAGAATGATTATAATCTTGTATCTTACTGTTCCTTTGAGTATGCTTTAATTTTGATTTAATTAATTTTGAACTTGACCTGTTATTTACTAAGCTACTGTAGTGCAAATTTTGTTTGAGTAAGGCTGTCCACACACCGGCTCAGCCAGGTGTGGCTCTGCTGGGCTCTGCTTTCAGTGAGCTGCTTCTGCTGGAGGCTGTAGTAGGATTTCATTAGTATAATTAAAGCTCTAGTTTATTTTGTTTACAGTTTACCGCTAGTGGGACTTCAGGCATGGGCAGACAGGGAGGGAAATAGACCTGATTTTTCACTGTTTTCTTAAAAAAGCTCAGAGGTAATTTTAATTTGGTACCAGATATGAAGGAGATGCAATGTGTCCTATGGCAGAATTGCTCTGTATGTGCTGTCACTTCCCTTGGTTTTTTTTTTTTTTTTTTTTTTTTTTTTAAGAACAACTTTCCTTCTCTTCCTTCCTCTTTCCTTTGCTTGTTGACTGAAGAGTAGCTGAGTTTCCTAAGCTGTGCTGGGATGGGTTTGAAGTGTTTGACCTAGCTGGAGACTTTTGGGACAGATGCCAAGGTTGGCAGCTTTTTGTTTTGTGAGATGTGTCTAATGTGCCTCTGGGTGCTGACAGTGTAGGAATATCCTGAGAGGAAAATTGTGTCTGTGTTTGCGAGCCTCCTTTATAATATCATTTACTTATCTAAACCTCTTGATTTCATAGCAGAAGTGCTGGAGACCCTTTGAAAGGCAGTGATGGAGTGGGTGATTCAGAAAATGCCTTTTCTTTCCTTTAAAGAGCTGCCTTAGGTATGGCTTCTTTTCTGAGATGAGACATCCAGACATGTTATCTACGTGTGTTTATTGAGACCGGGGGATTTGCCTCCTGTCATTTAATGTGTCACTTTGGGTGTGATTGTAACTCCACTGGCTAGTAATTGCTGTAGAAGTTGGAGTATCCTTGGAATGGCAGTTAACCTCTAATAACACCAATTAACATATATTCGATAAGCACTGGATTTCTGTGAAGATCTGAAGGATATGTCTGGCAAATTTAAACTCCTGGTTTATTCCCCCTGAGAATTCAGCAATAATAAGAGAATTGGCCATGTCCATTATTTTCCTACCCACTTCATGACCATCTAAAAGTGTTTCTTCTCAATACAAAATGCCAGTTTTTCTCCCACCTTTGGACACCTCTTTTATTCAGCTGTCTCTACAAGGGCGTGCCAGGAAAATGACTTTACAAAGGATGTGGTAAACAGATATTTCTTTTTCTTTCTCCTCTTCTTGCCCAGATCAAGACCCACATCACCCTAATGCTCCCAGGCACCGAGTAAAACATTTGCTGCCTTTGTGCTCAGCTGTAGGTGCAGGACAGACCTTTTCCAAGTGGGTGCAGCTGTCCCTGCCAAGGGCTGCACTCTGGTCACCGAGTTTCTGGTTTCTCTCCTTCCAGCTCTTGCATATATGCATGCCTCCTGTAAATTTTTAATGACTTAGCTCAAGCAGAGGTTTGTTCTTGGTGTTGAGTTAATTTGCCAGGCTGAGGTTAAAATGAGTTTACCTGTCTGATGTGATTGAAATGAGTTTGTAAAGATCAGGAGCAGCTGCTTTTGAGTATTTGGCATTTTAGGGATGGAATATTTGTGGTGAAAATTGGATCGGGCTTGTAACACTGGAACCAGGCTGAAAATGAAGTGCATCCCCCCAGGATTATAACTTCCCTTGCATTTTTTAATACCGTGAAGAATGGATTATGTGTGACACAAGTAATTAAAATTCACTTTTTCAAGTCTGTTAAGTGTGTCTTCTTGCTATAAAGACAGCCTGACTGACCACAAGGTGCAATTTCACAGTAAAATCAAGCCCTCTTGTCTTTAAGGCAATCCACTGTCTGCCACTGTCTAAACATGCATAACCTGAAAAGCAGGCCCCTAGTATTTCAGTTTGGACATCATAAATGAGGGATTTGGCCTTTATCTCTCCTTGCTTCAGATATTCATTTGAATAAAGACAACTACATGACGCCAAAAAGGACTACTGTGAAAATAAAATATGAGTATCAGTGTTCTGTCACCTCAGTGCCACAGAATATTTCTTTTCTCCTGTCTTCTGCCCAGGAGAAAGCTAATACATTTTGTATTTATTAATGTGATAGGTAGTAAATGAGAGCCACAAGTGACATAATGAATAGTAAAAATGTGTTTAAAAAATAAGGCAAGGGGGAAGGCAAATAAATCCAAACACTTATCATGGTTTTGGACTACATTTCAGCATGCTGACTGAGCTGTTCATCACAGAAGAGCAGAGACCTTGAGAAAAGTTTATAAATAAATGCAGAAATACAAATGTGAAGTTCTGGGTTTCTGTTCCTCTTGTTTCTTTTTTCTTTTTTTTTTTTTTTTTTTTTTTTTTTTTTTTTTTTTTTTTTTTTTTTTTTTTTTTTTTTTTTTGTGTATTTGCATGGTTGGCAAGAGCTAGCTTCACACGCTCGGGTCTTGTCTTTGCAAGAGCAGTTCCTTGTAGAGTTTACTTCAGAGAAGACAGTAGGCAGTACAAAAACATTCCAGTCTCAGCAGCCTGTGGAGTTCCTGGAGAGTGCAGCAGTTTGCTCTGATGGCAAAGTTAAGTTTGTGCGCAGGAGTAAATGTAGCTGAGTGTGGGCAAGGAGAGGCCTACGGGATTCATATACAGTGTATAGGGCATGGGAGAGGAAGGCTGCGAGGCCCAGGATTGAAAGCAGTGGTTACAGTGTATAGGGGCTAGAAGGTGCAGGACTGTGGTCAGAAAAAAATGCTGGTTACGGAAAGTAGCAAATATCTGTTCAGAAAAGACCGGATCTCTTCATATATGCAATCCTGATGGTCCAGATCCTTCATCCTCTGGGCCGTATAAATGTGCAGGGACATTATGAACAGTGTGTGCTCCTTCAGTCTCTGCCTCTATCCCCTTTTTATTGTGGTAATTAATAATCTAAGTGGATTAAGCACCTGATTCCTCTGAGGTGTTGAGAACTCGCATCCAGTGCAGGTGGTGCTAGTGCCTGGTTTTGGGTGCTTACACTTTTATTGCCAGCATCCTCCCTCAAGAAACTTGTTCAAGGGCAAAGACTATCCCAACAAAAGAAGAAAAGAAAAAGAAAAATCAGTGGGTGAGGATGTTAAAGGATCATCTTTCAAGCTCAAATATGTTGTATTGACACATGATGAGTGATGGGGGATTCCTGAATTTATTTGCATGCAGGTAGCAAATGGATCCCAGAAAAAAATTGCAAGTATGTCCAATTTATTGTTATGGATTGTGATGACAAAAAAAATAAAAAAAGAACACTGTCTTTATTTAAGTAGCTAAGTATCAAGATTCAATACTTTCAGTCTCCAAGTTGTCTTGCCATTGTCTTGTTTAATGATTTTTAATCATGTTTCAGTATCATGTGATTTTGAGTCATAATTTCTTAGGAAAACACTATAGTTTGCTTCCTTGATGAGATTAAATATTGGTGGTTGAGGCAATAGATAGGTAAGCCTCACCTGTTGACAGCATTTCCATGGTGGTCTTGGTCACAATAGAGTGACCCTGTTGTCCCTTATTGAGAAAGGGAGAGGACAGGTTCTTCCATCCTTTTATGCTGGAAATGTTTTGACTTTCTTCACCCTGTGATTCAGGGGTTAAAGGCTCCTGGAGGCTGCCTGCAGAGGCATCATCTGCTCCATCATACAAACTGACATGTGGCTTTTTTATTGAGGTACTGTGCATGTCTTAAAGCAAATCACAGTGCCATTATGTGATTTAATTTGCTGTTCTAAAATCCCTTCTGAAACAACAGCTCCTTTCTTAGTCTGTGTGCATGTGTGTGATGTTTATTCCTCTTATTCCTCCTCCTTGTAGGGGAGTAAGTTGGTAGCTTTTTTATCACCCCTGCTGGAAACTGGTGTTGGTTCATTGTGTTTCTTTGTTGTTTCTTTTCTTCTGTTTGCTGCTTTCATGTTATTTCCTTCCCATTCTATTCCTTCTTGAAGAAGGGATAATGAACAAATTATTAACCCTTATTCTTGGGACTGTACTTCTGTTGTTGTTTTAAACACAGGCTGTTGGTTCAGGTTACAACAGGAGAAACAAGTGCATTAAAGGCAGTTTTTTCCCAACTTCTTCCAGTTAAAATAACAAGAGTAGTTTGAGTATTAAAATGAAGAAACAGTTCAATTGTTATATTTACTGCTAACATTTGCAAATACTGGCTACTCCAAAGCTGTTATGCTGCTGAAAAACTAAGAACTTTTCAATATTAGTTTTATGTTCTATAGCCCTTGATGGAAAAACCAACAGAGCCTTCATAACAAAGGGGAATAAAGTCAACTCATATTTTTTGAGGGTTGAATACTGTCAGCAAGACAGGCTGCCAGGAGCTGGAAACTGTTAGAAAATAAAAAAGAAAAAAAGAAGCAGAAGGAATGCTTTTTTTTTTTTTTTTTTTTAGATTTGACAGATAAGGTCCAAGGGAGAACACTTCACATGAAACTAATGCAACAAAAATACTGCTGTATAATTACAGATGTTGCTGAGTTGAGCAACTCCCTGCTAATCACATTTAATTAACATAAACCCAGTTGCAAGGTGATTTTTGGGTGATTTGAAGAAGTGTGCAAGTTCATAAGGACTGGGTTTCTGTTCTCTATAACAGTTCAACCAGACAGTTTTAACAGAATGATACAAATCCACGCTTAAGCAGAATTATGGACACAGCAGATCAGGGGCTTTGGGGAATTCTCTGTAACTCCTAGAAGTGTCTCCTTTTGCCTTACCTTCTGCAAGAGCAGCGGTTTAGTCACATGTTATATTTTTGCATGTTAGTAAGCTTAATATGGCCTCATTTTTACTTGTATGTTCAGTTGCCTTTTGACTTACTGCTGTGGCACAACAGTTTTAGACATTTATTTGCTGTATGCTGTACAGGGCATCCAGGGTACTAAATATGGAAAGCATATTTTGGTATTTTGTTGATATGTAGTTTGAGGCAGTCTTGTGCCTGGAAACTGTTCCAGCAGAGATGAGTGAAAGTGTTTCTGGAGGTCTGGAGTAGAAGAAGAGGTGGCTGAGAGTCATGAAGTTGTTATTGAAGGAATAAAACAAGTAACTTTGTATTTGTGTGAAACAGACTGCTGGAGATGATTTAAGGTGGTACATAGTCCATTTTTTCCAAACTGTACCATGCTTGTTACTCATTTCAGTTTTGGAATGGTTTTCTTTTTCCTTCAGTTCTATAGGTGCTGGTGCAAAAACAGCGTAGCAATGGATCAAAGAAAAAATGATAGTTTTGTCCCAAGTATCACGCAGCTGGAAGATTTCCTGACAGAGCATGACTCCAACGTGGTTTGGCTGTTAGTAGGTAAGGTTAACTCTTCTGTTTTGGTTAAATTTCTTTTATGATATCATAACAAAGGATTAGCATGACAGTCAGCTACAATAACTTCCTTTTGCCAGTATGTGCCTACTTGCCATTTAATCTGCTGTAGTTTGGAAAGTGATCTAAGGACTACTATGGTTAATGACACAGCTTCCAGACTAAATTGTGTTCCACAATGAGCCTTTAAGCCAAGCTGTCATTTAATCAGTTATGAGCTGGATTTGTAAACATGCCTGATTTAGGTATGCTGATTTTTTTTTTTTTTTTTTTTTTTTTTTTTTTTTTTTTTTTTTTTTTTTTTTTTTTTTTTTTTTTTTTTTTTTATATACGTGTAGGTATTTTTATTTTCTTAATCTAGAAACAAGTGGATCAAGGACAGCAAAATAAATATGAAGTTGTACTTGGGTCCATATAACAATACTGAAAGTGTCCAATGAATTTAGACTTTTCCAAAGGTAGATAATTAGATAATGTCTGCTTTCCAGCCTTGACTTTTGGTCTTGGAGTGAGGGGCAACCACACAGAATGAAAAACTTCATTTTTTCACTTTCACTATTCAAGTTCAAGTCTATTGGCTATTGACATACTGGAATTATTTTTCAGTAGGTCAAATTAAATAGAAAGGACATAGATAAATTATTTGCGGGTGCTTACTGTATGCTCTCTCTTTCACTTTTAGTGTGTTGAAATGCAAAGTTTGTACTCAACATAGAGTTCTCTGTGTAGTCAAGATGAAAATAGGGGAAGTCACTGGTAGTAGCTCATGGTAAAAAGTGGAACAGATGCAAATAGATCTGAAAATTTTGTCTTCAAAAGCTTTGACTTGCTTCCTGTTATGAGGCTTGCATAGAAACACATTGGAGTGGTGTTTATTAACTGACCCAGCTTGAGCCAGCCTTTCCTCCTTTGCTTTTATCTGCTGACCTGTGGCATCCTGTTATAAGAAAACATAAAAAGATACCAGTGTTTTCCTCTCCTGAATGCTGAAACAGCTAACTACTAGTCTCAGTAAAAGGTGATGAATTCCAGAAATGAACGTGCTCCTCAAAGAGCTGTTGCTCACTTTTGGAATAATTTCTAAAAATCACATGCAGTAAAACTTTGGAAATGCAATTTCTGAAACTTGGCTTCAGTGCAGAGGCTTCAAAATTCAAGAATATAATAATGAAATTAATGAAGTTTATGGGATTTGATGAAGAAAAAGTATACAGTTTCTGGCAGAGGTGAGTCCAGTGCTGAAGGCAATGGATCAGGACTGGAAAGTGTGCTGGTTTCCCAATTTTTCTCAGTATGTTTCACCTTGAGAGGGCACCTTCTTGACTGCAGCCATCTAGCAATGCCAAGTTGAACTTTAACCTCAAATTAAGGCCCATGGACCCTCAGAGTGTGAGTCATCCCACCTTTGTCCCTCCCTACAGAGGACCAGCAGGGAGGAGCTTACTCACCTGAAAGTGGGGGAGGTGAGCACTGTCCTTGGAGTGTGCTTGCCCTTAATGCCAGCTGGAGTTTCTTTCCTGGGATGTAGATTCCAGCCTCTGTGCTCTTTCCTGTGTGATCACCTGCACAGATTTGATTTGCTTAATGTGTCAAGCAGCTTATTGCCCAAGGGTAAGAGCTGCTTGAATTTTGGTCACACTGGATCCATTTTCTAGTAAGGAAATGACAAAAGTCATGGGAGTAATTTTCACATTCTCTTTCTATTTCAACAAAGTATTGTTATGAAGCAATGGAGTATCCTACTGAAAAAAAAAATAAAGAAACAGTGGAAGAACATATAGTTTTTGTAATTTTTTTCTGTTTTTTTTTTTTTGAGTAATTATCTGAACTCTCTTCAAAGTTAAGGTGCCATGCTCCTATGCATTTCTGCACTTTAGATTTTCCATATTTTTTTTCCATTTTTTGCATAAATTAAAAAATTCTGTTACAAAGTTCAGGTTTTTTCCTTACTCTGCTTTGGGTGAAATAGAATGGTAATTATCAGTAAGGTGAATTAGAACTGGTCCATTCCTTGGCAGTGCCGTTCCTTTTGGGTTTGTCCTTCTGGAAGCTTAGAGAACCCTTGTAATTAGAAATAGGTTACTAGCTCTTAATCAACTAAAGTAAAAATTACTTTGGGGATTAGCAGTCCTAATTTTTTTTTTTTTTTTTAAATCTTGTTTCTCATTGGATTGCTATTTCCTTTTTTCCCTATCAAATTCCATGCTTGAACTGTTGAGGTATTTCTGCTAATCCAAAGGCTGGTACATTTCTCTCAGGAGGCAGCATCGTAGGAAATGGTTTTGCAAATTATACTGTTTCCTGTGATAATATATGAAAGACGAGGAATTTAAGTTACAGTTCAGAGTTTGGAGAAGAGTAGGGACGGTATGTAGTATGACTTTGGTGGTATTGGGGTTGTTTAGGGTGTTCTGAAATAAATGTCCATGTGGGACAATACATGTTACAATTCAATCTATAAAATCTAATGCTTAGATGATAAGTGATATAATAAAATAATGTGGTGCCTTCTGCAGGTCCTCTGGGAGGACAGGTTTTTTTTATATTGGGAAATGGAAGAGCAGTGAAGAATGTGTATTTTTCTGGACTTCCCTTTTTCCCTTTTCCCCCCATCTCTTCACACCCTTCTCATACCATCTCTCTGAAAACACCCATTAAAGTGTCCCATCAGTTTCAAATTTTTTGGAGAGCAGGAAGAACACTACTATGCCTCATAGTCCTAATAGGTAAGGTTTTTTATCTGGGTCAGTGCACTTTAAAAAATGCTTTAATTCATTGTAATCTTTCAACAGCAACAATATTGTCCTGCGGATGGATTATCTACCTAACTTATTATAATTCCCGGAACATTGGACTCATTTTAACATTGGTTCTTAACAGATTATATAAACATGGCTACATCCATATTGGTAAGTTATGATTAATGTAATGCCACTCTTTGTCTGCTGCTTTTTATCATACCTCAGTTTGCTAAAAACTTGAAGTAAACTCAGTGTTCCTTTGTTAGTGATTTGAAAACATTCAGTGGATTCAAAGCAGAGACTCAAGCCTTGAGTCACTGTTGAAGCACTGCCTTTGCTTTCTAAATAAGCTGTCAGAACAACTAATCACAGGTTGAGCCATACTGAGACTAGAATATGTAGAATGGATACTGGCTAGAACATTTTGCATCAAAATCCATTAACTTTTTATTAAAATATTTTAAACTTTTTTCAATAAAAATGGGTCAGTACAAATCACTTGGGCACTCACCCACTTACAAAAATACCTGGTGCTGAGTCACAGAGGGCTGTAGCCCACAACCTCACTGATCACACTTCTAATTTTCTTTCATTTACTTCTCTGCCTTTCTCTGTCTGCTTCACAGAATAGCAATAACTTCCATTCTGGACTTTTTCTGCAACTATACATCATAAATGTAGTGGAAACTTAAAACCAACAAGTCCCACTCATGCTTGGCCTGCCACAGACACCCTTGCAATTCACTTGCTTATATCCTCAAGAACCTAAGAACTGTATTCCAAACCATGTTCAAATCCAGCTTTTTTGAAGAGCAAAATAGATGAAGTACTTACTGGCTGCTACACTTGATCTACAGGCTTTTATTAAAATTTCTCTGTGAAATTGCCATTAGGTAGGGACAGCTGATATGGCTGGCTAAATATGTGGTATTCTTTATGAACCTCATCAGTGAGTAGAACCTAATGTTAATAAAATCCCATTATTTACTGCTTTGTTTCAGTTGTTTAATGTTGATTTTGGATTTTTTGGTTTTTGTTTTTTGGGTTTTTTTTTTTTCCTTTAAATTTTGTTGTACTTTTTGTGAGTGAGGTGAAAAGCCTTAGGAAAAATCTGGGCCACTGCATTACCTGCTGGTCTTTTCATATTTATTAATCCTTCTTGCTGTAAACATAATTTGTTATAACAATTGGACCAAAATCCTTACAGCCATTTAAAATTTTTTAAAACAGTCAACCAGGAGTCTTAGTTCCTCTGATTATGGTCTTGCACACAATGACTTGAGATTCTAAATGTTCTAAACAGCTTTTCTAATTCTTTTGAGATTTACAAGGCACCTGAATGTTTCTGAGTGACCCCTGAGTACCTCAGGGGTTTGGTTGTATTGTTGGGTGGTGCCAAACCCAGTATCCCTTATTTATGTACTTTGTGTTGTGAATATGTGATTTCCCTTCAAAAAGGGAACTCAAGATATCCAGTTAACCCAGTTCAGATAATTGAATGCTGTATTCTCTCTGTTCACAAAATCAACAGCTTTATGGTAATAAGCTTTTTTTTTTTTTTTTTTTTAATTAGGCTCCTTTTCATTTTCTGTGCTGTCTGGAAAAGTCATGGTGCGTGAAATCTATTTCATCACAGAGGACATGTCCATCAGGTACAGATTTCCAAGCAAGTCCCCCTCCTAAATAAGTATTTTAAATACAGGTCTAAATAGCACAAATCAAAATGTTGTTTTCCAAATGAGCAGTCTATTTGTAAGTGTTAGACTGTCTCTTTTGGTGCTAGTATTTAACACTCCTACATACTTGGGAGTTCATTTGCTGCTTTAGCTTTATCATATGGAAGTGAATGCTGGATAAGATGGTAGTTGTCTTTCATATTTGTCAAATAAACCACTTTGGAGTGTGAAGGAGAATTGTGTTTTCATTTATGTCTTTGACTCCTTCATGCTCTTGCTCTTAAATATGGAAGATTCATGTTGGCCAATAGCTGGTATTTACTTACTGAGATTCAGAATAATTTGTTTTGTGACCTGAACACCAGCAAATAGTTTGTAGTTTTGATTCTTGCTGTCATGTTTGGAAAGCCTTGAGGAGGCAATGGATATGGGGTTTTGTGTTTCAGCTAAAGCAGGAATTGTGTAACACAGTGTGCTGTAATGCTTTGTGATTTCCTGTTGCTTGTAGACTGCCTCAGCTGCAGATCTCTGCACAAACTGCATGTAGGATGTAGGATTGTAGGTCTCTCAACTTCTGTTTTATTCCAAATTATTTGATTTAGAATTCAAGATGGATTTATCATTTTTCGCTGGTGGAAGATGTACAACCCTAAGCAGAAGCAGCACGGTAAGTTTCCCTAAAAGGTTTCAAAGTTTAAATTTACAGGTAGCCTACAGAAACACATTTCCTTTGCGCAGTCACAGACATGCAATTGCTTTGTTAATGTGTACCTGAAGTACTCTGGATCCTCAGAAGATATGGATTTGTTCACTGGTTGCAGAGGAGATGAAATAAATACAGGATTCATTATTGGGGACATGAACCCTTCCTGACACAAACCATTAATCTTAATAGTAACCTTCATTAGCTGGAGTCCAAGCATAATTGTCTCTGTATTGAAGTTGATAACTATGATGAATAGAGATATCTTATGTTCTGCAAGTGATTTTAGTTTCTGAGTTTCAGTGAGTGTTGTGCTTTCAGTATTTTATCTGAAGTGTTTCAGTAAGGGATGTCCTTTTAGTATTTGACAAGCCTGTGTATTGATGATATCTGTGGTTACAGAAGTGGGGAAGTATAAAAAAACCCCATTTTTCTTCCTTATCTCTGGCTGAAGATGGATGATTAACACAGATGCAAGAGATTAATTCTATCTGCAGAAAACACAGAGAGAAAGCATAAGTAGCCTGGGCCTGTATGCCTAATCATTTATAAGATTAGAATCTTGTTGAATGAGACTTGGGTCCTGCTTCTCTTGATTTTTGGAGCCATCACAGCTCCATTGCTCATTCAAGGAGGTCCAGAAATGTCAGCGATCTACAGATGAGTATGCTAATTGAGAGGGTCATTGAACTTTGGAGGGTTTTTTTCCCCCAGCTTGCCTTTGGAAGTGGCTTCTGCTGGTGTGAAGCCTCTTCGACTTGTCAGCAAGCTCATGGAGCTGGTGCTGTGTCAGTACCAACTCAGCAGTGGCAGCAGTACTGCATGCAAAACCAGTCAGTGAATGCACTCATATCACTTTGGGCAGTGATATGAGTTTGGAAGAGCTGCTCATTTCTATTTACTGAGGCACTGCTCACCCTCTGAGGTGGTAGGGCACAAGTTAAATTCATTATATGATAAAAAAGTCATTCAAGAAGTGGAACTCAGTCTTAGAGTTAATTAGATTTTGCCAACCATGAGTTACTGTCCATCGGGTTTTCATAGGATTGTCTTCATCTGCTAGTTAAAACATATTTCTCTAGTGGCTCAGAGAATGAAAAAATGAATTAAATTTAATGCAGTGAATGTGGTTGCCTGTTCTCTATGGTGGCATTTTTGCTTGGCAATTGCAAGGCTTTAGTGTTTCCTTCTGGCATTTAAGGCCATGTGATCAGTGGACAAATAATCCAAGTAACCACAGAAGTTAGAGGTGTCCAGGTCTGACAAAAAAAGTAACATGACTAAAGTGCTCTTTAAGTGTTAAGTCATGCTGTGACTTGAGGTTTTGTATATACTTAGGAAATGCAAATGGTTTAGGAATAAAAGCTGGAGGATCATGTTGTGGATAGGGCACACCCCAATGACTTGGCTTAGGTGCCACAGCCCATTATCAATTTTCACATTGTGAAACAATCTGGTAGTTGTACATAACCTACGTAAATGCTTCTTTGAATCATTTAGTATCATGACATTCAGATTTGCTTGTCTCTTTCCTTGCCCCTTTTCTTTTCCAAAAGTGTTTTAGCCATCCAAATTGATGTGCGGAGGTCAAACCTTATTTTTGTTGTTAGGAAAAAGATATACCTGTCACTTTAAATTCCCTTTAAAGAAACAAATTAGTACATATGATTTCATTTAGTAAATCAAGTCTAATGCTTGCATCCAGGAATTGAAAAATTACATTTATTTGTGTTCTTGATGCTGCTGAGATCTCCTGGGTGAGCAATTGTGTATCCCAATCTTTGTCCGCGTCATTCTTTGCCTGATTCTTATTGATGAAAGTTAAGGTTTGCAACAAATGGATTTGATGGTGCTTTTATGGAAACAGGAAGGAACTGAAGCTGACTCATTAACTTTTCTCTGTCTCCTATTCAAGAAACCTGTGATGTCAATGTGTTCTGGATACTTACTTTCTATATGTATATATTTCTGTAACTATATGGAAATTTCTGGTGCTTTAGGTGTGTTGGAGAAGGAGTTGGTTGTTGTTGGGACAGTGTTGCAGAGATGTGTGATTTTGAGGGACAGAGGAGTTTTTTATCAATCTGGGTGCATTTAATCCAGCAGATACCTCTAAACCTTGGCTCTTGGGCATCTGCATTTCTTCTTTTGACCCTGACCACAAATGTTTGCTCTGAGTTTTAGTTTCTCTTGTCTTTGGGAAATGCTGCCTTCAGTTTGTACCCTCTGAATTGCATCTTGGGAACTGCTGTAATAACCATTGATTCTTCAGCTGCCTGAAGTCTGTTTGACTTAGAAAGACCAGATGAGGTTTTTAGAGCAGCTCAGGTCTCTTGAGTCAATGTGTAATGGGCACTCTTTCAACTGGGTAATTAGGGGGAAGTGGTGCAAGCTTTTCCCTCACATTAACTGCATAATTAGGTCACACTTTCTGAGGCAAAAGTATGTCAAAGTGTGTCACAATCAGCTCTCTATATGATCAGCAGATGTTAAAACAGATTTTAAGGATCAGAGAGCCAAGCTGATATAACAGTTAAAATCTTAAATTTGTGAGAATGTTGACTGATTGTGCAAAATGAGTATCATCTGGTTAGTTCTGCATATTAGTGTTTTCTGTTTCTCTATAAAAGAAATCTTTTTCCCACTTCAGGCATGCTGTACCAGGGAGCTTGACTAGAAAACCATTTAGGTTTTGAGATAGAATTGATCTCAGTGATATTTGTGCTAAAAAGCAGAAGTTTTTGCTTAGGTTTCTGTTCTATGCATCAAGAGGGATATTTGTTTATTTGTTTTCATACATGAGACTGAAAAACTTCATTTACCATTTTGTGCATTTTCTGTCTGGATTTATTTTTGGACTGTGACCTAGGGGTGAAATGTCTTTAAGATTTAATATTTTGTAGGCAGCTGTCTTATTTGCCAAGTTTTACTGATTTGCTTAGAATGCTGTAATTATTTTGTGGAGTTTTTTACTGCTTTTTAATATGTACTTCAGCAGCTGTTCAGTACTGTGTGGATTGGTTTTGCAAAATGTGCATATTTGAGAAACTGTAAATATTCCAAGGGAATGTTTAAATAGAATTAGAACCTCTTTCCCTCCTATTTGGTTAGATCCAAAGGCAGAAACTCGACTGTATATTATGGTGAATGACTTTGAATTTCACGTGTATAACCGCTCTGAGCTTTATGGACAACTTCAAGAGCTGTTTGGCTTGGATCCCACAATAATTCCAGCAAAGAAAGATGATGAGAGAGCACAAGTAAATGGGAGGCAGAGAACACACGCCAATCTTGAAAGGTAAATAATTATTAATTTTGCTCTTTTGTTATGCTTTGTTCTGCAAAGTGCTGAACTAATTGGGGAATGTTTTGTTAACATGTTCTCTGGAGGCCAAATGAGTGAAGCACAACAGAGAGAAATTGCACTGACAAGCCTGACAGTCTGAATCTTTTTCCTTTCCTCAGATTTCCTACCAGTAATAATTAAAAAACACAGCCAAACAAACCAAGAACTTTTGTTTAATGATCAGAGACAGGCTGAAAAATCTATTTGAAATACAGTGTGGAGAGGAAGCATGTGTTGAAGAGGATTATGCTGGCAGAATAATAATGGTTTTGCTCAGTAGAAGTAACAGCTGCTCAAGACATTGAATAGGCAAAACGTGAGGATCTCTATGGTCTTGTGTACAGCTACACAAACTGTCTTCTATTAATTCCTCTTTTTGGGCTATCCCAGAAAACATGGTGTAGAAATTGAAGGAGTTTTACATGGCTTATGTGCAGTGCAGTCAGATGTTCAATAATCAGCCTGTCTTTGGGAAGGACCTCACCAGGCTGATTTACTGTCAGGAGCAGAGAGGATCTAATGAGACTTGAGTCCTGCCACTGCTGCTGGCCAGTTGTTAAATTTCAGAGTGGGCAGCTGCAGGGTGCTGTGGCAGTGGTGAGTTTGAGTAAGGGCTCTGCCTCCCAGCCAGTCTCGTTGTGTTTTTGTCTTAAGCCCTTATTGACAGGCGCAGGAAGGATGTGAGGAGGATGTGTCTTGGGAAATGAAAATTCCCGTGCCTAAACAGCAGTATTTAGAACAGGCCAGGATCCTCTGAGGAAAATTTATTTAACTATTGCTCTGAGTTAAACAAGGCATGCTTGTTTCCTACCTGTGTCAGCACCAAGGTGTAGCTCCATGTGCTTCCTGCTGTTCTCCCAGGCTTGGGAAGCCTGGCAAGTTGTCTGCTAGCAGGTCCTTTGCAAGAGGCACCCTTCTGAGAAAGGAATGTTCCCTAAGATCTGTGTCCTGAAGACCTCTAGAAAAAACATTTGGTTATTTGGTTGATTCTTCTGCAGAAAATACAAAATAATAACCCCCTTTTTTTCTTTTTTATAATTTAGTGTTAAAGTAAAAGCAGAATCTCAAGACCCCTCTTCTTCATGGAGGTCACTTATTCCAGTCATTAAAGTCAATGTGAGCACGGTGAGTGAAAAGATCCTTATAAGAAATCTATTTATCGGTATTTGCTTAAAAAATGACACTTTCCATTCATTTTTCTTACACATTCTATTTAAAGTTTTTCTTTGCCTTTGTGCTTGGAAGAAGTTAAAATTGCATCATCGGCACTCCCCTGACATAGTCACAAATCCTGCTGGTGCTGGTGGAAACACAGTTATGTTCTAACTTCTGGGAAATACTCATGCCTTAGGCTTAGTAATGACTTCCAGAATATCACCAAGTAATTAAATTGTGGGTGTTGTACAGTATGGGGTGTGCTGATTTTTTGGCAGGTGTTTGGGGTTGGTTTCTTTTTTTTTTTTTCTGTATGTTTTACTAGGGATATTTGGACACATTGTTTAAAAGTTGATGTTACATCCCGAAACCACACCCCACCTCAACCCAAAACAACAACAGCAAAAAAGAATCAGGTCAACTGTTATTGAGATAATAGAAAAAAAATTCAGAGATTAAACTATAAGGTATTTGTATTGTATTATAATATTTGTAGATATCTGCAGGTTATGGCCAGGACTTGTGTTCATGTTCTTCATTTGCCCAGGGCTGGTTCAACTGATTTTTTATAGGTAAATAAATACTTAAATGTAAGAGATCGGTGTAAATAGATATGTAAATATAAGAGATCAGTGATTACCAGTGAGTTACTGTGTTTGCTTTTTGATTTAGGGTCGCTTGGCATTTGGGAATCATTATCAGCCCCAAACACTTTGCATTAATTTTGATGATGCCTTTTTGACGTACACCACGAAACCACCTTCAAGCCACCTTGATCAGTTCATGCACATTGTGAAGGGAAAATTGGAAAATGTTCGAGTCATGCTGGTTCCAAGTCCAAGATATGTTGGTCTTCAAAATGATGAGTAAGTTTGGGGTATTTTTGTATCCATATTGTTTTATTATTTGTTTTAAGAACACAGAGAAGATAATGTTTGTTGCACTTCAATGTCTTTATTTTACTCAGTGTGTTTAGACAGTTGCCATTTGTTACCACTCTGAAGATTTTTGATTTTGGATCTTTGAACAAATTGCATTTATGGAGAAAAGCACTGGTTTTCTGTGTTGTTCTAGGTTTGTGGGTTTTGTGTGTTCTGCTCTACTATCAAACATAGAATCATAGAATAGTTTGGGTTGGAAAGGTTTCTTTGAAGGCTATCTAGTTCAAACCCTCTGCAATGAGCATCTTCAACCAGATGAGACTGCTCAGAGCCCCCATCCCACCTGGCCTTAAATGTTTCCAGGGATGTGGCATCCTGTGTCCAAGATCTTTTTCCTTCTCTCAGGTACAAGGGCTGTACGCAGGTTTTGCCACCACTGAATTTCTAGCTGAAATGCATAGTTTAAGGTGTTGACTTTTGTAAAGCTGATTCATGGTTTAGGAAATACTAATAAAAACTCTGAACTGGGCAAAAGCTGTGTAATACTTTAAAGACAGATTGCTTATCCTTTTACCTCTGTGTATTCTGCATAAGCAGGGCTAGACACCTTGAACAAACTGAAGGAAGTCAAACACAAGCTCGAGTGCTTGCATGAAGTAATACAATAAACTGTACATCATTTGTACCTCAACTGGCTTTTTATCAGCCAAATACTGCTGCTTGTAACATGGCTTTATGTTTTTTCAAAGAACATTCTGTGGCTGTGCACAGAATCTTACTCTTCCAACATGACAACAAAGGAAATTTCTGCAGCTAATATTGAAAACAAACAAGATTAAAACAAAATAGGATCAAACTATTAGCTTTTCCTCCTGCTTCCTCTAAGTATTTGTTTTTTATGCTCTTACCATTTCTGCAGCTCCTGATGGCTGAAGGATGGCATCTGTGTACAATATGTGCTCTAATTTACTGGGCAAATTCAAGAAATTACCCAATTCCCTGGAAATGGAGGATGTTTGACTCTTTAGACCCTGCCCTCTTATACTGCTTTGGCTTAAAATTTAAGCTGGGTGTTTTAACTTGCATAAATTCCTGTAGGCAGTGAATATATAAAAAACAGCCAAGTGACTTGATGAGATTTGTAATAGACTGACAAATCAATACAAACATCGACATTTCACCTTGGAAACTGACATTTTGTTTTACAAACATCCATCTCAACACTTTTATTGCTCTTTGCAAATAAGTCCTCAGAAATTCAAGAAAAGAAAAAAATGGTGCTAGGAAAAGCAAATTAAAGCAGAAGTTTGGAGGCAGCAGGCTCAAGGTGATAGGATAGATACTAGGGAATATTTTAAAATTATAATGATAATCTCAATTTATTGCCAGTATCTAGTTTGTGTTAAAGTATTTGGTCTTTTGTTGCTGTCATTACTTGCAAAGTAAACTTAGTTTTAAGGTTCCTGCTGTGTTGCTTTTGAATAGTTTCTGTCAGTGCATGATTTCTACATCTGCTGTCTTCCATGTTTTCCAATGTTTCCTGCCTTTGAAAATGAGCTGTGGTAAAATGGACTATGTGCTCTAACAGGTCACACGCTTAAACAGTCATAGGAATTGTCTTTTTTTGTCAAGAAATGACAGTTTATGAAAGTGACTGAGAAGCTTCAATAGTGTCTTCTGCAGTAAAACCAGAATTATTAATATGTCAATTAATGTGGGAAAGGGATTGTAATATACCCATATAATAGGAGAAATGTTTAATCTTAGAGGTTTATCACTTAGATCTTTTAATATTGAGGGAAGTGTTATTGAGGCGGAACAGCTTTTTTCTTCTTTTTTTTTTATTAACTAATGGTCTAATTACTGAAAGTCTTGTCCCTTCGGTGTAGAGGGCTATTTTAGTAAGAAAACAATTAGCAGGTGAAAGAACAATATAGGACAAGGAGAAAGGAACTCTTGACTGAAAGAAACCTGAAAGTAAAACTTCTGTAGTTACTTGTGGTTTAGAATACCTGAGAAATACCCTTGTGGAGAAGAACCTGGTAGCTTCCTGCTTGAGTTAACTGGACTTTTAAGTTTTTTAATGTAATAGTTACAATAATAGCAACAATATGATCAATGGTTTGGTTTTTTCCTCAAATTATTATGCAAATCCATTATGCTTAATATGCTGCATTTAAAATGACTTGAATTCACAGAGATCACTCTTGGTGTGTGGATTTTTACTCTTCATCTCTTCACTCTTTCCCTGCAGACCACCAAGGCTGATGGGTGAAGGTTTTGTTGTAATGCAGTCCAATGATGTTGATATCTATTACTATATGGATGAACCAGGTACAATCTGTTCAATACAAAAATAGATAATTTTTTTTTAAAGGTGAAAAATCTGTATTCTAAGAGACCTAATGGAATGTTTTGGAGCCAATAGAGGTATCATAAATATGCTCTTGCTCTGACTGCCCTTGAAGTATTGCCTGAATTTTGAACAAAGGCAACACATTTGGCAATGGTGTCTACAGTTGTACAATATGTGGCATTGGATCATTTTTGGTCATATTTCTTGGCCTTCCACCTGAAGTCTGCATTGAATTGTGTCTTGATATTTACATACTGTAGTGCTCTCAAATAAAACTGACATGAAGACACTTTGCCTTGTGCTTAAGCAAACATTTCTCATGCTAATTTTAAACAGCTTCCTTTAGTAATGTGTTTATTATTTTATGTAATACAGGTCTTGTACCGGAGGAGACAGAGGAGAGTAATGATGGAGAAGCCAGCAACGAAGACAGCAAATTACAGGACCTGCCACCATGCTGGGGTTTGGACATTGTGTGTGGAAAAGGGACAGACTTCAACTACGGGCCTTGGGCTGATAGGCAGAGGTATGACCACAATTTACAGCTTTCATCTTAATACCCAGTATTACTGAGAGAACTTCCTCAAGTTTCCATTGTGTGATTGCTCAGACTTCTATTTGTGTGTTTTAGGGCAGACCAAGCCTGAAAGAAGAGTCCTGCCACAATGGTTTAAGATTAGTAAAGCCACTGGGGTTTAGCTTGTTGGCCTTCAAAAGTTAGGATTACTCTCATTATTAAATCATTAGATTATGTTATCTTTTTGTAAGCAAGGTATTTTTACTGTTTATCAAGTAAAAGGTTTAACTTGTTAATTGGTGACCTTTAGATTTATCAAGCTTCTCTTAATGTGGGAATAAACTGCATATTGATGAGGAAATTTTAGGGAAGCAGAAATCTGGCTATGAAAATAATGAGGGAGGAATAATTTAGCCTTGCTTAGCATAATCAGCTGCTTGATGTTATCTCCAAAGTATTTATTATCTAGCTATTTTAATACAAAATATTAGGCTAGAGTTGTATTGTTCTTCACTTGGTCCTGTGTGTTTTGCACATGAGCATTTCTGGTGAGGACAGTAGGATTGTTTAGAGAGTGAAGGACTATTAAGCCCAAGTGACATAATCAGTGCTTTCCCTCTTTTCCCCTGTTAATTACAGGCTGGTACTTGGCCTTCACTAATTCTCCTGTGAAACTGTTATGATTTCCTGTCTCTCAGGAGTGTGAGGATGGCAGCCCAAAGAGTAGTCATTAGATATGATAGTTCATTTAAGAGAAAATGTCGCTTTCTAGAACCCTTTGCTAGAAATACGAGGTCAGTGAATCATTAATGATACTTCTAATACTCCAAATAAAGCTTGCCCTATAATGGAATGCCTTTTATAATCTTAACTGGCTCAGTAGAAAGCAGTTTAGTGCAGAGAGCAGTTTAGAGATAGAGTTCCTAGATACATACTAGGAACACTTTTGCATCCTCCTGTGGATGCAAAAAAAAAAAAGTTTGGAAACTTTTAAGCTGCTACAATAGCCAAGTGCTGGGTGCAGGAGGGAATTCCACCTCCTTGAGACCTGTGTAATCTCTGCTGTCTGTGCTTCATCACCCTGCCTTTTCTGTCAAGTATTTCATGGCCTGTTCAGCTGTAAATCTGTAGAAATGTGGTTTCCATTCTGAGGTCCTGAAGTTTTGTATTTTCTTTATTTCTGGGCTTGCATCAATTATTTATGCACAAACTGAAGAATAAATAGGTGACTTGCTGCTATGTTTTTGTAACAGATTTTTAGAAACTAAGGATTAGGAATAAAAAGAAAAGCATGGTTTGTTTGCCTCCTGAATTAACTTATAGACAAAAGCCATACATTTTAACTTCTTACCACTGACACTTTTAGAGATTTCAATAATGAGTTTGAAGATGAAGTTGGAATGATGAAGATATTCAACAAACATTCTTCCTTATCACGTCCACTGGTTGTCTAAAGATTCAGTTCTTTAGTTGGAAGATAGTTAAATGAACCAAGTAGATGCACAAATATACATATGTATTTTTTTCTGAGAACAAAAACAGTTTTTTTTTTTTTATTCTTCTTCACTAGGGATTGCTTGTGGAAGTTTTTCTTCCCACCAGACTACCAAGTTATGAAAGTCTCAGAAATTGCTCAGCCTGGGAAACCAAGACAGATCCTTGCTTTTGAGCTGCGAATGAATATCATTGCAGATGCCACCATTGATTTGCTTTTTACCAAGAACAGGGTAAATAGTGAAACTTTATCAAGAAATTGACTTGTCTGCTGTGGTTGCACTGTGCTTTCTGCTTATGCACAGTTTTACTTGTCTCAGGTCTTTATTACAGAACTATGGTTTTAAAAGCTGGGTGATTTTTATCTTAGTTTTTTATAATTATGAGCTAGAGGCATTACTTTAAGTTTCTTTTAAGCTTTAAAGGTACATCTTAAGCCATGCCAGCTCCTGCAGTCTTGGGGCTTCATTATTTGGGCATGTCTTGTGCAATCTTAAATTCTGATGAAGCTCACCATAATGATAGATAAAAAACCAGTTTCTTCTGATACTGAATGAAGAGATGACATTAAGGGGAACAAAACTTTTATGTGTAGGAATTGGGATTTTTCTTCTACTTGTTGCTACTTTTCTAAATGGGGTACAGCATCACTTCATTGTATCTCTGTTTTGTTCTTTTGTTGGGGGGACTGAAAGGGTTGGAATTGTAGTGTTAGACATGTAAATTAGTCTGTCCTCCCAGGCCTTGGATCAGAGTATTTTATGCTGTTTCTCTAACTGGACTTCAGTCAGCATTTGTTAAACCTAAAAAAGGTGTTATTTTGTATCAATATGTATTGTTAGTTCATTAGTGATTTTTCTGAAGGCAAGAAAGACTTTATTCATCAGGTGCTTTAGTCCAGGTGTGGACAATGACAGCCAGAGGCATAAATAAACCTAGAAATCACATTTGGACTGTTGTGCTTTCTTGCAATACAGGAAACGAACGCTGTACATGTAAATGTTGGTGCAGGATCCTATTTGGAAATAAATATTCCCATGACAGTGGGTGAAAATGGTGAGTTAAGGCTAAGCCTGATTTGTTTCCCTACTGTTTTTCCTGAACAGTTAATTCCTGTGTGTGACAATGTATTTTAGTGTTTTTACTTCGTAATCTTGAGATGTATATTCCTAAGGAAAGGAACAAAAATACTTCCTTGTACAGTTCACTGCAAGACATTAAGGCAAATATCCATCAGGGTACTTCTTGGTAGTGGACTGCTGAAGTCGCTGGTAAAAGATGTTTAAATATAGATATAACTCTTGTGTCTGAACGATCATTTGGTAACTTTTATTTGCCAGGCTATTCACCTACAATTAAAGGGCAGCTCCTCCACGTGGATGCCACCAGCAGCATGCAGTACAGGACTCTCTTGGAAGCAGAAATGCTGGCTGTAAGTGTGCATTAATAAGCCCAAAGCTTCAGTCTCTACAGGATTTTTAATAAATAACAAATTTATTTTTCTGTGGAGCAATCTTTAGTTTCTTAATGCAGGAAGATACCTTTTTAATGTGTTTTGCAAGACCTTAATATATAAGGAATTTCTATATACTGACATAATTGTGCATGTGTGTAACCTTTAGTGACTTAAAAAGCACTAACTTGGTGTGTAAATTATATATTTAGAATTTTTACCTTATTTACTATGTAACCACGTGTCCATACAGGCTTTGCCTTTATTAATGATTACACTCATTAGCTCTGCTAAAGGATATGTGTGCACAAGTACTCAAAAGCACTCAGCTGTGCTTGACCTACTTGAGACAGATTTAATACTGCATTATTCTTTTGTTTGCCTAATATTTCACTTCTGCAGCAGATTACTCTTCTTATGGGTTTTTAAATTATCTGAGTGATGTTTTTAATGTTTGAATTTGAACAATATATCAATGGTTGAAAAATAACTCTTTGGGGGGGATTTCTTTGAGTGTGTTGTGAAAAGTGATGCTTTTGATGAAAACTTTGCATTTTAAATTGCTTTGTACATCTACAGCAGCAGATATATCTGAAACTCATACAATACTTTTCCAAATACGTAAATACACTAACACTTGACCTTCAAACACAGAAGGAAAGACAGGGATTAAATTATTAAGGAACTGGAAGTACCTTCTGTTCATCCCAGCATGAAAACAGTTTTAATTATTCAGCAGGGTACATATGTGAAAACTGCTGAGAGACAGGGTCAGGCATTGTCATCTTTTCAGGTAATCCTGATGCTTTAATTTCTCGTTCACAGTTCCATATCAATGCCAGCTATCCCCGGATATGGAACATGCCACAGACCTGGCAGTGCGAGCTGGAGGTTTATAAAGCAACCTATCATTTCATCTTTGCTCAGAAGAGCTTCTTTGCAGGTAACCTCTTTGCTAAATAAGTTACATGTCAAATATTCCTTCTCTGAGATTTCTTTTCAAATTTTGCTGAGTTGTGCAAGGTCAGGTTCTCTGTTTTCATGTATTTAAGGCAACAGATTTTCTGAGGACAAAGTTCCTGATGCCTATAGGATGTCCAACTACATAATAGTCTTACATTTGAGTAGAAGTACAAAAAATATAATTTTCTAATATCTAAATAAATTTAATTTGCAGTTTAGTGATCTGAAATTTATTTCTTACTAGAACTCTTACCACAGCTGCTGATTTGCTTAATATTTGTCATCCCTGATGTTGATTTCTCCTGGTATCCCTCTTTGCTTGGCTCGTTTTCAACTACTTGGGCTTTGGATTGTGTCCCTGTGGCTGACAGATGATGAGGAAAAGTAATTGGCTCCTCAGGATTCTGGCTGTGAGGAAGAAGGCAATGCAAGGTGGTACAGCACCACCCAACTGTTGCTGGAAGCTCCAGCTGCAGTAATGGAAGGAATACACCCCCATCACTGCAGTGCTGCCTGGGCTAATTAGCCCTGCTGGGAGTAAGGTTTAATTAGTGCAGGCAGGGTGCCATGCTAATAAAGTTATCCCCTGAGTGAGACCAGAGCCATTGTCTGGGTAGTGCCACAATGCCCAGTGTAAATTGCTGCCATGGTCAGAGCAAAAATCAACTTCTACAACACAAAAATCCTAAGGAATCACTCACCTGATAACTACTAACTCACTTTTTATTACTTGGTGTGGGTCCAGATTTGATCCAAGACTGGTCCAGTGACAGCGCACCTGATATTTTTTCATTTGTTCCATATATGTGGAACTTCAAAGTCATGTTCCATCAGTTTGAAATGATCTGGGCAGCAAATCAGCACAACTGGATTGACTGTTCCACCAAACAACAGGAGAATGGTGAGATCACTTTTTTTTATTTGGAAGAAGTAGCATATACAACAAAAATCATCAACAAAATACAGTATATACAAATGTATATATAGAGAAAGTACTGGAATTATACCCAAAACCTTGCTGGATAAAGAAAAGCACCAAGATATTAGAGTTATTTTTACTGTTTGCCTGCTATTTCCTTGTGCTAAGTACAGTGTCTTTCTAGAAAGAACAAGCTGTAGGTAGTAAATACTTTCAGCATAATTACAGTAATTTATTACTCCAAGTACTTTGTAGTTAAATGGTAATATTCTGTGTCATGACTTGTTCAATATCTTTTAATTACTTCTACCTGTATGTTTGATACTTTGTCTAAGAACAAAATAGGGAGTAATTTTGACAAATTTGTTTGGTTTTCCTTTTCCCTCCCAGTTTATCTAGCAGCTTGTGGAGAAACCCTGAACATTGTTTTTTCTCTGCCTTTCACTGACTTTGTTCCAACCACATGCAATACTAGATTCTCCTTAAGGGTAAGATCTTTTGTCTTGTAGATGTGAGATTCTTTCCTGAAAGAAAAATAGTCTTTTTCACTTTCAGTTCATAGAATTTTTCTTTAAGTAACCCAGAGGTTAATGGTTTCAGTTTCCTTGTATGAAACAATTTAATCACAGGCTGTTTTAATTTATATATACATATATACACAAAAATGAAAATATTTCTGAGAAATACAAACATGCATATGCTTCACACGTAGATGCAGATACACATTTAATATGTATATTTATTATAGATGCTTAAATTGTGTGTCTGTGTGTGTGTTTTATTACTTGGAATTTTGTTCCCCTTTATTTATGTAATGGGAAAATCTAATGTGTGTTCAAAGATAGAATTGAATACTGTGCTGGCTACCCCCAAACTGTTTTGGAAAGCCATGTTCCAGATTTTTAAGTGGTTCTGTAGCATAAATAATGATCACAAAGTGTTTTTAACAGATGCAGATAATTCTTTGAATTATTGTACTTTTTGTCTTCCTTAAAATAGAATCTGTCTACTGCTGCTAAAAATAAAAAAACTAGTTGATGGTGATGTTGCTAATTTGGTATCATTTGATAGCAAATAAATCAATGTTTTATAGGTTTCTTTCTTTTTAAAGTGTGGTTTAGTTGAGATGTGGAGTAAGCTTCCTTTAGTTATTTAATTTCTGCAGTATTCAATTTCTGCAGTAGAAGAACAATGATCACTAAAAGCTGTCCAGTGTTTTACAGACTGCTCTGGTTATCTGCAAGTTATTGGACTTGTAAGCCTTCAGAGCTCTTGGGATTGCACTACAACTTGCTGGGAAACAGATTTCTTGTTTAATTATGCCTGTAAAATAAAGGTGATGGCACATACGAACATTGTGCATAAAGTGAATGTAAATTAACTTTCCTGTCGCTGATGTTTGATTTTTAGGGAGAAGATGTTGATCTTCATTTGTATCTACCCGATTGCCATCCTAGTAAATATTCCCTTTTTATGCTGGTAAAGGATTGTCAGCCCAATAAAATAAGTCCTGAGTCTTGTATTTCTGCAGAGTGTCAAAGTGGTCAGAAAACGGGCAAACCCAAATGGAGGAACATTACTCAAGAAGAGTGAGTTCTATTGAGATATTTAGATATATGTTTATATCTTTATGTTGACTTTTCTTATTTTTTTATTTTGTTTGTGATTCATGAACTTTTGAGGTTGCTTTAAAGATACTTAAAAGAAGTATTTTGCTTGAAATAAAAGGGTTCTATTTCCTTTTGAAAGGGCTGGATGGGTTGAATGCTGGACAGTCCCAAGTGTTGTGTTTACAATTGACTACTCCTGGCACCCAATTTATCCTCAGAAGGCAGATGAGCAGTTAAAGCAATCCTGTAAGTGTCACTACCTTTTCCTTGTTAGCATGGTTCATTTGGGAAGCTGCTGGGACTTTGGATCACACTGCTTCCATCTGCAGAGATGAACTTGGAACTGTATTGCTGCTTTATGTCTCAGGGGAATGTGTTGATCATAAGAATGCACTGGCATTGATTTAAAACCTGACAGGATTCCATGCTGCTACATTTCAGGATGTGTCTCAGTTCCTTGTGTAAAAAAGAGGTTACTGTCTGCAGTTCACTTCTCATTGTCCTTATCAAAGTGGATCTCTTAAATGGGTTGTTGCACAAGAAAGAATATCACTTGGTATATAAAACATCGATATATTAAGGAGGAAATACAATATTTTTGGCCATATCTTGTTCCTTAGGTTTTCTAAGTTTTTTTGACTTTCGGAAGTTGTGATCTCATCTTATGATTTAAATGTTTAAATACATTATATAGAGAGATGTAATAATACTTTCTTCCCTTTATGGGTATCAGACTGCAATTTCATTGTTCAGTATTCAAGTGAGCCATCAGAAATGAGTGTCAGACTGGTCAGTCAAACTAGTGTTGAAGAATTTATTTTAACTTAACTGTCTAAATATTTCTAGGTAACTAATATCCTACAAGTATGTGCTTCCAAAAAATTTATCAATACAGAGATTAAAGTAAGTTAATTGAAATGCAGAGGGAGGTATGCTGGAGGTTACGGGGTTACATAAAACTCTTTCAGGCTGAGATTCTAGAAGCAGAACTGATGGAGGAGAGATGTTAGAAGAATAATGAGGGCTAATTTGAAAGGGCCACAATCAGCAGGTGTTAGAAGACATGCTGGATGGCATTTTTTTAGGGTTTGAGTTCCAACGATTCACATCTAAAAGAACTCTAATTTGTGAGGATGTAGCAGAAAAGGTGAGATTGATTTTGCAGATGCTCATTAAGTGCTCTTGTGAGTCTGTCAGCTTGTGTCAAATGTGCATTCTTCACATTCTGAGAACATTTCCTCATATTTGGAGCAATTGAAACCTGCATTTGCAAGTTTGTACATACACAGGTAATTAATCCGCAGCTTCCTCCAGTGGTTAATTCAGCAGTCCACCTCATTCTACTCCCTGGTGCTGATGGAATGTATTTGTTGCAGTAGCAACATTTGTATTTCATTTTGAGTCAGTCCATCAAACTCTGAGAAATATGTTGCATTACAAAAGCTGTAGTTTCTTTAAAAAGTGGTCATCTCACTGCAGCATTTGGCTGATGCATAACTCATAAGATGCTGCAAAGACTATAGACAATAATGGGGAGTTCAAGCCTTGGAGGTTTCTGGCTGCAGGTGTCTGTAGTTTTATACTTGCCAGTTCTTCCCGTTAAATTGGTACATGAAATCTTCCTCCAGCTGGAGCATCAATTTTTGATGGTTTTCCCATGGAGTTCTCTACTCCCCATCAATCAATTCACTTCCCCAAAGTACTTCCAGTTACTCATTGCATTCTCATTGCCTTTCCTCACTTAAGACAGTTTTTGGGCTCTCTTGTTCTTAAATCCAACTAGAAAGAAGGGTAGGAAATAGGATTTGAATTTCCAAACTATTTTGTGACTGGAGTAATTGAGTTGTAGGAGACAAAGTTTTGGCCTACAGAGCTACTAGTTCAGAATAGATGTTTAGTACAGCCTTGCACTTTGCATGTTTATTCTCTCTTGTTTATCCTGCAGTAGCTGTGTGGTTGTGGGAAATCTGCTCTGCTGAAATGAAAGCATGTCTCTGCTTAACTTCAAAAGCAAGATAAATACACTGAATACTTTTTTTTGGAACTTCAGGGGTTGTTTTTCTCTTGCATAATTAACATTGACTAAAATATTTGATATTTTCTTGTCTTCCCATAGTTACTCAAGATGAAAAACCCATTCTGTAGCATAGACACACTAATATAATTATACAAGTTAGGTGCCAAAAGTTGTATGTTTATAATACACATTCCTCTTGGCTGAACTTTGTCCAACAGAAGCCGAAGTTGTAATTAAAATCTATTTTCTACTCTTCTTTTGCTCCTAAGTGTCAGAAATGGAAGAAACCATGTTGTCTGTGCTAAGGCCATCACAGAAAACTGGCGACAGTGTGATTTCATCTCCCACAGCTTCCACCCGCCTTCCCCTGGACCCCTCGGAGCTGCCCCCGGATAAGCTCCACGTGGAGCTGGAACTCTCCCCAGATTCCCAGATAACCCTGTATGGACCCTTGCTCAAAGCCTTTCTCTCCATCAAGGTAGGCAAAGGAGCACGACTTGTAAAATTTATGGGTGGCCATTTGTAGGAAAGGGAAATAATTAGTTTTGAAATGGAAAATTCAAATTCTGAAGGATATGTGAATTTGGATGAAAACTTTTGGTAGGTACTAGTTCTAGTTGAGAATTGCTTTGGTGATCTGGTATAGCTGGGATGAATTTTATTGTCACAGGTTTTTGAAAAGACTTATTCTTTCAAGAAATACTGCATGTTCTCGACATGTGCAGAAAATGTCTTCTTTCAGTTTTCCACTAGTAAAATAAGAAAGTATTCCATGATTATGACTAGAACTTATCTAGACTCCAATTTTTACGCCAAGTTATACCAGAACCCATGTTTTTGGTGCATTTTAAGTTCTGCAATGTGTTGTTTTTCTTAGCTAGATTCCATGACATTTCTGGAGTTAGGATCATGGAGGGGACTGGGGAAGAACATGAGAATAAGCTGAATTTAAAAAGCTTCTTCAGTAAATATTGGAGAAGGATTATGCATCCTTTTCTTGGCATTAATCTATTATGCTTTAGAATGTGTGTTTGGTTTTTTTGCTGTCTTCTGTTCCATGGCTGATTTTTTTAGGGTGTCTAAGTTTAATTCCTTCCCATCTCTCTCACCCTCCCTTGTGGTGACAAAAGCCAAGGCAGTTGAATGTGTCTATTCTGTTTGACTAACAGCAAAATGCTTGGGGTTTGGTTGATTTTTGTGGTTGTTTTTTTTTTTTTTGTGTGGGTTTTTTGCTGGTTTGTTTTTCTCTGAACATCTGTTTCAACCTGTGCAGATCTAGGCTAAGGTAATGCTTCTGGAGGCTGGCATTTTAGAGCAGAGATTGAGACATTTTCTGAGACAGGTGATCAATATAAGGACTCACTGAAACAGTAATTTTCATGAGTTTTCCATCAAGTATAGCATGTAAACAATGAGTAGTAGAAAATACTGTTTTGTAGAGTATAGGACTTTGAAATATGCTCATTATTTTTTCATGTTGTCGATAAAATAAATAGGATTAAAATTAGGCCAGTACTGCATCTTGAAGACTTGATTTTTCCTGGTACAGAGCAAATGAAGCCATGTTTGAATTGTTTATTGAACATTCTTTTTGAATCCCATAAATTCACGAGGGAGTTGTGGCTTTTCAAGCAAAGCAGCACCATTTCAGTGCTTTTTGTCTCTGGAGATAAATGCAAACAGTGCTATGTTAGATCCCTGATTCTGTAACTATTTCATTTTTAGGTGCTGATTTCTCATGTGAAATTTAGCTTTTCTATTCTAACTCTCAAGAGAAATTTTTGATTTACAGCTTGTTTATGAAAATGTGCATTTATTGCTCTTTTTAGTATTTTTGTGATTTTCTTTAGAACTTTTAGTCCAGCTGTGCTGGGATCATCTCTTGAAAGATTTCTAGGTTTTTTTATGTTTGTTTTCCTGACTTGTGGTTGTTTTCAGTTTGTTTTCATTGATTTTTATTTAACACGTGGTGTAGAGATCCCTGGACACGCATTGTCCATGCAGTTTTGTTAAGCTTTCTAATCTTGGGAGGTAGTTTTTTGGTGTAGCACACCCTGCTAAAGGGTTTACTGTCTGGAAATGAATGCTTTATTAGGTCCTGGTATTCACATCAGGAATTGTCCGAGTGAGTTTACTGGAGCACCTACCACCCTCTGCTGGGTCTGACTTATTAAAAATCACTGGAAGAAAATTCTTGAGAGTTTAGCTTTTCTTTTAAGGGAGAAGATGTGATAGATTGCCAGAAACCTGATGGATTTTCTGTTTCCCGGTAGAATTTGGCAGTGTTACTTTAGCCTTAGATAATTGAAGAGGATTTGCTTAGACACAAGGTGGCTTTTAGCTCTTACCCGAGCAAGAAATGTTTATGACCTAGTGTTTCAAAGCATGTTTAAGACTTTTAAGCCTGATGAAAAAAAGGTTCAGAAAGTTGGATGAGGCTGACTTCCTGCAGGATGTGTTTTGTGTTCGTACTCTGTTATGTATCTTTAAAAGCACAAAATCTGTTTAAAAGTGTCAGTAATAATATTTCATTTACTTCTGTTGCACATGTCTCAAAACTAGTACTGTGAGAACTACTGAAATACCTTCATTTTCTGCGAAGCACAAAGCCTAAATTTGCACATTTAAACTATCCAGCTTTCATAAAATAGAAGTATCCATGTTGATTTAGCTGTACGTTATAGCAATGCCACTTATTTTATGGAGGATGAAAACCAGAAGATTTTATTTGTATTTCAGTTCATTGCCTGCAAGTTTTTCATTTGTTTTCCATATTATCATAACAATTCTTTTTTCTAGGAAAATTATTTTGGGGAAGATGACATGTACACTGATTTTGAGGAGGTTATTTCAAGCCCTGTTTTGTCTCTGTCAACATCCTCAAGCTCTGGCTGGACAGCTGTAGGAGTGGAGAATGACAGAAAAGAAAATGAAATTTCAGTCAAGCCTGTTCACCCTCTTACTTTACGTCCATGGGATATCACTGTGCTTGTTAATTTGTACAAAGTGCATGGGAGATTGCCAGTGGTAAGTACTTTGTAATAATAAAAGAATTTGCTTAATGTAATTTATTTTTTTTAGTTTCATAATCTGGACCACAGTTAACTGCCTGGAACATTTAATTGCTGTGGTGCTTACCAAAATGTAAAGATTATCTACCGAAATGTGTAGATACTCTCTACTTAAACTGTGCCTGTCTAAACAACTTTGAGACAGGATTTATTCTGCTTATCTGTGAGGCAGAACTGGATAATTTTTTTAATATGTTTGTTATTCCCAGAACTTGATTTGTGTGATATTTTTGATTGACCATTACAATTTCTCTGCTGATTAGCAAATTTGTCTTATAATGGTGCAGTCTGCTCTATGCTCCTGAGTTTTGAGGGGACTCCAGCATAAAAAATCCAGATAGAATATTGGGTCCACTCAAATATTTTTGAATTGTTGTTTATTGTTGTCTAAAGGTTTTTGAAGTTGCACAGACTTCTTGAGTATTCACTGAGAGGAAAATGGGCATACTTCCTGCTCACAGGTTTGCAGCTGATAGTAAAGTTTCAGACATGTTATGTACTTTCTGTTTCTGAAACGGATGTGTTTATCTTTTATTTCAGCATTGCAGTCCAGATGGTCCAGACTGCCCTACAGCTTTCTTGGAGAGGCTGTGTTTCGAGATGAAGAAAGGGTTTAGAGAAACAATGCTTCAGCTTGTATTGTCTCCAGTGAATCTCTTTCTGAATGACAATTATCAGGTAGTCCATCAGTGTTTGTGTGGTTGGATTGTGGAAGTTGTGTTGATTTTAACGTTGAATTCTTTTTTTGGTAGAAACTTTCCTGCTATGCAAAGGTCTTATTAAGGCTTGTGAATCATAAGAAAAATCTGATGCATATTTTGTAAAAATCTTTTATTTTTGTCCAAATTTTTTTATCAGCAAAATAAATAGCATTAAATTAGGCTAGTGTTTTTTTCCAAGAATTGCCTCTCACCTCCTTTTCCTTGGCAGCGCCCTGCAGTGGACGAGGTGCTCCGGGAGGGTCACATCAGCCTGTCGGGCCTGCAGCTCCGTGCCCATGCCATGTTTTCCGCGGAAGGGCTGCCCCTGGGAAGTGACACTTTGGAATACGCCTGGCTGATAGATGTGCAGGCTGGAAGCCTCACAGCCAAAGTGACAGCACCACAGGTACCATCTAGAAACCAATCTGATGTACTGAAGTATTATTCTTCTTCTTCTAGAACTGGTGCAGTGTGGATTTCTGGAAAGTGTATGATCTGTGCCTTAAGTAACCTTTACTTTATAGCTTTAAAATCTAATAATTTCTGTAAAGGGACAGGAGATGCCATTGTCAGAGTGATGTTTTAAAGTAAGAGGCGAATGAGATCATTTGTGGGAGTGTAGTATGAACAGGTCTCAGGAGTAGCTGCTCACTGCATAAATTCTGCTCCTTGTTCCCACTGGAACATAGTTTGCTTTCCCAGTATTGCACTTTGTTAGGTCAGTCTTAGCACTATCTCCTTTTAATTTTGCCATTTATGTTACATTTGTCTTTCCGCCTAGGTGAATGACTCCAAGTGTATAACAGGCAGATAATTTTGATTTATTTCTACTGTAGTCTGACAGATCTTTAAAGAAGGGTTGCTTTGCCAGTGTATTCTGAGGCACAAGAAAAGTACATGCATCCTATTTAGTAATTAGTATTTGTTTTCGTTATTTTTAATTTTTAAGACACTCCTGCATCTTCTTGTTCCTCTAAAAATTGGTATTATTTTCTAGGATTAAGCACATATTTAATTGGGGGACTTCAGCAGCAAGTAAAACAATGCATACGAGCAAGTTCAGTAAATCTAATAGCTGTTTTCTTGCTACATATAGAGACATTTGTGATGGTGCTTCCCAAAATGCTGCCACTGAATTAGAGGATCTGTAGGATTTACTCCGCTTCCCTGTGGTTCAAAATTAAACTTTGTTGATTCAGAGTACTCCAAGGTTAACAAACATTTCTTAAGGCTTAATGCAGCTGAAGTATATTCTTTCCTTATAAAGCCATTCTCAATTGTATGCAATTATATTTTTTTTAGTTTTCAGCACTTGAATTTGCTGTTTTGGGTTCATTGGCTTTTTTTCTTCCATAGTGTGATGTATTGCAAGAATTTGTGAAGGGACTACACTGAACGGAGGAGGAGAATTTTGTGCAGGACAGTCATAGCTAGATTAAATTCCATTCAAATTACTGCTGATTTTAAGTGCCCTTTCCTTTGGCAAGGCAAAGGAAACCCATTTCCCTCTCATAACAGAGACAGACGGTCATGAATCATTTCCTTTATGAGCGGGCTAACTCTATAAAAGACTTAAATCAACAATAGGCTAATTACTAGGTCTAGCAAGAATCAGCAGAGTTTCAGTGAGCCAGTTTCTTCCTGTGCTATCTAAATGTAACTTGGTTGCTTTTATAAAAGCAAATCTGACATTTAAATTAGGAATGGTAATGAAGCGCCTTAAGCTATTCTTCGCGATAAAGTTGGGGGAGCTCTGTCTTTAGAATGAAGTTCTCAGCTGACTGCAAGAGCAAAATCTGATGTCTTTCATTAAGAAATAATTTAGGAAATTGTTTACTATCACCGTGCTTTTCCATGAAAAAGTACAGAGTTGCATGTCTTGCGCACAAGAATAAAGATCAACCTTGAGTAGCAAGAAGGTGCTGCAGCCAGGAGGGTGTGCTGAAGCCTCCTGCTCACATCCCAGCCCTAGGGGTTGTTCTCTGTTCTCCATGGAACACCACAAGTCCATCTTGTGTGGGTGGTGATGGACAATGTGCTGTTGTTTGCTTACAGCTCGCCTGTCTTCTGGAATGGGGGCAGACCTTTGTGTTCCACGTGGTGTGCCGGGAGTTTGAGCTGGAGAGGCCCAAATCTGTAATCCTGTGCCAGCACGGCATCGATCGCCGCTTCTGTGACCCAAAGGTACCTTTTCATCCATCCCTGCTGCTCGCGAGACTTGCACAGGTTCTCTGGAACACTTCAGAAATCCACCCTTAATGTTAACAGAACATAAATAAAAGGATCAGCCCAAACTAAGCTCCTGATAGATGTTTATATGCTTTTTCCCTTTATTCTTTCTTTTCCCTTTCCCTTCAGACGAACTCTGTGCCTGGGCCATGCCCAGCGTCTGATGACTTAAAGTACACGATGACGCGCTTAGCCATGGATGGAGCAGATCTCTATGTGGTAGAACATGGCTGTGCCACCAATATCAAGGTAAAAATATTTATCTTAACAGCAATTAAAATACTTTGTCAATTGAGTTTTGTTTTTTTGTTAGAATATCTACCTGATTTGATGGGTGGCTTGCATGCAATGGTTTAAGCGGAATTTCTAAAACTTTTTAGTGATAAAATCTGATCATGGACTGGGCCAGGAGTAGATCAGTTTGGCTTCTATTTAATAATTGCATTAATTATGTTGGCAAGTGGTGAGGAGGGGGTATATGTCTCCCAAAATAAAAGTGGAAGCTGCAGATTTGGTGTAAATTAATTTTGAATACCCTAGGCAATATAAATCTCAGTGTTTGTACCTGAGAGTTGATAAGAACTTGTGCTCTGAATTAATAATTCAGCTAATGGAAATGATTGATATGGATCATGTACAAGTCAGTGCTGGATAACTCACAATCCTCTTGTGTGAATTTACATGTATCTTTGGTAGAGAAGGGAGTAGTGCTTGCACTACTTCATGACTGAATCCTCTGTTCAAAAAGGGCTGTGCAGAGAAAAGCTGATATTCTCTCCATCGTCCTACTGCACAGGAAAAAAAGGAATAATTTACTCAGTGTAGGAAAATAAGTTTAGCTACAGTTAAGTTATGGTAACAACAGCAAAGAAGAAAACCACCATGCTGACATAGCTGAGTAGTAATTGTGCTGTTAATAAATGCAGTTTTAAATGGTAGACTTAAAAGTTTTGGGCACAGCTTCTCATTATGACCAAGAATCTAACTAAAGGGCACTGGTAATTATTTTAAACATTTTTTAATGACGTGATATCTCATAATTTGACTGGCTTTCTGCCCTGTGGCAGTAAAGAAGTATGTTTGAGCCTCCAAATTCCTTTGAATCCAATATTAAAAAGTGCCATCATAAATATTAACAGTGTCTGCAGGCATAAATATGAATGGCAGTATTTTCAAAGGCAGCTTAATAGCCTGAACCACTCTAGAAAATTATATCCTGAATGTGTTTCATTCAAATTTAAAAAAAAAAAAAAGGTTTCCTTTATAATCTGTGACAGAGATGAGAAACAATAATTTAATATTAACCCTGTGGGTAGCTCTTCCGTGGCTGGTTTGTCTTTCATCTTTGCTTGGTTTAGAGAAGGGAAACTCCATCTGAAATTTCAGGAGCTTCATGGTGGCATTTCAGAGAGGACTGAAGCTGTGCAGGAAACCTGATCCAATGTCTTCAGATTATATGAAGTTTGAATAAGTTTGAAAGTTTCAGATTTTTCGGGTTTTAGATGACAGTGAAGAAGTTAATTATTTAAGTTTTTTAAAGTTTCATGACAGTGTCTGTTGACAGTTCTTTTCTGTTTTTATCTGTTTACAAAAGGATACTTCTAAGTAATTCTTTTTTTGTTATGTAAAAACTGCCTGAGATTAATTTCTAAACTTGCCTTGTTTTGTGTGTATGCTGACTTGCAAATAGAACTGCTTCCCCAGAGAGAATTTTACTGAGACCTTTTTGGGCTGTAGGTTGGTGTGTGTTAACTGGTTTAAGGCCACTCTTCTTTGCTTCACTGACAAACAGTCAGAGTTCCTGTTTAAATTCTGTTTCCAGATGGGTGCCATACGCATTGCAAACTGCAACCTCCACAACCAGTCTGTCGGGGAAGGCATCAGTGCTGCCATCCAGGACCTGCAGCTCAGGCAATACGTCGAGCAGGTGAACAACTGCAGAACTGGCCTCCAGCCAATACTGAGGAGGGCATACTGGCTGGAAGCTGGCTCTGTCAACCTGGGCCTCATCACTGCTGACATTGCTTTAGCTGCAGATCATCCTTCTAAACACGAGGTGCAGAGGCATTTCTTGGAAACGCATGATAACCGAACCAAGAGGTGAGTGATGCGGTCAAGGGAGGTGCATTTGAGAGGAATATTTGTTAATCTTGCTTTCACTAAGCTTCAGTGTGGTCATGGTGTTTTGTTTTCGGCTCTCCTTCCTCTTGTAGGTTGTGGTTTTTGTGGCCTGATGATAATTTGAGAAATAAGAGAAGCAAGAACAAGTGTGGCTGTCTCGGAGGCTGTCGATTCTTCGGTGGCACCTTAACAGGACTGGATTTTTTCAAACTTGAAGAACTGACACCTTCAAGCAGCTCTGCTTTCTCAAGCACAAGTGCAGAATCTGATATGTTTTATGGGCAGTCCTTACTGCAGCCAGGAGAATGGATAATAACAAAGGAGATTCCTAAAATTTTAGATGGTGAGAGAACACACTGTACTGTATTTTTACTCTATTTTGCCCAAAAACATAAATTCTTAATGTTTTGCTATTTATAGTCTTTATGAATCTGATTAATAAAGTACAATTGCTTGTGCTCTAGTGACCTGACTCCTTCTAAGACCAGACAGAGCTTGAGCAAGCTTTCATATGCTGGATTTTTATATTAATGTGCACTTCCTTGCTGAGCAAAAAGGAGATTTTTGACTTGTTCTACTTAAATAGAAAGTAGCCAACTGGGACAATCTGATGTTTTGCTGACGTGATTTTATTAATTTTTGTCAGGACAGCATGCTAGTATGTGCATGCATATCAAAACTAGGGCTTTTATTTAATAATGATTTTTATTTCAGTAGTCAGGGAAGAGTCCAGTTGTGTTATCAGATATTCAGTTTTTCTTTTCCTTCCCTGATCCTAGGTAAAGCAAATGGTGTCAAAAGAAAAGACTGGGACTGCAGATCTGTGGGGATAGAAGTGGAAAGGAAAGCGCAACACCTGAGCCTCCAAGTGCCGCTGCGCTCCCACAGCTCCTCCTCCTCTTCAGAGGAAACAAGCAGCTCCAGTGCTGCCCTGCCCTTGCTTGCAGGGGAGAAGGACAGCCCCTCATCCACTGCTGAGGATCACCTGGGACAGAAGGAGTTCCTGCCCAGTGCAAAAAGGGAAGATGCTCATGGAAGGTTAGTAGTCTTGTCCAGGTAGGCATATAATTCTACTCTTGAATGCTCTAAGATGTAAGAACAGCCTTTGATTTAGCTATTTTTCAAGTGTTAATGATGCTGCTGAAATGTGAAATGTGTTTCCTAGTTGGAATGCTGATTTGGACCTCTAATAGGGGATGATTACCTGAGCAAGGGAGAAAATCCAGCATGTAAAGATACCCGCACTTGCTGTTAAATGTTTGGTTTTACATCCTCTGTATGTAGACAAGTGGCGGAGTTCAGTATGTAACGAGCATTATGAAAATAATAGCTGTGCTAATAGAGAGTCACAGAATCACTGGTGCATTTGGCAGCTGCTACAGTGCAGGAAGAGAATCATTAGTAATGAAATAAGCAAGTGAGGTGTTTATTTCTGTTCCCAGTGTGACGGTGGAGGGTGCAGAGGGCCGGCCTGCATCCCCTGGCCCCCAGGAGAGGCCCGTGGGCCAGTCCCCTATGAGGTCCCCCCTGAAGAGACAAGCGTCCGTGTGCTCCACGCGGCTGGGCAGCACCAAGAGCCTGACGGCAGCGTTCTACGGGGACAAGCAGCCCGTCCCTGTGGGAGTGCAGTTCAGCAGCGACGTGTCCCGCAGCGACGAGAACGTCCTGGACTCCCCAAAGCAGAGGAGGAGCTTTGGCTCTTTCCCCTACACGCCGTCAGCAGATTCAAACTCGTTCCACCAGTACCGCTCCATGGATTCCAGCATGTCCATGGCGGATAGCGAGGCTTATTTTTCAGCTGCAGAAGAGTTTGAGCCAATAAGCAGTGATGAAGGTCCAGGAACCTATCCAGGGAGGAAGAAGAGAAAAAAGCAAGCTCAGAAAGCTGAATACAGTAGGGGGTCTATTTATCACAGCGTGGAAGGACCCTTAACAAGCACAATCCATAGAGAAATCAGTCAAGACATGAAAACATTGCCAATTAAGACTCATCCTTCCCAGGCTTCATTTGTTTCAGCTCTGGGAGGAGATGATGAACACGTTGACAACATGTACATCCTGGACTCTGAGAAGACTGTGGAACGTGAGCAAATCACTTCCCAGCAACCTGTAATGGCATGTTACCAAAATTACCTGACACAGTTCCAGGTGACCAACTGGTCAGTAAAGCATCCAACTAACAAAAGAACTTCCAAATCCTCGTTGCATCGCCCTTTAGATCTTGACACACCAACGAGTGAGGAAAGTTCCTCATCTTTTGAGCAACTCTCTGTCCCAACTTTTAAGGTATGGAAGATGGAGGAGTAGAGAAAGAATTCAAAATAACTTAAAATTACTTAGTACCAGTTGTGTGAATAAGCTACAAGAAACTTGAAATTTCTTTGCTTTTAGTTAAACGTTGAGTTTCTGACTTCAGATCATGGGTCTGAGTGGCTGTAAGGTTGTGGTCAGAAAAAGATGGAGTTAGAATTCTGTGGATGTGTGTTCTGAATTATCGTTGTTGTACATAAAAATGCTGTCTGTTGAATGATATGCAGCTGGAGGACATTTGTGAGTTTTGTTTAAAATACATTATACAGAACTGCAACAGCAGTACAGTTGAGACTGATAAAGTATAATTCAGGCTCTCAGTCCTTTGTTTCAAAATTAAATTGCAACTTAGATTTAGGAAATTATTTTTTTAAGTGACCTGAGCATATATGCTTAAGGAAGGAGCTGAACTGAAATATATGAAAAAAAAAAATGGAAGTTACTTGATAAAAAACAGGTGTTTTATATCACTCTGGAATTGAATTTATAATTTTGCAGAAAATGTTTGTTTGATGCAAACCTTATGTAGATTAGTATTTGAAGGGGTTTTTTAAAAGCAATAAATTAATGTTTATGTAAAAGCAGTGTAATATGATTTTTCAAGGAATTTAAAAAGCAAACCTAGGAGTTCCTGTAACCTGTATTGGATAATCTAAGAGTTCTTTTAAGAAAAACAGCTTTAAGGGGAATTTTAAAAGATCCCTTGGTTGGGGTTTTTATCATTTGTGGAAGCAATGTAATAAACTTCTTTGCACTTTTATCTTAGATTGTTAAACAGGGTCTCACAGCTAATTCATTACTGGACAGAGGCATGCAGCTTACAGGATCAACATCTAAGTAAGTTGAACACATAATGTATGTTACATTATTGGCATATTTTTCAAGAGTAGGATTTTCCTATACTCTTCTGAAATATTTTGGCTCCCGCTAGCCCTTGCAAAATTTGATTTACAGCAGTAGTTTTCAGTACCAGATCTACTTTAGAACAGGTCACTGTATTATGAAATATTTGGGTTTGGTTGAGCAGAAAGTACACAGTGTAAGCATTAAATTATTTCATCTGTATGTTTTCAAGATTACGAATGGTGATTTCATTTAGATGAATTTGGAGGTGCTATTGACAAGTGTCCATTTCATTGCCAGAAGCTTAACTTGAATTTAGGGAGGGCCTTACCCTGGGATTGCAAGATGTACAGTAGAAGAAACCTGTTGTTATGTGGATTTTATTAAGAGTTAAAATGATATCAGAACACTTTTGTATTTGTTTTTACAAAGCCTGATCATTGATGTGTGTTTGACTTGTTTAGCACACCTTACACTCCCTTGGATAAGAAGTCTGCAGAGAATACGGATGATGAAACAATAACAGAGGAATGGACGTTGGATCACCCGGTCTTCCAGACACGGACAACGGCAATCGTGGAAGTAAAAGGAACTGTAGATGTAGTTCTCACTCCTCTTGTAGCAGAGGCACTGGACAGGTAATTTTATTTTGATGGTACTAAAAATTGTCTAAAATCACAGCTGTTTCGTTCAGCAAAGGCTTGGGTAAAACAATTGAATAGCGTGGCTGTCGCAACAGCAGGGCCTGGTGCCCACCCACCGGATGTAATTCTGCATTTCCTATTAGGTGGCTGGAAGAATGGGAAGTGCCCTTTGTGTCTGTCAGTGCTTGTTTTTCCTCTGTAGTGTTAATTGCATGAGGCTGTTGGTATGCCATGTGAAGCTGGGAGTTTCAGTGGTCTCTTGTGGCTGTTTTCCCCTCACAGGTACATCGAGGCCATGGTGCACTGTGCCAGCTCCCGGCACCCAGCAGCAATCGTGGATGACCTGCACTGCAAAGTCCTGAGGGATGCTGTGCAGAACAGCAAGACCAGCTTCTCAGAAAATGTGAGGAAGGGACAAGGAAATCCACATTGATTTAAGAGAATGCTCTTTTCTTTATCTTACATAGAAAGTGTTTTAACTGAATTTAGTGTTTTGAGATATAATAGTTAAATGCTGTATTAATTTGGAATGCATACTTACATGGATTTTCATAATCAGGTCTTACATATTGTCTTTCAATGTCCAGAAGTCTTTTACAGGATTGAAGTTTTTCTGTTTTGGATGTTGTAGAGTAATTTCCATCAGATCAAATCACACATTCTCTTCTTTGAAATTACTATAGTTGGTATTAAGGATTGCATTCATCTCAGTGAGATGTTACTTATTATTTTATGGTAGTTAGAAAGAGCTTTGCATGTGCTTGCGGCCTTTTTTTTTTGCAGTTCATCTGAGACCTTAAAAAATTAATTTAACTTAAATAGAATTGTATAATAGTTCTACAGAATTAGGTGTTCTTTCTGTCCAATGTAATGACTATATTTATATTCTATGGTTTCTTAGACTTCACAGTGTAGTGGACATTAATAACATGCTTCATAGTAAGTTATTTTATATAACTTACATGTGTAGAATTCAAACTTCCAGCTGAAGTCTGGTTGTTAAAGTTCACTGCAGAATGGCACTGCTGCCCTTATGGTTTTAGACCTAGTGTACCTTTAAGTGCTGCAGCCCTTGTTCTGGAAATCATGGTAAATTGCCTAAAATAAAGTCAGAATCTCTTGCTGGTTCAATGCTAATAAAATATCCTTTTACTCCCGAGCTCAGAAACTCTTGAATTTGTGCTAATAAATTATTTTTCTCTCCTCTTCAAGTTGTCTTCGAAGCAAGACATCAGAGGAACAAAAATAGACACCACCACAACAGGAACAACAAACCAGGGACCAGCACAGACCAATCTCTCACTTAAGCAAGATAATGTGACAATTAAAGGTCTTCAGGCCAATGTTACAGTTCCAAAGGTAACAACTTTTTTTTAAGCTTATCAGTGGAAAAGTGCCTCACAAAATGATCTTTATTTTGGATCCTTGTTTGTTCCCTAAAATCTGAAGTGAAGCTGTGCATTTCTGCTCGAGAACTAAAGTTTTGAACTTTGGAGCTGCTTAATTTTATGGTGGTAGGCATGCAGTAGCTAAATATCAAACACCATAGGAGTAACTGGCTTCCATGTCGTGGGTGTCACGGTTTTATTTTTCTTTTTACTGAAAGTATAAGACAAGGTTCTGTCAGAAATTAGTGATGAATGTAACATGCTATTCTAAATGTCTTTACTCTTTGATGGAATTCTATGTACAGGTGAACCTGTGTTTGCTACAAGCATCTGTGGATGAATCCCCAGGAGTTTCTTCCAGCAAAACAGTGACTCACGTTTCTCTGGTAGCTTTGTGTTTTGATAGAATTGCAACTCAAGTTCGTATGAACAGGTAAGAACAGTACATGCCACTATTTGTCATAAACTTCAGACATGTTTCATTTCATTGTTTTTGTTTACCTTGAGGTTTGCTTAATTGCTTTTTTCTCCCTGATATTATAAAGGGGTATAGTTGAGGAGACTTCGAACAATGCAGAAACTGGGAGGAATTCTGTCACGTTTGAGCGTTACATTCAAACCAGCAAAATGCAGCCTCAGTCTTCTGGCTCACTGAGATCCAATTCTGGAGCAGAAAAAGGAAAAGAAATTGCTGCTAAATTGAACATACATCGTGTTCATGGACAGCTGAGAGGTCTTGATACAACAGGTATTGAACAATATTAAAATATGGAAATGTCCGTTTTAATAGAAGGAAGTAGTTACAGTTGGTCTTGATTTTGTAGTTTGTGTTGTAGGTTTTTTATCAACATGGATAAAAAGCTACTTGCACCTACAGCTTTTCAAGATACTTGAAAAAGAAGTTGGGGATGAATTATTATTCCACAAAGTGGTAGATGTAGACTTAGGCAAATTAAAAGCTGTCAAGACAAACTTGTAAGCAGTTTGTGTGGCAGTTGTGTTGCCCTGTAAATATTGATGTACACTGCTGGAATTTGAGGCCTGAGCTCCCTTCCTCCCAGCTAATCTCTTTTCAGCTGCCATTTTTTGTCACCTTTTGCAGGGAATGAATTACACTTATTTGCTTTCTTGCTGCATTGTAACACTTTAAACAATGTGCCTGTTCTTCCTGAAATTTCAGCATGACAACCTGTAGATTTTTAACTATAACGACTCTAAAGCTGAAAATGAGATCTACCCAACTGACTTCCATGTTGTTTGTGTTAAGGAAATGCCTTCAAGAAGCTATGACTTAAATGTTGCTGTAACTCCTGATCCTGGAAGAGCTAACCAGGAAAAGATGACCAAAAGTAGAGGCAGTTTTTGTTAAACTGCTTCAATTTTGGTGGAATCTACACCAGTTTTTACTCCATTCCGTAAGAAACAGGAGTGTTCAGACATAAGGAATTACAGGATGATTAAAAATACACAATAAATAAATGAACAACAGAAAATCACACTGCTGTGCAAAGATGAGTGAGCAAATCAAATTGGAAGAAAACAAAAACAGAACACTGAAACCTCTCTTTTTACTTAGTCATGGATAGAATCTTAGCAGTAGTGCCCTGTGTCGGGTATGTTATAGACATTCAAGGGGGCCAGTTTTGGAGCACTATCCAAGAAAAGTCATCATCTTCTGCTTAAAAGATTTGAGAATGAGCCTTTCTAAGGATCTTAGCATCTCATGTTTACTTTAAAAGTGAGTGCAGTTACAAATTGGAGGCAGAGTAAGGATTAGAAGGGATATAATGGACTCAGTGTAGTTCCTTGCCTGAGGTATTTGACCTTTAGGTATAAAATGATTTTAAATGTTGCTCAGTCCTTGGTTTTTTTTTCATATTTAAAAATTATCCTGCTCATATTAACAGACCTGGAGCAAGGTTTTTTTACCCTCTTTTTGTGCTTATTTTTCTTGCTCGTGTTTCAAGTTTAAACTTTTTCTTTCTTTTTTTTTTTTTCTCCCTCCTGTTTGAGAAATACCAAAGGGATAACTCCCACAAAACTCCCTCAACTTCAGAGAGCTTTTTGGAAGATGTAAAGTTTTTTCCATTTTGGAGCAAAGTAGTAAATATTAATTTATCTATTTCCTTTCACAGATATTGGAACTTGTGCAATAACAGCAATTCCTTTTGGGAAATCAAAAGTACTTTTTACTTTGGAAGAGTTGGATGAGTTCACTTTTGTGGATGAAACAGATCAACAAGCTGTTCCAGATGTAGCTCGAATTGGTCCTAGTCAAGAGAAGTGGGGTTGGATAATGTTTGAGTGTGGAATTGAAAATTTAACTATAAAAGGTAAAGCTTTTCAAGGCTGCGTTTTATTTTGTTTTGAGAGATTACTGACTGAATTCTGTTGTTAGGTCTTCTGACTTAGCAATTAGTTGATTAGAAATTGTTCAACTGGGTGATGCTGAATAGTACATGTCTGTGGTAAATAAATTTCTTAGGTTATACAATGAAGACATTTTTAGTTGTGTCACTAATAATATATATAAATAATTTCTTATAAACTGGTTTAATCAGTTTCTGAACTTAAGGTTGAAATTGATGCTTTCACTCATCACTCAAATACTCACCTTATCCACATGAAGTGCATTATAGAGCCAGAGTTCATCTCTGGGAGGGGAAAGCTAGTTACACAAAGTTAGTAAAACCCCGCAGTATGCGTGTGTTTTCTATCATCTGACTTACTTTTTTTCAGAGAGTAATATTTAAAAAGTCTTTTTGTGAGTACTCTTCAACTACTTGTGGTAAACCATCAGAAGCTTGAAATTGTAGTGATAAGTTGTTGAATAAAATGGTAATGCATCTTGTTTAACCAAAATCATGTGTATTTCTCTTCTTAAGGGCCATAACTTACAACTGTTTATGTGCTGCCAACCTTTACAGTCTGGGTGTTTTTACAGGGGGAAGACAGTCTGGGGCAGTGCTGTATAACACATTTGGAGTAATGGGCAAATCAAGAGAGACAGAGAGAGGTGGATTGCTTGCATCAAACAACTCTTCAGATTCCCCCACTGGTAGTGGTTACAACACTGATGTATCTGAAGATAACCTCCCTTGTGACAGAATAAGTCCCTCTTCAGATATTAATGGAAATTCAGTTTCAGATGAGCAGGTATGTCCAAACTGGGTAGAAATCATTAGTCACTCATCCTGTTTGCTTAGACACTAAACTTCCAGCTTTCTGCAGGGTCCCTTGGGAGGATTAGTGAACAGCATTAGTTTATTTTGCTTTGCCTAAATGCCTGTGGGAAAAAAAAAAAGCATTTATGGTATGTTAGTGTCTTTCAGTGTAATAATTTTGGAAGACAATTTCCCTTCTAACTTAATGATTCCTTGTTTTTGAAGGATGAAGGTGTTGAATCAGATGATCTGAAAAAAGATATCCCCTTGATGCCTCCTCCTCCTGACTCCTGCAGCATGAAGTTGACAATCAAAGAAATTTGGTTTAGTTTTGCAGCTCCCACCAATGTGCGCTCCCCAGCCCATATATATTCAAGGTATAATTTTACCTGATATAAAAGAGAGAAAATGGCAGCAGCTCTGCTTTGTTAATTTGCATTTGTATTTGGTAGGTTCTGAATGGAATTTTTAGCTTCTTTGGAAATTATAATTTTGAGTTTGTATGTATCACAGTAAGACTTGTTTCAGTTTTTTACTGTTTTCATTTCTATGGAAGTGCTGCTAGAAAATTCTTAGTTAGATGTGAGTAAAAGAAGAAAAAAGGAAGAGTAAAAAATCCAAGTGAAAGCAAAAGCTGTCACTAAGAGCTTCTGGTGAGTTGGAAATGTATGAGGGAGAAAAGCAGGGGAAGATGTTTGTTTTGAGTGGGTGAAGTGCCAATGAAGAGAACAGCTCAGTGCTTTTGGTATTCAACCTGATAACATGCATGATCTGATTGCCATTGCACTATAAAGTTCAAGATGTCTTTGTAACATAGTTTTTCACATTGTGTATATTGAATAAGCCAAATATTTCAGTTTGTCAGTATAGAGCCATAAGCTAGAAAATAGTCTGCTCGTACTCTTGCCTCAGCCCTTTAGCAAAAGTCCTTCATGACATGTAACACTTCATGTGGGATTCAGTCAGTGATGACAATTTCAAACTCTATTATTTCAGTAGGGAGTACAAATGGGAAAAGGAAGGAATAGCAGTAGCACAAGTGGGAAGAATCATAAGTGTGTGAGTGAGTAAATCAAAAATTGCCTCAGGTACTTTTTGCCAGTTCTTGTTTTCTGGGCAGTAAGTCTGTGTTTATTACTTTGCATCAATGTCTTACCTATTTGACTGTCACTCATAACAGCATCAGAAAATGCTGCTTATTGCTGCTGCTGCCTGTGAACATGCCTTTCTCTTTATTTGTCTCCACAGGCAGCTGAATCTCCTGAGCACTGCCACGCCTGCAGTTGGTGCTTGGCTTGTTCCCATTGATCAAGTGAAATCATCATTAAATAAGCTGGAAACTGAAGGGACCCTTCGAATCTGTGCTGTTATGGGGTGCATTATGACGGAAGCTCTAGAGGTAAATAACCTTTATAAAATCAATGAGCCTGTCAGAACAGGACAGCATGATAGATTATATATAGGTTTTGGAATTCTGGATGTTTTTGCTGGCAAAATTAGAGCATCTTTAGTGAGCCTTTGGAATTGGTCGTAAGAGTTCATGAAAAGCTGTGCTTTTCTGAAATTCTGAAATTCACAGTCTGAATTTCAGAGCCAAGTCTCATGCTTATTACAGGAATGCACCTCCAGGTGAAATAAGAATAAGAAATATGGCAGTAGTGCCTGGTATATTTTATGAAGTATTTTTGTTTGCTGTTGGTTTGATTGGCACCATCTAGTGGAAGATTTGGACGTGATACCCATGCTAAGATCCTGTCTTGCATAGTGAGGTGGATGACCTAAGTGTGATGCTGGTTTTATGCTCTGCTCAGAAATTATGCTTTGCAGCAGCCTCTTATTCCTACCTCCTTTCCTTTTCTTCTTCCTGCCTTCTTTCTACATTAAACAAAATTTTAGAAAGTGCCTGTTTTGTCTTTAACTAGGAATAAACTGTTTTTTCGAAAATTGCAATTGGCTTTGCCTGTCTGTTAGTCCAGATGTAACTTTATAAGGCTTGCAATTTGAATCCAGGTTTTTCTTTTATTACTTCAAATATATAAATAAGCATCCAGAATTATTTTTCACATGCAGTATTCAAAATCGGGTGGGTATCCATGAGGTAAATCCTTGTTGCAGAAGTTCAAAAATAAGTGAGAAGATTGCCTCATAGATGAAATCTTGTCATTGATGCTCTGTTTGCAAGTATATTTATATGTTGAAAATGTTTTTATTTTAATCTAGAATAAAAGTGTGCATTTCCCTCTGAGAAGCAAATACAACAGGCTTACCAAAGTGGCTCGTTTTTTGCAAGAAAATCCCTCTTGTTTACTCTGTAATATATTGCACCATTACCTTCATCAAGCAAATTACTCCATTATTGAGGATGCCACAATGGTGAGTTACCCAAGAAAACTGGAAATGTGTTTCCTTTAGTTTCAAATATGCCAATTCTAATTTCTTAAATTTGGCATCAGTTTGAGGAAGGTTAACAAACAAGAAAACATAACCCAAACGCATATGCATTATTAAAGTGATAAGTAGATACTTTTTCTATTATTTAATTTTCTTTGACATCTGCTATTTTTGTTATGACTTATATATATGCATAATATTTATGAACTATTAGTAAATACATGCGATCATAAACCAAAAAGGGATGTCTTTAAAGCTGTAAATGGCTTTTATCAGACTTCATTCCCTCTCTGTCATATTTCAATGGCCTTTTAATAAGATTTAATTTCTCATGGTTTTAAAATTGAATAAATCTCAGTTATTGAGGCAAGTGCACGAACTGGGTCATTTATTCCAAATTCTCTCCTTGGAACTAGTTTTCATGTCTTCTAGAAACACAAGGGTAGTGCAGACAGTTTAAGGAAGGAACTAGAATTGTACAAACTTTAGGGTTTAAGAGTCGAGTATTTTTCTTGGTGGCTTTAGAATATAAATGCCTAGATTGTAGTGGGAAATAGTTATTTGAACAAACATCAGGGATAAGGGAGGAGTGTTTATTCCTGATTTTGTGTCATTTTTATAATCCAATTCCACAGCTGTCAGATTTAAATACTGTGTTTTTTAGCATATTCAGCTGAGAACCAGTGATCAGTTTGTGGCACAAATAGCACAGTTTGATTTGTGGTCAAAATACTAAGCTTTTGTTTTCTGTAGGACAAATCAGTGATGTAATCAAAACAATCTCTATATTTGGCCTCAAATTTCTTTTCCTAAAATTCTTCTTATGAGCAATAGTCAAAACAATCTTTTTAATTTCAGTTCTGTTTGTACAGAGTTGCTATGAATCTTAGCCCATAGTTCAGACTCTGATAATTACACAAGTGCTTTTAGCTTCATATTTAGCAAGTCTGTTTCCCATTATTTATTTTTGGCCCCCTTGGGCTAGATCCTCAGATCATGTAGTTAAACATATTTATGGTGTTCAATGAAGCTGTAATTTTTTATCTCTTAGCTCCCTGGCTTCTTGCTTGATGTGTTGCGGTGCCAGCATGTTTGTCATAAACCTCTTAAATATAGAGATTTAAGAGCGCTTTGACTTTTTGTCTCCTCCAGTTTACTTCAAAATGCTGTGATATGAATTTTTATTTTTATTTTATTTAAAGAGTGATGGCCTTCCTGCCTTAGTGACCTTAAAGAAAGGTCTGGTTGCCTTAGCAAGGCAGTGGATGAAGTTCATTGTGGTCACCCCAGCCTTTAAAGGAGTCAGCTTGCACAGACCAACCCAGCCAATGAAGCTGCAGCCAAATGCCTGCCACGAGCATGAGGATGGCCTTGGACTGGACAACGGAGGGGGCCTTCAGAGTGACACGAGTGCTGATGGAGCAGAGTTTGAATTTGACGCAGGTATTTTCGTGTTACTGTCCCCTTAACAATTCATAGGGACAAACAGCTCCTCTCAGATGTGTATCTTTTTTACTTTTAATGCTTGACACATTATAATCTTTTTAGAATGATCAATCTTCTTTTCTTAATCACCTTCATTCTGAAGCTGCTGCTAACAATGGTAATTATAGTATTACAATAATTAGTGCTTGTTCAGGGAAAAACAAAACAGGAGACCTCTTTCTTCACATCTTTTGTCTTGTCTTTTTCCTGCACAAAATAAATCAATTTAGTTATTTGCTACCTTTCAATTAAAAGCCAGTCAGCAGTTAGCAGATTTAAGAGAGCCAAGATGTTTGTGTGAGAAACTTGTATGTAATAATCATACAGTATAATGGAACTTTTTGTCCCTTCTCTCAAATATATGTTTTGATTAAGCAGATACACTTAGATGATTAATCAAAACCCAGCCCACCCCTTTCTGAGGAGTTCTTATTTGTCTATAAATCAGACAACACTGTGTATGTGTGTGCCAGCACTGGGAAGCTCATGGCTGCTTGTAGATAAATGTGCCTGATAATAGATAATCTTAGTTCTCCAATTATATCTAAATGAGGACAACTGTTTGCTTGGGTGCAGCTACTGTGAGTGAGCACACAATGCTCCTGGAAGGAACAGCCAATCGCCCTCCCCCTGCCAGTGCCTCCTCTGGGCCTGTCACTGGTGCTGAGATCATGAGGAAGTTGTCCAAGACTCACACTCACAGTGACTCTGTGCTGAAAATCAAGGTGAGTGCACAGGGCTGGGCACCAGGGCAAAGAGGGTTGTAGCTGGCCTGTTCAGGAGCAGTCCTGTAGCTGCAGATGAATAATTGCATGCAAAAAGTAACTATAGTACATGGAGGGTGTGCTCCTGACCTTACAAAAGGGATGCTTCAGCAGTTGATCTATATTCTTTGTCTGTTCTTTGTTGTTTTTCTTGCCAAATAACTTCATGTGCATCATTTAAGGATGTGCCCTAACCTTTACAGCCTTTGATCTGTTATTTTTTGGCAACAGAAACAAGGATTTAACTGTCATGATACAAAATCGAAGATTAGCAAAGCTCTCCAGTAACTTGTACTAAAATGACTGTGTTCCAGGCTTATATTCATACCAAATGTTGCTTTGTTTTTGCAGTGTCCACAGTACTTGATTAATTTCTTCATTTTCTGCTCACAGGGCATCCATCCATATCATTCCTTGAGTTACACCAGTGGAGATACAGCTACGGATTCACCAGTGCATGTTGGCCGTTCAGGAATGGGAGTCAGGGAAAGCCCAAGGAAAGAAAGTCTGCTCAGCTATCTCACTGGGAGCTTTCCTAGCCTGCACAATCTTTTGGAAGGGACTCCTCAAAGAAGTTCAACTGCAGTTAAAAGTAGTTCTTTAACAAGAACAGGTATGATGTAGCATAAAAAAGTATGATGTAGCACAAACAGGTGTGATGTAGCCTAATTTCCTTGTCTTTTTGAATGAATAAGGAAATAACCATTTTACATTTGTTTTTTCTTGACCTTGTGAGTAGCTCAAAAAGAGAGCTGAAACTAATATTTCACTGACAGTTTGCATATGATAAATTGCAGGTTTTTAGTAATGGTCTTTTCAACAAGTATTTTAGAAGCTTGAAACACTGAAGTGTTCATGCTCTGTATTATTTTTCAGAGTGTATTATTATCAGTTTTTCTTTATATGTCAATTGCATACTGTATTTGATACTGTATTTTCTCCAAAACCTATCTCCTTTGCTGTCAGGGACTGAAATATTGTTCAGAAAAAAAGGTATTTTGATTTCTTAATGACTCCTTTCCTCCAATGGTCTAGATGAGCAAATGCAAAACCATGTGTAGTGCAACATCCATCAGTGCCACATGTAACTTCTGTAGTAGCACCCATAGTGCTGTTTGACACATAATTTAATGAAATAAACTTTGAGAATTAGGCTTATTTTTATAGTTTATAGGTGTTGGTAGTGAAATGGTGCCATGTTCCTTGTTTTTGCTGACTTGGATGCAAGAAATGCTGAAGCCTCTGCTTTACCTGCACAGGAAATACTGTGGCCACAGACATGTTGTCTGAGCACCCTTTGCTCTCTGAGCCCTCCTCTGTGAGTTTCTATAACTGGATGTCCAATGCTGTGGGAAACAGGGGAAGTGTCGTGCAGGAAAGTCCGGCCATCAAGCCTGGGCACAACAGCCTTCCAACAGGTATTGCTGATTTGTAGCTGACTTCTTGGTGGTTCTGGGTTGGCTGTGCCTGTGTTTGGCACTATCTGACTGAAAGTAATTGAGAGAGTGATTTATGGTCAACAGGACTTAATTGGTTCAAAGTATTATTGTGGGGCTTCCCAGCAACCTGGAAAATGAAAAGATGAGATTTAAGCAAAACTGTTGTTTTCTTTTGCCTCACCCTGCCTCCAAAAATTTAACTATTTCTTGCATTTGGAGCTCTGTGTAGCTGCTAAAGTTACATGTAGCTGCCAAAAGTTGCGCCATAAAATCATCTTCTGTTGCTGAGTTCCGTGGTTTTGTTGGCTATTTTTGATCTTATTTGTATATGCTTATTTTGTGATTTGTGCATTGGAATCCTCGCTCTTTCTCAGTTCAATTTTGAGACTAAACATCAGCATGTGTTTTGAATAGGAATGGGTTAACTGGTGTAAGGGAATGAAGAAGAAAATATTTTTTTGAAAATCTTAGGCGTATTGAAGAACCAGATATGTAACAATTTGTTGCAGCTCACTTTTCTTGCTGGCCTGTCATCATTCAGCCTTTTCAATGTGTGTCTTAATTTCTTTTTCTCTAACACTATAGTGGAATCTTTTTTTCTGTTAGCACTCCTTCAACTGTGCTATGTAAATTTTAGGCAATAAGAAGTTGTTTTAGTTTGTTTTTAATATTGAACCAATATTCTGATCCTACAAATATCATTGTGCTGTACACATACTGCTGAACTATTGCGGCTTCTTTGTAAACTGGAATGTGTTTCTCTGTAGAAAGACTCTTTCCAAATTTGGATTGGACAATCTACCTGTTCCAGCAATATCAGGCTCTTTCTTTATCCTGAATGCCACCTTTGTGAGGTTACAGACCCCACTGTGGCTTGTTTGCTTGTATAAATAATCTCAGTGAATTAGTCGAGTCAGTGGTGGTAAGATTTGCTGTGGTGTTAGTGTTCCATGGGTATTTATTTTCCAGGTGTGGCACCCAATCTTCCTACTATCCCCTCTGCTTCAGACTTCAACACTGTTCTGTCCAGTGACCAGAACACCCTGGATGGCACCCACTCGCAGCACAGCACCAGCCAGGATGACATTGCAGGAGTGGAAGAGGGCAACCAGGGCTTTCCTGCTGTCCAGCTGGCAGATGCACAGGTAACTGGGGTTGCTTATCACCAAATGATGAGCAAGAGAGTGGAAATAATCAAGGCCTTCAGTAACTAAACGGATGTGTTTTGTTTTGTAGGTTGTTTTCAAACCTTTGCTAAGTTACACGGGAATTCAGTCGCAGGATGCGATGCCCCTGTGCTACAGGATGTACTTTGGAGAGTACCTCTCTTTCTCAGGAACTCTGGACTGCCTCAGAGCAGATATTGTTGATTCAGACACAGCAAAGGAGAGGAAAAGCAAGCGAGCCCGAAGGTGTGATGAGAGGCTTAAAAATACGTGTATTGGCTAAAGAACAGAAATTAGGCTTTTCATGTGGGGACTGATTTCCAGAGCCCTTTTTTCTTCTAATCTTTCATTTTGTCTTCCTGTTAAATTTTTTTTTTTAATATTTTTTTTAATCTTCCTATGGAATGGTTTGGGAATTTTAACTGCTTGAATCTCAGCTACTTTTGAAAGTTGGAGACTGGGGAAGGGGGAGAGCTGGTGAGAATAATAGTGGGGGGGAATTTGAGTGGTTCTGAAACCGTGTTTTGTAATTAATCCTGTAAATAGTAGTGATGTGACTTTTTATGAAAATGCTCAATCTTCCCCCAGAACAATTTTTGGCAAAGCTTTAGGATATAATGGAATGATTGCATGCCAAGCTAGGTTTCATAGAACTGGATGATTTCTATGTTAGTAGCACACAGTATGAAACTGTAAAAGTTCATCTTATTATATTTAGAACTGTGGTAAAAAGGTGATATCCTAAGGGAAATAAAAAGCTGAGTTCAGTAAATTGGATGTAAGCTGTGTAAAAAAAAAAACATATTTGACTCTCACTGTCATAAAAAGCAGCACAGTACTAACTTGTACCTTTCCTTTCCTTAGGCAAGGAGCAGTCAATCTTCCTCCTCTGGAATTCAAACCAGCTTTGATGTTGGAAACTTTTAGCATTAGCGCTGTGGTGATGGAGAAATCCATGTGCACCCCTCACAACTCCACCAACGCCCTCTCCTTCCACGACTTGAACAAGCGCTATTACAACACCTTCCACTGCAACTTCACCATTTCCTGCCAGTCCATCAGCCAGCACGTGGACATGGCCCTGGTGCGGCTCATCCACCAGTTCAGCACCATGATCGATGACATCAAGGCCACGCAGACAGACATCAAACTGAGCAGGTACACGGCTGGCTCCGCCTCCCCGACCCCCACCTTCAAAACCCGCAAGCACAGGGACTTCCGCTCCTCGGATTTCAGCCGCAGCTCCCGGGGCAGCCTCAACGGGGGCACCAGGGTGAACAACACCAAGAACAAGAGAGCAAACAACGACAACAACAAGAAGGAGTCTCGCAACAAGAATTCCCTGGGGAGGTCGGAGCGAAGGACTTCCAAAGTGTCCAGGAAAGGCTCCAAAGATGTGGTTGACCACGTGACGATCCATATGGATGACTCCGACTCCATTACCGTGTCGGAACAGAGCGAGCCCTCTGCGGAGTGCTGGCAAAATATGTATAAGCTACTGAACTTCTATTCACTCATTTCTGATCCAACTGGCATCTTAGAAAAGTCTTCTGAAACTTTTGGGCCAACAGGTAAAGTGGTTCATGAACCCAAATAACCAAGTGCGTGTGCTTTTGCTTAAATGGTGTTTCTAAAGCTTGCTCATGAGATGGCTTTTGTGAGTTGCCCACCCCATCTAACTTGGATCAGAGGGGCAAGTGGTGAGGACGGAGGTGAGCTTTTGGTTAGTTCATCAAGATGATGTACAAAAGGAAAGCTTAATTTTACTCACTAATTACATAGTGTGGATTGAGTTTTTTTCCTCCTGAGGTGCTGTTTTGTTTTCAAGGAGGTACTGGAAGTGCTGTAAATTATCATTCTGTGAAAATATGCAAGAATGTACGTAAGCCATCCTGAGGGAATTAATTTCTGCCTTGAGAATGACAGTAAATAAAAAATCGGTGAATCTTGCTGTGGGAGAAGGAAAGGTGAAATATGATTTTGGTCAAATCCCACAAAGATTACAAGTGTTTGGGCCATATTTTCACCTAAAACTTTGAGATCTGGTGTGATTATTGCTATTTCTAATGTATTTCAACACAGCAGAGTAAATCTGAGTTGACTTTTCATCATTCTCTTTGTTGCTGTGAATATGCAGGGGATGGTATAGTTGCTCTATGGCCATATTTTCCTTGGACTTCTTTTAACTAAAGAACAAAAAACTGAGAAAGCGTCAGATGAGAACTTGTATTAAACAGATACCAGTGTCTTTCATGCACAGAATATCATATACAGAGTAACAATATCTGCACAAAATGTAAATTTTATTACCTTTTTTTTAGCTTCCTGAATGTTGAAAAGGAGAACTTGTTCATCCAGAACAGAATTATAAGAACCTTTGCCAGTGGAATGATCAAAAAAATAAACAGGACAACTGGAAACTGTTAGGGCATTTTTCTGATATAACAATAAAATCAGATCATTACAAATATTTATATAAGGTTCATAAGAGCGTATCTATGAATAATAATGAAAACGCATCACTCATTAGTGTCTTCATTGTGTCTTGGATTTGGTTCAGTTGCAATGGAGTATTGGGGTGGAGTGAGCAAGGCACAGATAATTTTCCTCAAGAGTTTTCTTGACATGAAAGATATGTGATCCTCTCTTTGGAAGACAAATATAAATGGGAAATACCAAGGATTGATTACAAATAAAGCCTTGAATAACTGCTGGTGTTTCTGTAGGTGTTCGAAGTCCCACTGAGCCTGCCTGCAGGGTGGTGTTTGAGAATGAGCAGGACAACGGGCGGAAGCGCAGCCTGGTGACCTCGGAGCCACAGCACGTGACCCTCATCGTCTTTGGGATAGGGATGGTGAACAGGACCCACCTGGAAGCTGACATTGGCGGCCTCACCATGGAGTCTGAGCTGAAGAGAATCCATGGCAGCTTCACCCTGAAAGAGAAAATGAAAGGTGGGATGAGCTTAACAGCATTCTCTGTAATTCAATTCCCTGGCAGCTTTACATGTGCGTGTGCAGTGTGTGTGTGTGTAATATAATAATATTGAACAAGAGTTTGCAAATAATTATTGCTAGGATGCTGAAGGATTATGAAAGAATTCAAGCTTTTCAGAAAGTGCCATGGTGGAAATTCTCTTAAAAGACAGTCACTCATTTTCAAAAGCTTTCTTCTTGTCACATTTTATAGTTGGCATCACTTACCGTGACTGCTGAATCTGTGATTTTTTCAATTATTTTCCTGTTGCAATATTTTTAAAAGCAATAAGCAAACCTGAAGTATTGTACTGACTGAAATGCCGTTAAATACTTTGTTTTTTCTTAAAGATGTGCTACACCAAAAGATGACTGAGACGTGTGCCACTGCTCACATAGGAGGTGTCAATATCGTCCTGTTGGAAGGAATTACCCCAAATATCCAGTAAGTAGGAAGTCTCACAATTTAAAATTGTTCAAGTTCACAGAAGTGGTATGAGTTGTATTCTTTCTCTTATGCTTCTAATTGCTTTTTGGAACTTGTAGGCTCAAACCATATGAGATTTGTAGGGAATAATTATTCCTAATTATTCCTGTTTAAGAGCTATAGTGTTTCTTTAATAGATATATTTTTCAACTCTCATGATGCATCATTCTTTGTTCTCTCATGTTAGTTTTACAGTTCCAATATCCCTTCTCCAGCTTTTATATAATTGACGCAACAAGCAGGGGAGGGAAGACAGCCACTTCTTGTGTATGAACATCATTAATCACTTGCTCAGCATTCACATTGTTCTGGCTTTTTTATTTCTGCCAGGTTCATAGACTCAAAAAGGCCATGCATTATTTTAATTTGTTCCCAGCTGCATCTCTTTCTGTTTGAGTTGCAGAATGAGCTCAACCATAGCACAGATCACCCTCACACAATCTGGGTGTTAGCTGGGTAACCCTCAGTATGTGTACTGGTCTTAGAACAGGACTCTTTTATAAAGGGGCTAAACAATGTCACTTGAGTTTCTCTCTCCTTTTAATTCCTGGGTAGTTTGGAGGATACTACATAGAAATGAAAACATACAAAATTTTATGATTTCCTCAGCTAAATTGCTTCCAGTAAGTTTCTTTCAGAGGGATAAATAACAATTCCAATCTCACAATCATGAAGGGTTTCTGAAAATGACCAAAGCTCTTCACTGTTTGTTTTACATATAGGGAGGGTACAAAAGGAAAGGGTGGAAATAATGATAAATCTTAAATGAAACAACAAGATCAAAGAACAAATATGAGCAAAACCAAAACCTTCACCTTGGTAATTTTGAAAATAAATGTCATATTGTGGGTTACAAGTAATTAACTGACTAATTTTGCATGACTGTTTACTCTTTATTTGCTTTGTTTTTGTTTTTCTTGCTTTCTCTTCAATCTTCATCTGTAGACTGGAGGATTTTCCTACATCTCCTACAAGCACAGCCAAACAAGAGTTTCTGTATGTCATATTATTATGTTTAATAGTCTTGCAATTAACTCTGTGTTGTGTAGATAATGGCTGCTTTCCTACTGTGTGTGATTGTGGAGGCAGATGTTTCTTGAATACGTCTTGGTTCACCATCTAGTATTACCTAGATAAGCTTTTTTTAAATGAAGTCCTCTAAATATCTGCCTAAAAAAAAGCCCTGGTCAATCTTAGCAGCATAGTTTTAGGGACTGCTATTAAACTGCACTCACTAATGTAATGTTAGAATGGTTTCACCAGCCCTTAAGTTCTTTAGATCTGCTTCTGTACTTCTTTTAATGACCTGAAATACTGTTGATAAATGTAAGGGAACACAGAGGTGAGATTTGCTTTGGAACTGCTGTGCTTGGAGTTACAGTTGTGGTGTCATCATGAACAGGGCCATTTCTTTTTGTCTTCATTTTTCTGTGTGCTGGTTTAACTCCCAGGCATGCTGAAGATTTGTGTGTGTGGGTGCAGGTCTCTTCTCTGTGTCTGTTTATTCTGTTGTGGTAATACAGGATTAACTTCAAAATGTCTGGAAGGAGAGGTGATGGACTGAAAAACTGCAAGTGATGTAGGGAAAATACTGGGATTTGTGTTCCTTTTTGTCTGATAGCAGCATTAAACCAGTGCATCACTGAGTTGTTGAATTGACTGTCATATGATGTGGTCAACAAAAGTAGAAATGATTAAAAGATTGGATAAAACCATGTTGGATTGATCTCGTGGTGAGTCATGAATACAATACAGCCTCTGGCTTAGAAAGTAAATTCTTTATGGCTGGAATTAAGGGAAGGATCCCTTTACTTAAACCTCAGGTATCTGCTGCTGCCTGAGTTTCCAGCTGACTCAGTGCAGTAGTTCCTGTGTGTTACAAGCCTCCTGCTGACTTTTGTTCCTCCCACATGCTTGTTACAGCATTCCCAAAAATCTGTGGAGTACTGGCCTTGTAGTCAGTTTTGTAGTGGGACAAAGACTTTTTGTCACAAATTTGTCTGGAGAGTGATCATTTATGGCATTGATGTGAGAATATAGAATTCTTTCTGGAAGTATTACTGGAATATAACTTAAATAATGATTAATGATTTTAATGATACAACCAGATGTGTTACAGGCTTATCACTGTAGGTAAGCCAGCTGCACATCTTTAGTAATAAATGGACAGCCAGACAGTTGTTCCACATTTCATTCTTGTCATGGAAGTAGGTTTTTTGTAGGCATGCAGCGATGGAGTTAATTTGTTGCATGAAATGTGGAGAAAAGCACAGTTAATTTTGCTGAGGTTTTTTTCTCCTTCAACAGCTATTCTGGACTAATACATTTTTAATAAAGGAAATGTTTATAATGGTTTGAATGCAGTAGTATTTTGTGTTCTAGATGGAAATGTGTTCTTGATTGGCTTCACAACAGTTCAGTCAGAATGGTAGCAGGAAGAAAGTAGGAAACGAGCAAACTTCAAGATAAATAATTATACTTTTCTTTTAAAGAGGTGGAATAAAACAATTTTGGCTTTTTCATAAGTAATGTTTATTTGTATAATGTTTTTCTGAAAATTGTTGTGAATTGTTTCCTCCTTCATCGTGTATTTTAAAATAATTTCTACTTGACAGTCTGCCCTAAAATATAAATTCTGAACTGCTTGAGATTATTTGCATTTCCTGCATAGCTGTGAAAATCTGAGACTGTTCCTTGAACTTCAGTCAATTAATTTGCTGTCAATAGGCCAGTGGATGCCTTACAGTGCTGTGTTTTTCTTGATTATAAGAAATATAATCAGAAGGGTGGTGTCGTTTTTTTTTTAGTTTTTATTTCCACATCTGGGTTGCTTTGGCCTTGCTGATATTGTAGCATAACACTAAGAAGAAACATTTCTTAAGAGAGTGGAGTTCATAGAATGTGTCTTCCACCATGAGACCAAACTGTCTATAAACAATTTAAATATGATACAAAAAGTATTTTACCCCTTGAAATACAATATTTGAGAAACTTGCACTGAATGTTGCAGTTTTGTTGCCTATTTTTCTATGTATTGCACCTTGACAACTACATGTCCTTCTCTTTGAGGCTGTAATTCTGTGTTGGCTGCATAATATACTTCCATTGGGTAACCCTCCAGGAATTGACCATAGAAACATTAATATGTTACCCCAATATATTTTTATAGGAGTTTAATGAATTCTGCTATGTCAAAATTCTGTTATAACATCAAAATCTGTCAGGTTAGTGCAGTTATATTTTTCTTGGGGTAACCATTGTGAACCATATCCTCCTCAACATTAAGTTTTGATTATGTATTTTGGAATAATATGTTTGAATTAAACATCAGTATTAATTCACAAATTCATCTATCACGTGCTTTGTTAAGTATTTCCTCCAATGACCTATTTGGATGGAAATCTCAGATTTGACTTTTTACCAAAAGATGATTCAAGATTATTCCTGAACAGGAGTTTAAATGGAAGGCTCTTTTTTTTGTTTCTGTGTGTGCAAATTAGTCTGTCTCTATGCAGCCTGATGTGTATGCACTGAAATGACCTTACTTTAGGCAAGAATAGCAGTTTTGAACAGATATTTTTGCCATGCATGATGTGTAGTTCCCTTAAGTGTAGCATAGTTCTTTGTGGCATGTAGTGCATCTGTGTGTAAAGTGAAAGAAAAAGGAATGTGGGTGTAGTTGCCAAACAGTATTACTTTAAATTCAGCTAACACTTAAAAACTCAGTGTAAGATACAACTGGGAAGGTTGTGCAAATGACTGCTGTTCCCTTTTGCTGTCAGAACTGTGGTGAAGTGCAGCATTGCCAAATCCCAGGCCCTGTACAGCGCCCAGAGGGGGCTGAAAACCAACAACGCGGCCGTGGTGAAGGTGGGGGCCATCAGCATCAACATCCCGCAGCACCCGGCCACGCTGCACAGCATGATGGTGCGCAGCTCCCACCAGCTCTCCAAGCAGATCTCCGACCTCATCCGGCAGCCCTCCACCGCGTGAGTGCTCCCAAATCCCTCCCCTTGCCAGGATTTTGTCACCTCAGGTGACTGTGGGACAGCCAGGCGGATTAACAGGAAGGGTTTCCTGCTCTTTGTCTTGGTCCACAGGCCCCAGCCAGCCAAAGAAGATGTGGCCACTCCTCTGCCCTCTGAGAAGACTCCAACGAGCATCAATCAAACACCGGTTGAAACGAATGAGTTCCCACAGCTGCCAGAAGGCTTGGAAAAGAAGCCCATAGTGCTGAAGTTCAGTGCCATGATAGATGGGATTGCCATCGGAGCAGCGCTCCTGCCCTCCCTGAAGGCGGAATACAAGATGGGAAGAATGAGGAGTCATGGAATGACAGGTAACAGTTCTCTGGAGCTTTAAAAACATTACTGCTTTTAGTTTGGCCTCCCTATAAACATCCAAAAGCACTCAATGTTTCTATTGACTTATAGCTAGAGCTTTGTATCTGTTGACATTAACTTTGTTTTTTTAACATGGGCTTCCGTGATTTGTGGGCCCATATAGAGAATTTTCACTGTGGTTGTTAGAAAATTCCCAGAGGCAAAGTGCAAGAGCACATAAAGACATGTATACATTCATATATAGCATCCTCCCAAGAAGCTTCTCTCTGACTGCTAAAATAAGTTTGTGTGATCTTTGTTTAATTAAATTCTAATTTGTAAAGTTACTTGAGAATAGTCTTGTAGGGCCTCAGTACTCATGAGGTGGTTTGTATGACTTCCCCCTTAGTCTTATTACTGTGGAGTCCTCACTTTCTTTAGAAATTGAGAAAACCCTGAATCATGTGGGTGGATATTTATAGTTCTTTGGGTCCGTAAACTTCAGTAACATTTTAAGCATTTTAACTTTTAAATTTTTTTTAGTGTTTCAAATTTTTTTCTATTGTTCCAAAACTGTTCTTGAATTTAAGGATAAGTAAGAGATTCTTTTAGCAGTTCATACCTTTTCTTTCCTCGCGTTCATTTTACAGGTGCCCAAACCAGATTTAATTTTGAGCTTCCAAACCACAGACTGCGCTTCACTTCAAAAGTTTCTGCCACTGACATGTCAACCATTCCTCCTTCGGCCAGTCTCAACCTGCCTCCTGTCACCATGTCAGGGAAATATGTCATGGAAGAGCATGACACTTACTCTGACCAGATCTGGAGCATCGATGAGCTCCCTGCCAAGCAAGGCTACTACCTGCAGGGCAACTACCTGCGCTGTGTGGCTGAGGTAGGTCTTGAAGGCTGCAGGCTTCTTTGATAACTTATTTCCTTGCTGTTACAGTTCTGTCTGTGCATCTTCACATTTTTTAAACAATCCATCTCCTCCAGAACTCTCAGGTTTACAGGCTGAATCCAAATACTGAAAAACTGGAAGACTGTTTTATTGTTTTATAGCTGTTTCCTGGGGTTTTTTTTGTGACTAGAGAGCTCTATAAGTGGAATAATGACATGACAGAGAACTTTAACGATATAAAATTTTCTGCTCGACACAGAGTGTTCTATTCGTAAGTTCTACTTGTGTGCCAATTTCCATAGTTAATTTTCCTGGAGAGAAAAAGGGTGTTGCTTAAAAGAAACACCTGCTGGGGAAAAGCAGGGCATTCCTGCTAACTAATTTCTTAGTCAGAAAAATAGTCTGGCATATTTGTAATTGAGAATTCTGATGTTTGCAGCTAAAAAAAAAAACCTTAACAATCCACTGTTTTTAAAACTAAGGTTTGTTCTCAAATGTTCTGTTTTCACAGGTTGGCTCATTCGAACATAATCTCACAACTGACCTTTTAAACCATTTAGTATTTGTGCAAAAAGTGTTCATGAAGGAAGTAAATGAGGTCATACAGAAGGTTTCAGGTAAGTGGAACACTTAAAAGTTGCTTTAACTAAGATCCTCAAACCTTGTTTGATGGCAACCTTTATGTAGCTCTCAGGATCAGCTCATTAATTTCACCTCTAGCACTGCAAACAGCAGCAGGAAGCAGAACTGGATTTGGAAATGATAACAGAGGCTCTGTAAAGTATTCTATGTCTATCATAAGCAGGAGTTTTATTGGGAAGCAGGATTGTTTGGCATTCTGGACATCAGCGTCTCTGTCTCTCCATGGTGTGCCCTTGGCTGGGTTACTTTGTGTACTCACTTTGTTTGATTTGAACATTATTTTTAGTTATCCTAAAAGGCTAATTTTTAGTTTAATAAGATTCATCAATAGCTGGAAACATCATGAGGAAAGAAAGAATAAAAAGTGGTAACTGAGTAAAAAGAATGTCTGTGTGTACATCTACCTCCTTTCATGTCCCTCTGTGTGTGTGTGTATATATAGACCTTCAGGTATACAAATGCAATAAAAGAATGGTGCAGGTCCACATGACATGCCCTTGAGGCACTTAGAAAATGCGGTGGAGAAAATGGAAAATGCCAAATTCCCTGAAGGCTAACAAGAAACACTTGATATTTGTTCCAGCCAAAATACATTAGTATTGGGTAATAAGGAAATGCTTAGGGAAAGAATAAATCTTCTGACAGCTGTCATTATATTCTGTTAGAACATTTTTTTTTGTGGAGGAGCATACAGTGCTGAACCAGGAAACCTGTATTAGCTTTTACAGCATTTCTTAGACTCTGCCTTTCAATCTCTCCTGCATTTTTATGTGAGGAATTTACTACCAGTGCTGGTTCTCTGCTTTTCTAGACTGTAAATTTTATTGCACATACCAGCCTGATGATTTTTGAAATGTGACTGTTGCCTTCTGTATTGGGGTAGTTCAGTAGGGACATGGTCAGGTCAGAAATCCGTGAGTCTGGATGCTCAGTGCAGAACAATAGGGGAAAAAATTGGCTCTGTTCCTCTGCCTTGAAGCAGAGTAATTTTTTAAATGGCTTGAAAATACCAATTAGTGTGATGTGCTGCAGTAGTTTTTCAAATTACTGTTTGTGTTGCACTAAAGTATTGTTTGCACATTATCCTTATATAAAAACTGTGTAAGCACCCATTACTGAAGGTGAAGTTGCACAGACTGAGAGCTAGTTAATGAACAGAGCAGTCCATAATAACTGCAACTGGAAATTGAAGGCAGTTTTGATTAAAAGAAAATGATCCAGATGCAAAATGGGCTGATAAAAATTTATTGTTGTTGGGGGTTTTTTGAATCCGTGATATAACTGTTTGTCCTTACCACCGAATAACTGTAATTAGATCAATTGGCATATTTGGAGAGAATTAATGGCTTGGCCTTTTCTACCAGCAAGCCCTTCCTATAAACTAAATTGGAATGTAGATAAATATCAAGAATTTAATCCAGGATTGCTTCTTCAAGGGTACATAACTTGCAGTGACTTGTGCCAGGATGAGGAAGTAAACCCAAAGACAAAATACTTGCAAAATACTCTATCCTCCTTTCATGGAAAAATACTGATATAATCTCAATTCCTCATTTTCATAGAATTTGTGTAGTATTTGGTCAAGTGTTAAATTTGTATAATCAGATAAGTAGGTGATACATTGGTGCCGGGGACAAAAAACATCTTTTTTAAAGCAGGTGTTACTCCTTTCAGGCTTTGAGACTTACTGTGTAAAACTTTCCAGGAGGGAGGAGCATGCCTCCATTCCTTCAGTCTTGGTGGAGAGGTATTAATTACATGTCAGAAGATGAATCTGCACTGATGTCTCCAATCCTAACTTGTTTTTATAAATTTTCAACTGGTCGCTGTTTAAAATGAGACTTAATTCATGGTCACCTCTTTATATGTATTGGTTTTAAAATGTTCTCTTTGATAAAACTGTGACAGTGCATATTTAATGCATACAGGAGGGGAGCAGCCAATACCTCTTTGGAATGAACATGATGGCACAACAGATGGAGATAAACCAAAAATTCTTCTTTACTCATTGAGCCTTCAGTTTAAGGTAATCTTATAATGACAAAACAGTGGTGGGATTTTTTTCCTTTCTCATCATGTCTCTGAACCAGATGCTCATAACTCCTTATCCATCAGGGAATTCAGGTGACAGCTACAACTCCCTCGATGCGTGCTGTGAGGTTTGAAACAGGGTTGATAGAACTTGAGCTCTCCAACAGACTGCAAACCAAAGCAATGCCTGGAAATAGCAGCTACCTCAAACTGTTTGGAAAATGCCAGGTGGATTTGAATCTGGCACTGGGACAGATTGTTAAACATCAGGTTAGTGCTCAAGATCTTTGTATGTAATGTTCTTTATAATATGTGATTAAAAAATTACATAAGCCAAGAGATTGTTGCACAGTGCTGTTTTTTTGTTTTGTTTTTTTCTACCATATTATTAATAATCTTAGAGCTTCTTAGCCCTTTAGAACAGTAATAGCCTTTCTAGTGAGTCAAACTCAGAACTTTCATTGATAGAAATATGATTTTTTTAGAATATTTGAATGAAATAATAAGATCAGAGGAGATCCAAACTTTGTTAGCCCTACATTTTGACCTAGTTTGTCTGTCTTGGTTTGACAGTTGTACCAACCTGCTGTTACCTGGAATCACTCATTCTAGTTTATAAAAGTGTTTTATGATGCCTAGAAACAAATAGAAATCTTAGGACCTATAAATCAACTGTCACAATAGAGGATCAGGATATATAAATAGCTACATTAGTTAACACTTTATGATAAAGAAAATAAGGCTGTGATCAGAACTTAATGCAAGAATACTGAAGATCCTCAGAGGGCCTTTGGCTAGAGCAGACAAAGAGGAAAGGACACTACTTGTTGTTTTAATTTTATATTTTCTCAAATGCAGTTATTTGAGGGTTTTTTTCTTCCCATCCCCATCCCTGAACTCTCCCCTGCTGCAAACCCCTCCCTCTTCCCATTTTTTGGAACGTTTTAAGGTTTATGAAGAAGCTGGATCAGACTTCCATCAAGTTGCCTATTTCAAGACAAGAATTGGATTAAGAAATGCTCTCCGAGAAGAAATCAGTGGCTCATCAGACAGGGAAGCTGTACTCATTACTCTGAACAGACCCATTGTTTTTGCCCAGCCCGTGGCCTTTGACAGAGGTATTGTAGAGACAATTGCTACAAGTTTGTGTTTATGCTGAGGGAGAGATATATTTTTTCTCAAAAGGCTTGATTATTCAAGATTCAATATATTTCATGTTAAGTACCTGAGAAATCTGGGAGATCTTCTCCACACCAACAGATTGATGAATCTGTCATCAAACATCAAAAATTCCACATGTTGAGGTGATTGGTTTTCAGATGGTTTGGAGGAAGCTGCTGTTGTAAATCCTCACAGATGACTGATGCTGACAACAGCAGGACTTTCTGTATTTTAATTTATTAACTTTGATGGTAAGTGATCAGGTTTGTCCATCTTTGAAGCACGAGCCTGATCGCTGCACCCTGAATATGTGTCTGTCCATTGTTATATAGCCTCTGACTTATAGTAATGGAGGAGCTGTAAAAAGGGAGAACAAAAATAATTTATTTAGTGAATGTACATTATTTTTTTTAAGGTGTTGATTTCAATTAAGCATTTTTGGTTTCCTCATTAAGCTGTGCTATTCTGGCTGAACTACAAGGCAGCGTACGACAACTGGAATGAGCAGAGAATGGCTTTGCATAAAGATATTCATATGGCCACGAAAGAAGTGGTGGATATGCTGCCTGGAATCCAGCAAACCTCTGCACAGGCTTTTGGGACCCTGTTCCTTCAGCTGACTGTCAATGACTTAGGAATTTGCCTGCCCATCACTAACACACCCCAGGTAAGCAAAAGTGTGATTATTGGAAGTCTGTTAAAACATCAGTTTGTACGTGGTGTACTAATACATGAACCAAGTGATAGAAGCTTCAATAGGGATCTGGTTTATAAAAGGAAATATGTGGGCTTTTTTACAGGGAAACATAATTATAGATATTCATATGCAGAGCTAGAAATTAATCAGTCATTCTGTACACTTAAAATTGTACATAATTGTACACATCAAAATAAACACCAAAAAAATCACATAAAGCTACTTTTTGTCATTGTTCAATCAAGTCATCTTTCTTGGAGAAAACAATTGATTCTTGGCTTGTGTTCTGTGGTCATGGGGCCATATGGATTATAGCCCTTGATCAAACATGGATTTTTGTTCCTTTTCCAGTCAAGCTTGACTCCTGCTGCCCTAATAAATTTATAATGTAGGTGTTACATTTAGGAAACAGTAGTGGAAGGCATTGTATGGGCAGAGGTGAAGCTTTTGGAGCTCTCTGCAGAGAAGGAAAAATACAAGGAGATATGAGCAGGGTCAGTTAATAGGGAAAGATAAATGGCATTTGGTAAATGTACAATATCACTTTGACATTGCACTAATCAGTAAATTCTCCCTGTGATTTTATTTTCCAGTCTAACCACTCTGCAGATCTCGACACTGGCTCTGCTTTAGTCCTGACTATTGAAAGCACACTCATCACTGCCTGCTCCTCAGAGTCTTTAGTTAGCAAAGGTCATTTTAAAAACTTCTGCATCCGCTTTGCTGATGGCTTTGAGACAAGTTGGGATGACTGGAAACCAGAAATAAGAGGAGATCTAGTCATGAATGCATGTAAGTGTGGGTGATTTCATACTGGACAAGAGTATTTCAGATATAAATCCACTTTTGCCCTTCCCATTGACTTGAAAAACAGCTGAGCTTTCCCAAAAAACTTAAAGAAAAGACTTTGGCCTTTTGAAAGCAAAATAATATGGATCTAAAAGGTTGTATTTCTTTGTTGTTTTCCATTATTAATAAACTTTGCTGTTTTATCTATCATTGTAATAATTTAACCTCTGCCTGGGAGATGTTGAAACAGTTAGATGCATTGCTCTTAAACAATTTCATAAGATCCCAAGAAGATAGTCTAGTAATAGTAGTCTAATATGGAATAGTCTAGTAAGGAATATATATATATATATATATATATATATATATATATATATATATATATATATAAAATGATGAACATTCTAAAAAAATTATTAAATTTAAAGTTGATTCAATACATATATATATATAGTTATGCATTATACATAGAATTTGGATGTTACCAAGTAGGTTCACTTTACTAAATAAGAAAAGTCCTTCAATGGGAAATAAACTAGAACTCTTATCATTCTTTAATTATGGCAGGCAGGAGACTGAGGGTGGGATTGGGAAGGGCTGCTCTAAAGCAGCTTTTACTGGCTGCCTAATCACTGTACTTGCTTTGTATGCTTCATGTAGGTGTTGTGCCAGATGGTACCTATGAAGTGTGTTCTAGGACAACAGGCCAAGCTGCAGCAGGTAATGTGCTTGTTTTAATAAATCAAGTCCTACATTTGAAAACCATTCATAAAATATGAAATTTAAGTCCTTTAACTGTGTTTTAATTTAATTAGCTGGAGAAGAGTCAGCAATAACAGTCATGTCATCCCATTGCTTCCTGTCCTAGGGACTGCTAAATCTTCCTCATGCTGAGGTTTTTGCTTGCTGAACTGCTATCCCTCTCTTTCCTCTTCCAGAAAAGGCTTCTCTTGTTCCTAAATTTTTCTCTGCCCAGTCTAAGTAGTCTAGACCTTCTCCAGAGCCTTCAGAAACAGCTGCCAGTTTCTGTGTTAGTCATACTTCCATCTAGGAAGAAAACCAGTATCTTGTGTTGCCATGCTTAGAGCAAGGTCTGTATTTTGATGTTGAAAAGTGGCACTCAGAAAAATCCTGGGCAAACAGGATATTCACTAGACGTACAACACATATAACATCTTCCAACATCGTTGATCAAGACCTGAATTACTAGGTCAGCATTTGTACATGCAGAAAGACATATTTTATGTTTTTTGCTGTTAGAAATTCTGTTTTGGAATAGTGTACTTCCCTGCATTTGTATGAGCTGAAGCTTGAAATGCTCTTTACTCACTCTGAAGGAGATGTCTTTTCATTAGGTCTGCCTGTATTGTATCTTTTGTTAAAGAAATACTGTGAAGTATTTTCATCAAGCATTTCAGTTGTGCAATGTGTTTTTCTCAGAATGGGCAGTTGGCTAATGGGTACATAATTCACTATAGGGGATTAAATAAAAGAGGAAAAACTGCTTAACCTGATTTTTTTTTTGAACACAGAAAGTAGCAGTGCAGGAACATGGACACTAAATGTGTTGTGGAAGATGTGTGGTATTGATGTCCACATGGATCCAAACATTGGGAAAAGACTGAATGCTTTGGGCAATACCCTCACAACATTGACAGGAGAGGAAGATATTGATGACATTGCTGACCTCAACTCTGTGAACATAGCTGACCTTTCAGATGAGGATGAAGTTGACACCATGTCTCCCACTATACATGCAGTAAGTAAATCCACCAAAATAAGTGCTACTAATTGGAGAAAGTCTTCTGTCAAATGGAAAGATCTTAATCTTGAGTCCAGCATATGAGTCTTTTTAGTTCATGCAAGTCTTGTTGCAAATCAGCAATGTTTGTGTGCTTTCTAACTCCATATTTCAAAGGCAACAAATTGCAGATCATATTTCTACTGGTGTTATGTGGAAATAACGATCTGGATTTGAAAACATGGAGAGGACACAGCACCTAACCTCAGGTACTTGAACTGTAAAAGCCATGGCTTTCTTCTAGGTTTTCTTCACAGGAGAGTAAGTTACTAACATGAAAAAAATTCTACTCAATATGCTGCTGACTTTGCTTTTTAGTTTTCTGCAAAACCATTTTAACACCTGTTCCTTAATGTCTCTTGCCTGCTGAGAGAGGAAACATTTTCCCAGCACACTAATGCTCCTGTTTGTTGTTCAGAAATCAGGTGGAGGTTCCTTGGGTGGAGATGCACGCAAGCTCACATTTGGGCAGCGGATTGTAAATCACCTGCTGGGTTTGAGCCCCCCAACCCATCGGTACTCTGTTCCTGTAGAATATCTCTTGGGCTCAGCGAAGCGAGATTTGCTCCAGCCTAGCAGAGCACATATGAAAGCAGGCAGATCCTGCTCATGGGGACATGTATGTAGTAGTTACAGTGTGTCTAACTGAATGATGGGCTTCGGATCACTGGAAAAAATCCAATCAGCTGCCTATTCACATGAATTGATTCTTTTGCATGCACTAGTCCAGATTTGAAGGTGTGAAATTGACTTTGCCTGTTGTTCAAAATGTACTGATGTCCAGTTTTTCATGAGGACATTAATGAGATGTTCATTTTAAACAGGAGATCGTTGATCACCGGCGGCAGGGAGCTTCCAGTATCCAAACTGGAGAACAGCGAGGAAGGAAATTTATGAAGCGTTTGGTTGATATTAGAGAGCTCAATGAGCAAGCGAAAGTCATTGATGACCTAAAGTAAGTGGGGTTTACTTTATGTTTGCATCATGCATCTTGTGGCACTGTTAAGGTTAAGTGCAAATCATTGCCTTTATTTCAAAATAAAAGATTGTCCTTTTGGATTCCAAAAGCAAAGGCTATATATGCAAGTACTCTTTCCAATCTCTCGGGTTGTTCCATAAGTGTCAGATTAGTCTGTATTTTTCTGACTCTGCATTTTAATGACTGATTTATTATCATTTTCCTGTTGATTCAAAGTCATAGTTCCATCTTGATTTATTATCATGCTGATTACTTTAGCAAAATATATTACTTTGAAACTGTAATAAGCTTAGGAAGAAGAAGAAAAATATTTCAATAGACTTTTTGCATCTTGTACATGATGTTCTCAAGATAAAACATGAAAACTTTCTTACACGCTACTTGAGATAACCCTAAAGAAACACTTATTTCAGATTTCACGAATTTCATCTGACATTCTGTGTATTTTATTAATAGTATTTGCAAACATGGTTTGTTTGGCTTGTTTGGGCTTTTCTCCCCTTTTCCCCAAGACAGACTTACTATAAAAGGATCTGTCTGTGATGGGAATACAGAGTTTGGTAGTTATGTGTTCAATGATGAAAAAGGATACACATTTTACTGTTTGTACTTAAAATGAAATTTCTGTCACCATTCAGAGGGAAATTTTATTTGAAATTAGGAATTTAGGTTAAATGTTTGTTTTCGTGCTTCTGTGGTTGGCTGTATTTGGTGCTGGTCATAAGTATTGGGACAAAAGAGAAAATTATGTAACTCCCAGGGAAAGCATTTTTAAAACACAGATTTCTGAAGTTGTGGAAATAATATCTGTAAGGTAACTCAACCATGCTTTACCTCCAGGAAATTAGGTGCAAGTGAAGGGACCATAAACCAAGAAATTCAACGCTATCAGCAGCTGGAGTCGGTGGCTGTGAATGACATCCGCAGAGACGTCCGCAAAAAGCTCCGTAGATCCAGCATGAGGGTGAGAGGGATTAGGCTACTTTGAGAGTATTGTAGCACTTGTGCCCCAAAAACCCTTTTACTTTGCTGGCACTCCCATGTACAGTAGCATTTTAGCACGCCAGAGCTTTTCTCTGTGTTCTCAGTTGTTGCATTTCCATATTGTTTCTGGTTTAGGCTGCCTCCTTGAAAGACAAGTGGGGTCTGAGCTACAAACCCAGCTACAGCCGGTCGAAGAGCATTTCGGCATCAGGGAGGCCACCTCTGAAGAGAATGGACAGAACAAGGTGAGCCTCTTGGAATTTGGGATCTGTGATAGCCACAACAGCACATGAAATGGGGAAAAAGTTGGACTGTGGCCTGAAGAGTCCTTTTACCACAGGCAGCAGCTGCTTGTGGTGGAACTGGATAGAAAGAAGTAATTTTGCAAGGCGGGCATGTTCTAAAAAGCATTTTTTCTCATTTTTCTGGAACCTCTGAGAAGATTTCACTTCTACAACTTGGGGTGTTCTACAGAATCCTGTTTTCAAAACATATTGAAGAAATGTATATAAGGAAAAACCGCATAGTGTAAAAATCTTTTCTACACCGGATTGACAATCATCTGCCTTTTAAAAGGGCTGTTGTAATGAGAAGAAGAAAGGGAGATGCTTTTTTTCTGTGTGACTTAATTGTCCCGTGTGGCAGATTACAAATAGCTTCGTTTTCTGTAATTTCTCCATGTTGGCTCAGGATTGAAAAGCTTGCATAGAGACCATTAGGAGAGATAGAGTACTGGCCAAGTCCTGTGCAGCTTCCTTCTCTTTTCTTCTCCCCCTCCTTCCTTTTCATATACTCAAGCGCTTGAACTGTGATTTTATATATTCTTCCCTAAAACAAAATTATAAATATGACCCTGTATTTGTGTAGTTAAATGTTTGCATGACCCTAAAATCCTGTAGTACAACTCAAGAAGCTGTTTTGGTTTTTTTGCTTGTAGCTCTCGACTGGGAGACAGTGAAGACCTCCCAGATATCCGTGTGGATGCTGCATCCCCTGGGCCAAGAGTAACCTTCAACATACAAGATTCTGTAAGAATTACTTTATATGCCATATAATTGAATTTCCTCTGCCATTTGGTCACCAGTTCATGAAATAATTATATCCAGGCAAACACAAATTGTGTCTGCTTTGCCTCAAATTACAGATGCATTTTTGGAAGATAGACTTATTTTGTCAGAAGACAGATGTATTTTGGTTCCTTGGCACAGAAATGAATTGACTTGTGAAAGAAAAGTATTTTAAAATGGCTTGATTTGTTTCTTAGGCTCACACAGTAGTAATTTTCTTGGGATTTTTGTCAGAGGTTTACAAAAAATCACCTAGGTTTTTTTGGTGTTTGAATATATAGATAGAGTTTTGGAAGTGGGTATTAGTTTGCGGTAGCTGTGCAGGTGTATCCTTCTCAATGTTTGAAATGAATTGTTGAATTGGTTTGGGGTTTTTTCCTTTTTTTTTTTTTTACCATGTTTTCTCATGTCTAAAATGTTTATTTTGCATGACTGAGATTATTGTAATTATTTTAATTCCTATATTTTTTTTATTTCTATTAAGTTGAATCAAACAGCTTTGGGGATTGCACAACAATCCAGCTGTCCAGGGGAAGGGTATTTTCAGGTATTTCTGAGCAGAAACAAGTATTCTTTGCCAGAGAACTAATTTATCTCATAGGGAGCTGCTTTTCAATATTTCATCTCTTTTGCACTGAGCTAAACAGAATGTATACCAAGCTTGAAAATACTTAAATATGTAAACTAAGCAGAGGAACATGATTTATTGTTTATGAACAACAATCAAAGTGCTTCTACACCCTTATGTAGACTCAAAACTTCTTTTAAAATGGATTACTGGCTTTTTGCTTAAAGACTGAGCTAGGCTGATGTAAACTGGCCCCAGTCTAGGCTTGAAATATGCTTTAGAGGCTGATTTTAGTACGTGCCTTTGCCTGTTCTGTTGTGTATAAAATAATTACCAGGTGGGAGGGCATCTTCTCACACTCTTATTTCTGTAAAAATTCTTGTATTTAATGTGGAATAAATAATTTTTTCAAATAATAGCAAGTAGGGAACGTTCCAAAATTTAATATTCTGAGAACAAGTGGAGTTTTTTTAACTACTTTCAAAACCATGTTTAGGAAAAATAGTATTTTATTTAAAAAAAATTAATCAAGCAAACCCAAAACTCAGAGCAAATCAGAAAAATCAAAAATAAATAAGTGAACAAAAAAAAAACCCAAAAAACAAACAGAAGAGACATTAATGGACGTTTTCTCCCATCTAACTCTCCTCATGCTCCCCGGAAATAAATTCCTGTTTCTGAGAGAATGGTGGAAATGACACCTGGGAATGTGCTTTGCAGATTTAAATATGTTCACATTTAAAAGATATCCTGCCTATTGTTGTTATGTAAAAGCCCAGTTAGCTTAGATTTCGTTGGCATAGCAAAATATTATCAATTACTTGGAAGTATCAAATGTATTTTCCTGACATGCCAGTTGTTCAGCAGAGCTCTAATTTGAATTTGCAGACTGTGCAGCTCTGCAGTGACACTGCATAGGAAGTGCTGGAATTTAACACTTGCAGATGGTTTTCACAGGCATTTTAAGAATTTAATGTTGGAAAATGGCTTGTGGCATGGTTCCTGGGAGAAGCAGGAGGCTCCTTTAGGACATTCAGTTCCGTGCTTGGGCCAGGATGCCTGGGGCGGTGCTGTACATTCTGTCTAGTGCCCTGCGTGCCCTCACTAACGCTTCCTGCAAGTCATGGGCACTTGGGCTGCCTTCTGTCCTTTTCTTTCAAAATAGTTCTTAAATTTAAATGAAATGTTTCCTTTCCTTCTAAACTGGTAAGAGCATGATGATTCTTTGTCTACGAGGCTGAGCTCAATCACTAGGCAATGGCAAAGGTCTCCTCACCAAGCTTTCATTCCCTTCTTTTTCATAATCCCTCTTGCAATTCCTTTACCTGCTCTCTCCGTGTTATGAGGAACTCAGAAGTGAGGGTTTCTCATAGCAGGCCTGCTTCTTTATTTCCAGATCTATCTACTGCATTCTCTGTGGAAATCAAATCTGTGGAAATTTACTATCTTTTTGTCTTTTCACAATCAGTTTCCAGAGGAGACAGAAATGGACCTTTTGTCCGTAACTATTGATGGTCCCTCCCATTACTCATCTACTAGTGAAGGCTCATGCTCGGTATTTGGTTCACCCAAAACTCCAGCTGTCTTCTCACCCGGCATTCCCTTCCAGCCTGAAGAAGGACGCCGGGATGACAGCTTATCCTCCAGCAGTGAGGACTCGGAGAAGGAGGATGACCATGAAAGGGAGAGGACGTATTTTTATAGGAAACCACCGTAAGTAACGGTCCTGAGGAACAACACAGAAATGAAGAAGATACCTGCATATGCTTTCAGTACTCTCAAACTTGAAATATTGAATTTAAAGCTACAAATTCTGTTGCTGAGGAAGTACTGAATATACTCAAGTGTATGTGTGTGGAAGGCAGGTGAGGTTGTGTTCACTAGAGGTGACTGTGTGGGGAGGAGGGATCCTGATTAGAAAAGGAGGTAACCGATACAAATTTCAGGTCTTGGAACAGAATAAAAGAACTTGGAAAGTGAGGTTGTTGAGGCACAAAACGAGGTGCAGGTCCACAAACAGGTGTAAAAACGTGGATACTTACAAATATGAAATCTATTGTGTATCTATCTTTTTGTTCCTTTTTTGATTGAGAACTTAAGAAAAGCTTAGTTTTTTGTACTACCTTATATTAAGAAATGTGACATGCTAATGCAAGATGGGTCACTGTATTGCTGCATATCAGATAAAGCCTTTTCCCAAAATGTTTTTATAAGATCCTACAGTGTGGACATAGTTTGGGAATGCCTTGTAGCCCCTGCTGAGGTAAATGTCTTGCTGATAATTGCCCCCCACCTGTGCCTGTGCAGGAGCACCTCTCGAAAGAAAGCCACAGGCTTTGCTGCTGTGCACCAGCTGTTCACTGAGCGCTGGCCAACGACGCCCACCAACAGGAGTGTCACTGGCACCACCACGGAGAGAAACATTGACTTTGAGCTTGATATTAGGGTTGAAATTGATTGTGGGAAGTGTGTGCTGCATCCCACAATGCTCCAGCAAGAGCATGATGACATCAGTTTACGAAGGTAAGAAATGTGTGCGTTAGTTTATTACCAGCACTTTTTTGTAGTAATTATCACTGCTTAATAACAGCACCATAAGTTGCAATTGTTCTGACCCAGTGTGGCACAGGAAATTACTTTAATAACATGAGTACATTTATTTCAGGAGCTATGATCGGAGTTCCAGAAGTTTGGATCAAGAGTCTCCTTCAAAAAAGAAGAAATTTCAAACTAATTATGCATCTACTACTCACTTACTTGCTGGCAAGAAAGTGCCATCATCTCTGCAGACAAAATCCAGTGATGTGGAAACAACAGTATTTTATATTCCTGGGGTGGATGTAAAGGTAAAATGAAGGGATAACTCAGAAGGCAGGCAGTGACAATGTTTTCTCTCCAACACAGTCAAACTGTACACTTCCTTGGTGTTTTAAATGTTATTTCTATGTCCTAGCATGAACGGGTCTCAACAGAAACGTCCTTGGATTTTGTGATTTGAACCCCTAATGGAGTAAGAACAGGGAAAAATCTGTCACTGCTTGAAGGAAATCGTCATGCAATTCAGTTGAGGCAATGCCATAAATCAAATGCTCCTCACTTGATACAGCTTGGCTTTTCTAGTCTTTCAATGTGAAAGAATTATGTGTGTCCATGTCCAGTATTCCAGGCTGTCTTCAGGGATTACAATTATACCTTAGGTCCTGCCTGTTGCTTTTAGTCAAATTCAGGAATAACTAAATGTTCTCTACAACTTTTGTTATGCTCTGTGTTTTGAGGCATAGTCTACTGTGTACGTGGAGGAGGTGTGAACCCCTGGGTTCAGGGGTATTTTGGTTTTTTTATGCCAGTTTCTATAGGCCTGTGTTTAGTAATGGAACAGCTCCACCATGCATTAAGGCAGAAGGGAGGCTGTGTTCATACGTGGCACAGGATGCATGTGATGTGACAGAGAGAGAAGCAAGCTTTAGTGTTCCTAAATAATACATTTTCCCTGTTTCTCTGTGTTTTGTTGAGTTTTTTAATAGTTTATTAGTATATCTATTTTTTGTATTAAGTTTTCAGTTCTTTTGTGTACAGGATGTGAATTGGAATGTAATGTATCTTACAATGACATTTCTCTAAAGAATGGGAAGAAACAAATTTTGGTGGGAAGGAGTGGCACCAAATGGCTGTACAGAAATTGAGTTCTTCATGTGAAGTAACTTGATCTTGCTTTGCTTTCCAGTTGCACTACAACTCCAAGACTCTAAAGACTGAATCGCCAAACACTTCTCGAGGATCCTCTTTGCCACGCACCCTTTCCAAAGAGTCCAAGCTGTATGGTATGAAAGATACTGCCACATCTCCTCCTCTCTCTAGCACTGTCCACAGCAAGACTAACACCTTACTTCCTCCCCAACCCCCACCCATCCCATCAGGTACTTATAGATAAATTTTCTGAACCTTTCATGGATATATTTTCCCTTGGTGTAATCTACTGCCTTTAGATCCGGCTGCACCTTACCTGGAGCAGTGTGTTTATCCATGCTTGACTTTGGCTGCAGAAACCTGACCCCAGAAGCAAGAATGCAGTTCATAAAGCTGCATTTTTAGACATGGTTTGCCAAACCAGTCTCAGTAATATTTTTGTCATAGTTACCACAGTGTTAGACTGTCACTGCCTTCTCCGAGTTTTCATTTAAAAAAAGAATGTTGGAAAGCACTGTAAATATTTGTAAATAACTCACCCATTGAAGGCCTTTAAATAGCCATGATTTGGAGTAAGTTGAGTTCAAATACAAGCTTTGTCGTGTCTCCAATGATTCCTGTTTTCAAGCAGGAGGTGGCTGTTACCTCATGTCAGATCTAGAGGCATGTAGATTGCATCTCCAGTTTCTGAGGCATTCACTCTTCTCTTCTTTGGCATTTAATATTGCTTTAAACACAAAACCAAAATTTTGTCAGAACTTGACCACCAAGCAAAATTAAGTAACTCAAAGTTGTGCTTGTAGGTGTTGCCTTATAAAATCACCAGAGATGCTGGGAGAGAACAGTGAAATGGGGATACCTTCCTCAACTCTCCATGCTGTTGAACCATTAGCTCTTACTCCTTTAGGTGGCCATCCTCTTTGATTACTAGATGTTGTGTAGCGGTTTATGCTACTTCTCTTCACTTTTGTTCTTTAGTCTGTATTCTTTCTCATCTTTGCTTCTGAATTCTTACCACATGATGTTCAGGTACTGAGTCTTGCTGCTTAAATGTCTGTAAGCTCTGCATTTGGTGTGGAAATTGCACTTGTATGATAATATATATGCCCCCCAGACTAGAGATTGGCTTATAATTGCATTATTTCTTTATGCATTTTATTTTTATAAGTATTTATTAGTCCTGAATGGTTTTGAAACACATCTATTTTTTGTTTATAGTACATTTTGTAATAGTACTTTTCCTCTGGAATGGAGACCAACTTCTTGTATTGTCTTTGGTTTCCAGTAAAAGTAAGATAGGACAATGTAGTCAGGCACATGAGGCAGAATAGTTTGCACAGAATGAAAAGTCAGTGGTTGTTGTTTTTTTTTTTTATCAAATGTAAGGAATTTTAATCTCTGTTTTAGTAGTTAATTTTTATATTTGTCTTGGAGAATTTTAAATCTATGTCTCCATTGATGTATATTCATTCTAATAGCTATATTGCATAGAGACAGTAAGTGAGCTGGTACTTCTCTGCATATTAACATTTTGATGAGCATGGATTCAAGATTCCTCTTCCACAAATTAACAAAACACTAACCTTTTTATTAGTTTATACTCTGGTTAGTTCCAAGCTTTCAAAAATTATGGTTTAGAATCCTTAGTCATTCTTTGCATAAATATAATAGGACTTGCCATTTGCAGTTTTAATTTTTTGATGTATTTTCTCTATTTAAACTGACATTCTTTCCTGACTTGTTGATTTATTTTTCCTAATACCACTTTCATTTCCAGTCAGCTGCGGTTTTTTTGCACTGGGTATTTGGAGAAGAACTATCTGTGTTTGATTTCAGGTCTAAAAAGTGAGGTGTTGACAATGACAACAAGAGTGCTGGGTTAAGAACATGAGCATGGAATAACTGCAATTAAGCCTTACAGACTAATGGTTATTTTTGCAAAGTGAAAACTTAATGACTTCATTTCTTGTAGCAGACCTGATCTATATCTCTTCAGATGATAGAGAAAATTAGAGGGCACAGCTTGATAAGTTATGAAGCGTCTTCTTATGTTTATCAGTTACTACTCAGTGGTATTACCTTAGGCAAATGTATCTTCTCAATGTTACAGCCAAAGGGAAAGGAAGTGGTGGAGTGAAAACTGCTAAACTCTACGCATGGGTTGCGCTCCAGTCACTGCCAGAGGAGATGGTGATCAGCCCCTGCCTCTTGGACTTCCTGGAGAAAGCCCTTGAAACCATTCCCATCACACCCATTGAAAGGAATTACACAGGTCAGTTGCACAGTTGTATTCTGGCACGCTGTGCTTTTTTGGTATTGAGCTGCTTTTCCTTTCAAATTCTGCTTTCTAATGAGTTCTTGTACTTGTTAAAAGCTGTTAGTTCCCAGGATGAAGACATGGGGCAGTTTGATATACAAGATCCCTTGGAAGAGTCCACAACATCCTTGGTGTCATCCTCAACATCAGCATATTCCTCCTTCCCTGTAGATGTGGTGGTTTATGTACGAGTCCAGGTGAGGGTTTAACTCAACATTCAGAGTAGTAACTTGCTTTAGTCACTGTCTTTTAAACAAGCCATGCTTCTAAGTTTGATTTTTAAAGAATAAAAACTCATGAAAAAAAACTTTTAAAGAATAAAAAGTAAAGTGTCCCTTCTGAATGCTTTATTTTCTTTCTGCCTGTCAGCCTTCTCAAATCAAGTTCAGCTGCTTGCCAGTATCCAGAGTTGAATGTATGCTGAAGTTGCCTTCCCTGGATCTTGTTTTCTCTTCCAACCGAGGAGAACTGGAAACTTTAGGTACAACATACCCATCAGAAAGTGTGTCCATTGGTGGCAGTACTCCACAGAGTGGCTCAAAGAATTCAGCTAGTAAATCTGGAGCGCCAGGTAATACATGTGTGGATGTCAATTCTCTACACAGAATATTTAAGCTATATTGCTGCTAGGGGCATATTTTGGAGTGTGTTTGGTCTGTTTAATATTGCTGTTAACATTAAGTATTCTTTCATGTGTGAAAATGCTTTCAAAATCTGATTTTTGCCTCCCCAAAAAATGACTGCAGGTTCATCACCTGGCCTTGGCAGCCCTCTGGGTAGGACGAGGCACAGCAGTAGTCAGTCAGATCTGACTACTTCCAGCAGCAGCTCTTCAGGCCTGAGCTTTACTGCCTGCATGTCTGACTTCTCCCTTTACGTGTTCCATCCCTACGGAGCTGGAAAACAAAAATCAGCTGTTACTGTGCTAACCCCTGGATCAGGAGCCTTGGGTATGGAACAAGGTTTTGTTTGTTTTATGAACATGATTCAAGCGTGGCATGCGTTTCTGAACTGCAGGTTTGAAAGGATAACAGGAAATGAAAATGTTTCCTTCATGCTTCTAGGGAACGTGGATGAGGAGCCAACTTCGGTCACTGGCCGGAAGGACTCCCTGAGCATCAACCTGGAGTTTGTGAAAGTCAGCTTGTCACGGATCAGGCGATCGGGAGGCTCCTCCTTTTTTGAGAGTCAGTCTGCGAGCAAAGCTACCAGCAAGATAGACACCACATTGATCAACATATCTGGTAAATGCTTCTTTCATTTTAATCCCAGCTAATTAGAGAACTGCTGCTCCAGTGATGGACTTTACTCATGGCAGCTTTCTTTTTTTGGTAAGATCTATGTATTTATTTTCTGCCCCTGCACATGGGATCCTGACTTACTGGGAAAACAGCAGGATGGTTGTGATTAATCTGCCATTAAAATCCTCCCATGAGGAGTCTGAGGTACATCCAACACAAGCAGGACTCAACATAATCTGTATTCTTGGGTTCCACCTTGTCTTTATGAAGTGCATTTATAGCTAATGTTTGGACTCAGAGAAATGGCAACACCTCAGGAAAACTATGTTTTCATGACAGCAGAGATAGTACTACTAGGTGAAGGAGAAAATTACTTGGTTACCTAAACCTGTTATTACTGGAAATTTACAATTGTGTGCATGTGCTTTTTCAGCTGTCTGTGACATAGGATCTGCTTCTTTCAAATACGACATGCGCCGCCTCAGTGAGATCCTGGCCTTTCCCAGGGCTTGGTACAGGAGAAGCATTGCTAGAAGGCTTTTCCTGGGTGATCAGACAATAAATCTGCCAGGTAAGAGACTGCTGCTTATCACAAAAAAATCTTGTTACACAAAGAGTTCCAGTAGGAATTTTTATAAGCATTAATTACCCATGTCATATTATATCACTGAATAAGTGTAAATGTATTATGATTTACTCCACATGAAGTCACTCAGAGACATTTGATAGGAAATCCTAGACAGAAGACATGAAAAATTCCTAACATAGGTCACTGAACAATTTAAAGAGTATATTCCAAGGCCAGGTTGGATGTGGCCCTGAGCAGTCCAATCTAATAAATGGCATCCCTGCCCATGGCAGGGATGACATTAATGATATTAATGATAAATGATATTTAAGGTCCCTTCCCAAACCATTCTATAGTTCTGTGATTTATAAACAAAAACAGTAGAAAACTTTGAGTTATGTCAAATGAAATACATTTATTTCTTGATACTTCTTAGTATACGTGAGGATATGGTTAGACAAAAATGAAATAGTTTTTCTGTATTTCCTGTGCTGCGTTTTCTCCAGTAGCATCAGGCCCTGGCACACCAGATTCAATTGAAGGAGTGAGCCAGCACCTTTCTCCTGAATCCTCAAGGAAAGCATACTGTAGGACATGGGAGCAGCCCTGCCAGTCTGCTTCCTTCACTCACATGGCACAGTCCCCCAATGTTTTCAGTGAGCACAGTGCCAGCAGCAGTATGTCACCTGGCACAGCATCTCACAGCCTCAAGTCTCCAGCTGTCACAAGATCCAGGAGCGTGTCTGACTCCTCAGTGCCTCAGAGAGGTGAGTAGATAGGGACTTGTATGTTTGTTTTTTTAAAAGTATTTCCATCAGCTGTGTTAAAGAAGTATGTCATTACCACTTTGAAAATATTATTTTCCACAGTGCCTGGCACTGGAGAGTCAATGGCTTAGAGATTAAAATGGATGAATGAAAGCTGTTAGCATATTTTCCATAAAATTTCCCTATCTGTGAGTCAATTTCTGTGACAGCTAAAGCAATGTGTATTGCAAATCCTCTAGTTCTCATTTATTGTCTCTTATGGTTTTGTATTCTTAATAAAAATGGTGCTTGTCAGTCCTTTTGTAATATTCAAATATATTCAATATATTCAGTATTCATGGATATATTCTGCCAGTTTTTCCTAGCATATGGAATAATTTTAATTTTTATCCTTTTTTTTCTGTTTAGATACTATCTCAAAAACATCAACTCCATTTAATAAGTCAAATAAAGCTGGAAGCCAGCAAGGAACACCATGGGAAACACTGGTTGTGTTTGCTATGAACCTGAAACAATTAAATGTTCAGATGAATATGAGCAATGTAATGGGCAATACTACGTAAGTAGAAAATACAATCAAGTATGTTTTAGCAGGTAGTGGTGTTTGGGGGAAAATAGCCAATTTTTTCTCCACAGACTGTTAACAGTCTGTTGTCTTTTAGCTTTAAAATCCTACCCTTTTCAGTTTTGAACTGAGAATTACCTCATGAATACTGCAGTTGCTTAATCCTGAAGCCACATATGCCTAAATTCAACCTTATTCACTGCTTTCCAGTAGATGATACTCGGTTTCTCTTTTGGGAACCTGGAAAATTGTTGTCTGTTTTCATCTCTGTTTCTAGGTGGACCACCAGTGGTTTGAAAAGTCAGGGCCGTCTGTCTGTGGGCAGTAGCAGAGATCGGGAAATCAGCATGTCTGTGGGCTTGGGAAGATCCCAACTGGACTCCAGAGGGGGAGTTGTTGGAGGTACCATAGATGTTAACACCCTGGAGATGGTGGGTAAGTTGGAAAGCCTCCTGCTGGTAGCATGTGCTTGTCAGTAAAGGTGATTATCACTGGAAAAACTGATTTTCATCTCTTTAATTCTGTATTTCTATATTGCTTTGGTTCTATTTCAGCTCATATTTCTGAACACCCAAACCAACAGCCCAATCATAAAATTGAGATTACTATGGGTTCTACTGAAGCACGTGTTGACTACATGGGATCCAGTATCCTAATGGGAATCTTCAGTAATGCTGATCTTAAACTGCAGGATGAATGGAAAATTAATCTGTATAATAATCTGGATTCAAGCATGACTGATAAAAGGTAATATTATTTGCTTAAAATGTATGGTGTTTGATAATGTCAAATGTCTCCTGTCCAATACTTTAACCAGAAATGTGTCTGCTAGAAGACAAAGGATTCATTGTTTGGTTTTGGTTGATTGTTTTTTTTTAAATTGTTGGTTGGAAATATATTAACTGCTAATTTTCTTGCTATTTTTACTACCTAGTGAGATATTTGTCCACGGGGACTTGAAATGGGATATCTTCCAAGTGATGATTTCAAGGTCGACTACGCCAGACCTGATAAAAATAGGAATGAAACTCCAGGAGTTCTTCACTCAGCAGTTTGATACAAGCAAACGAGCGCTGTCCACGTGGGGACCTGTTCCTTATCTCCCTCCCAAGACAGTGGCAAACAACTTGGAGAAAACCTCACATGAGCAATGTAAGTGCTACCAAAAAATAATGATTCCCAATTAAAATGTTTTAACTGCTGAAATTGCCTAGGAGACAGTGTCAGTGAAACAGATAAGAAAATATAACTCATAATTCCATGTTTTACTAAGAATATAAATATGCCAGCAGTTTTTTCTGTGTCTTGCCTGAAGTTTGCTGTGCATGTTTGCTCTGCAGTGTTGGATGCAGCCCATCATCGCCACTGGCCAGGAGTTCTGAAGGTGGTATCTGGGTGCCACATATCCCTATTCCAGATGCCACTGCCAGAAGATGGGATGCAGTTTGGAGGATCCATGAGCCTGCATGGGAACCACATGACCCTGGCTTGTTTTCATGGACCTAATTTCCGCTCAAAATCATGGGCCTTATTTCACCTGGAAGAACCCAATATTGCGTTTTGGACAGAAGCCCAGAAAGTTTTGGAAGATGGTAATTTGAACTGTTTACTCATTCCTCTAAACATCTTTACATGAGGTTTTAATAATGTATTATTATGTGATAATACATCAAAGAAAAATTTATTTTCTTTTTCTGAATCAAGAATATTTCCCAAAAACATACCACTTATCTAAAAATAATCTGTTCCCTCCACCCCTTTACCACAATTTGCTTTATCTGTGGAATAAAGTGCATTTTCAAATGTACTGGATATGTCCCTGATAATGAGCCTACTGAGTGGATTGCCTGGATTTTAATTGTCTATCTGTGTAGTCATTCCTAGCTGCAGGATGAATTTTGATGACCTTATTACTTATATTTGTCTTAATACTGTGAGGTTTTACTGTCTGTAGCTACTGAGGATTTAATTTCTCTGTTGTTTTCAAGCTTTATACCAGGTTTTATTCCACTGGCACACTAATTATTCATATTAAATACCTGTAGGAGAATGAGAGAAAATTCCACTACCCCCACAAAGCTGCTTTTACTTTATTTTTCCTCTCCCACCCCACGTTGCCCACACCTTCAATGCAGGTACCAGTGAACACTCCACTTACATTGTTCAAACCCTGGACTTTCATTTGGGCCATAACACCATGGTCACCAAGCCCTGTGGGGCCCTGGAAAGCCCCATGGCCACCATCACAAAGATAACGCGGCGCCGCCACGAAAACCCCCCCCATGGAGTTGCCAGCGTGAAGGAGTGGTTCAATTATGTGACAGCCACGAGGAATGAAGGTTAGAGTGAGGTTCATTCAGACTGGGGATTGATCTGCTTGCAGATGGAGCTGTTGAAAAGCTGCTACATCTCAAGCGTATAAACAAGAAATTTGATTGACCTTTTCTAGCTACGCTTTTGGGAGTAGAATAAAAGAGAAAATCTTATCAATAATCATACAGCAGCAGTTTTACAAGTGACTTTTCTTAACTTTTTTGCCCTGTCATGATTTAACATCTCCCATTGTTCCTGTAGAGTTGAACCTGCTGCGGAATGTTGATGCCAACAACCCAGAGAGCAGCACAACAGTGAAAAGCTCAAGCTTGTTAAGTGGCTTCAGGGGTGGCTCCAGTTACAACCATGAAACTGAAACCATCTTTGCATTGCCAAGGATGCAGCTGGATTTTAAATCTATTCATGTTCAAGAGCCCCAAGAGCCTTCATTACAAGGTGCAGTAAAACATAATTTGCTTTTTCCTGGTGAAAAACTATTTCTCGCAAATTAGGAGTTAAAGGCAATGGTATTGTGCTGATAAGAGGATTTAATATGAGAATTGCTGCAGATCTGCAAGAAAAGACAACATTTTGTAGTAAAATGTAGAGGGAATTATTTTGAGGGAGTGAAGGTCTAGTGCAGAGGCTGGTCGTTGTAAGAAAAAACTTACTAAGAGAAATTAATATGGACATTTCAGCTACACTGGCTGTTTCATGGGCTTTGTTTCCTTATATTTATTAAACTGCTAACTGTGGTCTTTCCTCTCAAGAGTTGCTGGTTCAATGAAAAATATTCTTTTCAATTGATTTGAATTCAAATTATATGTACTTTCAGTATGTATTTGTTAAGTGTATTGATACTATTTTTATATTGCTGTAGATACAAGTGTTAAACCAAAGGTGGAATGCAGTGTGGTAACTGAATTTACAGACCACATCTGTGTGACCATGGATGCTGAACTGATCATGTTTCTTCATGATTTGGTGTCTGCTTATCTAAAAGAAAAAGAAAAAGGTGAGTTGTTGTTCATCAAGTAACACTTGTCTGACAATCTGCAGTTGTCAGATTATTTAACAGTAAACACTGTCATAATCATGCTCCTATTTTGACACCTGGTGTTTAACTTTCTCTTCATAACATGGTATAGGCAGATTAAAACTTTTAGAAAGCTTTATTCTTGTTATTGTGATTCTTTCATCAATGGATTCTTTTCAAGACATGCATTTTTCTGATTTCAGAATTATTGCTTTTATGCCTTTCTAATGTTCAGTTGCAGCATTCAAATTTGGCAGGTTCATTCTTAAGCAGTATGTGGCCTTCTGCAGAAAATCTGGAAACATGAGGGGGTTCTCTTCTTGTTGAGACTCATGCTTTTATTTAAACTGTGTACAAAAAGAATCCAAGTGAGCTGCTCATGGCTGACTAGTGATTTTGCTCTCTCCCCTTTGCAGCAATTTTTCCTCCTCGTATTCTGGCTGCTCGTCCAGGGCAGAAGAACTCTGTTGGTGTCCTTGAGGACAGCTCCACTGACAAAGAGTCAGAAGAAAGCATTACCTACACTACAGTTGACTGGAGGGAGTTTATGTGCAATACTTGGCATTTGGAACCCACGCTCAGGTAAGAAACATCTTTAGCTGCAGTCTCTTTGGCTATGCATTAACTTCTGGGTTAGAATTTATGCAGATTAAAGGCATTGTTGAAGGCCCTTCTGAATTAGGATACAGTAAACTTAAACTCAGTTATTTCAGTCAGGTTTTTCACCTCCTTAAACGTCCTCTTCCTTTGAGATGTTCCATTGATCATCTTGAGCTTATCTGTCTAAATCAAGTCTGAAACAATGCCTGTTAGATTTAAGTTGGTCACGAGTAACACTGGAGGAAGTTGTTTTTTTTGTATATACAAATGCTGATTTGCTATATTTATATATTTAAAACTGAGTCTTCTATTTATTGCTTTTTTTTAGATTAATATCCTGGACTGGGAGAAAAATCGATCCTGTTGGTGTTGACTACATCCTCCAAAAGCTTGGCTTTCACCATGCAAGGACTACTATCCCTAAGTGGCTGCAGCGTGGCGTCATGGATCCTTTGGACAAAGTTTTGTCAGTCCTTATAAAGAAACTTGGTACTGCACTACAAGATGAAAAGGAAAGGAAAGGAAAAGACAAAGAAGAATATTAAACGTACAATGTGACAAACCTAACTCCATTTGATTTTATCAAAGTGTTTATTATATTTTAAGAACTTAAATATGGTTTAAAGAGAAACCTAACAGCTTTTTGCTACTCTATTTAAAACTTACATTGTGAGTAACTGTTTACTGTGGTACTTGATACCATTCTGTATTTGAAGTTATTGCATGATGATGACCAATGTACATTCTGTGAAGGAATAGCTGGAACACTGTAAATCTGCTCCTCAGCGTCCATTTTATGATGTGCAATATGATCCTGCATCTTTACAATACTTGCAGATTAACTGTGAATTTTCTTAAAATTTTACTTGCCATAACACAAACCCCTCGTTGATGTGACCAGTAATTGATTTGTCAATGTAGACTGGTGTAAATTATATATATATATATAACTTATGAAACTGTGATTGCCTTAGTGCTAAAAATCATGAAGTTTATTACACTTGTAATAAAATTTAACTACTGTACAGGACCTTTTTTTATATTGATCAAGGAAGCTGAACAACAAGAAGAGTGTTTTTAAGTGTAACTTTGCAGACTTTGATTTAAGCGATGTAAAGCCCAGGGGCATGCCGGGCGCCAGGAGCTCGGGAAGCAGCCGCAGGGCGGGAAGCGCCGCCCCGACCCTGGGATCGAGGAAGGAGCTGCTCCCGGCCCGTGGCGGCTTCGGGTTCCGTCCTTGCCCGGTGGGAGCGGCCCGAGAAAGCGAGCAGGGGGCCGGGAAGGCTCTAGCAGGCGGCTGGAAGCGCTGTTGCAGCGGAGCGGGCAGCACACAGCGGCGGCTGGAAGCGCTGTTGCAGCGGAGCGGGCAGCACACAGCGGCGGCCTCCCCGCCGCAGCCGCTCCCTCAGCACAGCGGCGGCTTCGCGCCTCGGCCGCGCCCCTCCCGAAAGGGCGGGAAGGGCTGCGAGGGGCCGCCCCCGGCTCGAAGGGCGGAGGGCTGCCCGCCTCTCGATCGGGGGCCGCCGCCTCAGCCCGGCTGGGCGCTGCCGGCTCCTCCAGCCTCGTGTGCCCTCAGGGGTGCTCTGCCTGCCCGCGGGGCGTGAGCGCTGAGGAGCCTTCCGCAGGTACCAAACCCTTCAGCTCCAGCGCCGGCTCGTCCTGGAAGCTTGAGAGGGATCAGCTTTGCTGCTTTGGTTGGCCTCGCTCCCTCAGGAGAGGTGGCTTGAGGAGTTGGCGGGTCTTTGGAGGGGCAGAGCCGCGCTGGGTGTGAGGGAAGGTGGCCTCACAAAAGGGAGAAGTGCCGTGTGGGAAAGGACGCCGGGTCTGGGTTCTACCCCAGCCCTGGGCGGGTTGTTCCTGTGAAATAGGTTGGCCAGGAGGACTGCTGGTGTTTTTGCAGGGTGTTTTTATACTGGCAGCGTTAGTGAGTTCAGTTTCCGCAGGTCGGTGGGAAATGGCGAGCAGCAATGGCTGCTTTGAGGGCGCGGCAATGTTCGCCTTCGACCCCGCGCCTGGGAAGGATTTGCCCCCCGAGGTTTTCAGACAGCCAATTTCAGAGGATCTCTCCGAGGCTGTGACTGCAAGGCTGAATCCTCCACCTTGTATGACACGCAGTGCATCAGAGGTGATGAAAAATCCAGGTAATAGTTTGCAGTTCATACAGTGGGGCTGGCTGTTAATGGTGTTGAAAGTAAACTTGCTTTTATTGCTGTATTTTCTTACATGACTTCTTTGCCATCTCCTCAAATTTCCCTCCTCTTCTAAAGTCTTTTTGTGCTGGAAGTCTTTTAGCCATTTGTTGTGGGGTGGTGTATGTATTCTGCAGCATTACCTAATTGTAAAGTTCAAGTTAAAAAGTACTGTCGAGTGACAAAATATAGAATATGTTCTGCTGCATGAGTTTTCATAAATAACATTGTGAAAGGGTTTAACTGCAGTTTGAGATGTCCCAGAATGTATTTTGAGTTGTGTCACTTTGAATAGTTGTGTTGCGGTAAAGGCAGCTGTTAAGATGCTTAAAAGCGAGGATTTCTTTTACTTCTTGGCTGGGAGGTGTTTGTCCTTGGGTCTATCACACCCCTGAAGCTGATGATTTCATCCATCCAGTGGTTGCTCAAACTTTTATAGTGCCTTAAAACAGAGAGTCCCCACTGCTGCCCAGCTTTGTGTGGAGGAAACACACAGGTTGCACCGTTTGGTATCTGCCATCAGCAACTTCGTTTTGATTGTTGATTTACAAGCGAGGGGAGGGGGAATATATGTTGTGGGGTTTTTTTTTGTTATATATCTCTGTCTATATTCAGAAATTACTTTTTTTTACTACAGTAAAAGGTTTGATGCTTTTAAAAGAGGATGTACACACTTTTGGAATTGCTGTTGTTGCTAATGTAGAGTTCAGTACAAAGCAGTAATGCTCTACAGTAAATTTGGGTTTGCTTTTTTAAGAAGCATCTGAAAAGCATTTTTTGTAAGCAGGTTTTCAGAGAGTGTGTTCAGTTCTCTCCTTATTTTTTTTTTAAGGACCTTTTCTTTTTGAAGGAGCTGACACCACTGCATTTTCAGCCCTTCCCTCACAGAAAGACCTGGATCTGATTGAAAGATACAAACAGGGAGTAATAAACTCAGTATCTGCCTTGCATCTGTATGCCAAAATGCACCAACTGCAGCTTGAATTGAAAGAAACCAGCGTGGCAGGTAAACTATTCTGCTACCAAATAAAGTAGTATTTGCTTATCTTTGAGAGTATCTAAGTTGATGTGCTGGTGCAGCTGAACCTATTTACTGTTGATTGCACTAGCCTCACATATGTTGAGTTTTGGCTGCCCTTTAGTTGCCTCCACAGCTGTTTCTCATGATGAGGTGCTACAGAAATCGAGCAGGTGAATTGTGTTTAATTATGGCTGTTGACAGAACTCTGTGAAGAGTGCATTAAGTGACAGCTGCCAAAATTCTTGGGGAGGTTAGGGATGAGGGTTTTACTTGGCCAAAATTGTCTTTTTGTCTTGTAAAAGTTATGGATGAAGTGCCTTAAAATAATTTCACTGATTGCTTCTGATTTTTTCTTCTCCCTTGAAGGTGATGTCATAAGGCCTTATTTTGCCTTTTGTGCTGTGATAAATGGTGTTTGCTACAAGACTGGACTGGGAAAGAACAAGAAGGAATCTAAATTAAATGCAGCTAAACTGGCTCTTGCTGAGCTACTTAACTTGGAGAATACAGGGGCAAAATGTTTTCAAGATTCAGGTAAGTATTGTAGCAACACCTAATTAGAGCTTGAAATGCTTGGCTTAATAGTGTCCTGTGCAAAACATCTGTGGTTTTATTAAATGCTGTAGTATTGGCCTCTGTCAGATTTTTTGAATCCTTGAGGCAAATCTGTAGTTTGGTTCTGAATCTGTTCTTTATTTTTTTCATTTGTTTATTAAGAGTTACATCAGCTGATGCCAGGGATACTGAAGGAATGAATTTGTTGCTGTTGCACTTGATTTGTTCCTTATTAGGTATAGTGACATGAAGTACATCTTAAGTGGGTTTGAATTTTTATGGTTAAAAGACTTCCTCAGCGAGATACTACTTTCAACAGAGTTCAGTTGCCATAATATTTTACCTTTTGAGTTTTGCTATCTGAATCATTCTAAGCTTACAAGGACTTCAGAATCAGAAGAGGAAGTTCATAGAGAATTAGAAAGTTTGACTTGCTGCAAATAGTGCAATATTGGTGTTTAGAAATTAGGCATCTTCATCCCACTTCAAAATATTCTTAAATTCTTAGATTTTCCCTGTGTTCCTCCTGAGCCCCGACCTCCAGGAAACTCTGCTTGTGTTTCAAGGACTGGTAAGGAATAGTCTTGGTTTTCCTCTGTTGATTCAAATTGGTCAGCAGATGGTTTATGTTTAAAAATTTTCCATTTTCTAATACGGTAAGTGATTTCTATGTTGTTAATATTTTACTAACTTTTAAACATATTTTATTAATTGTTTTAAACATACTTGAAGGCTATAAGAACTAGTATTGCTAGGATGATTCTACAAAAGGGCACAACTTGAGTAAATTGCTTGAATTCAGTAAATTTGCTTAAATTCCTATCACCAGTCCAGGTGATAGAAATAGAGACAGTATTTTCTGTACTTACTTGAGCTAGTGGCAGTGTGTGATCATATTTGGGCTGTATCTGTTGTTACTATAATGGACGATAAAAGCATCAAGTTTTTGGGTGTTCTTGAGCTTTTTTAAATCCCAAGGATCATCAGAATCCCAAAAATACATGTGGTTGTGCTTATACATGTGCTCAGGGTTATAATTTGCTCATATCTGTTTTTTCTGCTACCTGCAAATTTGTGTCTTGATGGATTCCGTTGTTTCACTTAGGAGGAGAACATACCTATCAAAAACTCTCACAAATGCTTGAGGAAGTGTTTAACCGCCTGACTGCCCAACACCCCGAGTACCAAAGCTGTGGCAGTTCTCTGGCTGCCTTCATCATTGAAAAGGGCAAGTTTGGTTTGATGTGAGCTTCGGGGAGTGGGAAACCTGTTCCCACAGAGCACTTGGGAGCAGTTTGGTGGGCAGCCAGGCCAGCTGAACCTACCACCATCTCTGGTTTTAGGTGGGCAGCATGAGGTGGTAGCTCTGGGGACAGGAGAATGCAACTACAGCCGGCGCTTTGAGTCCTGTGGGAGGCTCTTGCACGACAGCCATGCTATTGTCACTGCTAGGCGTTCCCTGCTCAGGTGAGAATGTCTCTGCAAATCCCCTTCCCTTGCAGCCAGTTTGTGTCAGTTTCACTTCTGCACTTGAATTCTGTAGTTATGTAAAAAAAATAATATAAACACATATCCATATGTATATATATACTGTAAAATATATTAATTTATTTTTCTTTTAGATATTTGTACAGGCATCTTTTGCTGTTCTATAACAAAAATCCAGCCAAGGCAGAGAGATCCATATTTTGCACAGCACCAGGCTCAAAGCTGCTTACCTTAAAGCAAAATATAACTCTTACTCTGTACATGAATCAGCTTCCAAAAGGAACTGCTCAGTTAAAATCAGAGGTGTAAGTACTGTGGTATTTCCTGAGATAAGGTGGAAGATGAATTTTTATCTTGTTTTGGGTATGTTAATGTACAGGCTAGTTATGATAAATATGCAATACAGCTCAATATGATGATACAGAAAACTTCTACATGGGTTATAGAAGTTTATTTGGTTTGTTTATTACAGACAATAACCTGTTAGCCCCCTTCCCAAGATACTATTAAATCATGAATTTAACCACTAAGCAAGTGAATGCGATGATTTAATGCCATCATATGCAGTACAAGATTGGAGTACAAAAAGCCTTGAATTGAAACAAAAGGCTCTGCTTTGTTGTCTTACCCCTTTGTAACTAAGGGAAAAAGCTGTTTTGCTTCAGAACAGCCACTGGTTTGTCTCCTTTAGGTGTTGTATCTTTTTACTTAAATATTTTGAATCACAGTGTGAGTTACATTTTAAAGGAGATTTTAAGAACCTTACAGCTGTTTTTTCACAAGTGACTTCTGTTAAGAATGTGAATAGACAAAAAAGTGACAGCTTGTTTGTAGGTGATTTTTTTAATGTGTGCACAACTGGTGGCTAAGATTAGACTGAGTGGCTGTTTCCTATTTAAATACTGATTTCAGTGTTACAGGCACTCGAGCAGTTCAATCTGTTTCTGAGAATTACAGACATTGAAGATAATACAAGGCCTAGATCTACTGATTTTTTTCTGAGAAGCAGCATTAGATACCACTTACTGTAATATCTGATCAGAGCGCTTTCTCACCGAAATCCATTCTCTTGTCCTGCCTTAGGCATCTCAGTCCCCATTCTATATCTGCTTACGAAGCCAGTGAAGAACTGAGTCTGCACGTTGCTTTAGAAGGCAGAATTTACCTGGCTGTTTGCTCTCCCCCCAAGACTGTCAGGGTGAGCAGCATGTCAGCTGGTGACAAACTGACCAAGTGGGAGGTGGTTGGTCTTCAGGGAGCCTTGCTGAGCCACTTCATCGAACCCGTGTACATCAGCAACATTCTTGTGGGTATGTTCAGTGCAAATTGCAGGTGGGGGGTTTCTGTGTTTTAGTATTCCAGTCTGATTGTGTTTTATAAAGCATTAACTAAACCACAAATTCTTTGAAGAATTACAGAATTGTTCCTTGAGATGCAGTGCACCAAAGTGTATTTATTTAGTAGGCAGTCAGAATTGCTGTTGGATATGAGGTATTGTGGGTAAACTCCTTAAACATATTTTCTAGTTTGAAAGGTTGAAATGCTGTTTTAGCAGGGAACATAAAGAGTTGGTGAAAAACAAGCAGTGCTTCAAAAAAAAGAAAGCATCCAATGAAAATAATGGTGTCTCTGGAGAAGAAAATGGGAAATAATTTTTGTTCTGTGAATTGAATATTGGAACTGATCTTTAAAAACATGAATTTTATGTGAAAAAATTACTGTAATAGATCAAGAATGCAGAAATATATGCATTTTTAACTATTTAATTTGGTGTACTTGCATGTGGCTGATCTTGTCCTGTTTATTAGGAAATGGAAGTTGTAAGGATACAAAAGGACTGGACATAACCATAAAGCAGCGTCTAGATGATGAACTTACTTCAAAGCTTCCCATGCATTACCTGGTCAATAGATCTCATATTTACTTGGTGAAGGCTGCAGTACTAATCCAAACAGATCTGAACCAGTGGTCACTTAGTTTGAATTGGACATTGTCAGATGCATCTCTGGAGGTTGTGGATGGATTAAGTGGGAAAACCACTGAAAGGTCAGCATTTATCTTCATTTTGTTGGAAATAATGGGTTTGTGCTGGTTTAGTGGAGTATTCAGTTTTTTAAGCTATGAGAGAAATTCTCTCCCATGTTAGCTGAAAGCATCCTTTGATTAAGTGAAGTTTTAGAGATCTTGTAAGCTCACAGTGAAATACCAAGATACCAAACAAAACAGTTCTCTCAGTGAAGATATCTTTAGTCCATTGGCTGTAGTAGCGAAAATGTTTTAGCTTTCACAATACATAAAACTAATTAGGATTCTAATCGAGATGGATTCTAGTTGAGATGGATTCCAGCGTGATGGTATTCACAAAGTGTTAGGAGGGAGGGGAAAACCTTGTAAGCATCAGAGCATCTTCCTTTAGTGCCTTTGTTCCTGAGTTCTATCCCTGTTTCCCTGCTCTGCCCGCAGCTCCCCGTTCCGCAGCGGCACCTGCCTGGCCAGCCGCCTGTGCAAGGCCGCCATGTTCAGCCGCTTCAGGATGCTCGCCAGGGAAGCAGGACGGGGTGACCTGCTCCAGTTTGCAACATACCATGAGGCAAAGGTGAGCTGACACAGGGAGAGCTATCATTTTTGCAGTGTTTGTGCTTATTACATGTTGGTGGTAAAGAACACGGATCTCTGTAACCGTAATTCTTAAGACTTTTTCATGGTTTTTCTTTTTTCTTCTTTTAGGTTAAATCTCAGTTGTACCAAGAAGCTAAAAGCTTGCTGCAGAGCTACTTAGAGCAGCACAGTTATGGATCGTGGATTGTGAAGTCGCCACATATTGAACAGTTCAGTGATTGATGGAGGTGGATTAAATGTTAAGTCCGTTTGAATGATCTGTTTCAGTAAATGGAGTTCCAAGTAGTAAAATGTTCAACCTGGAAGTTTGTAGTTACAGGAAGAAAATTCCAGAACTGTTTATTGTCAGTTTAAATGTAGTTATTAAACCACCTGTAATAGTTGGTCTTTTCCCAAAATTGATGTTTTCTCATAGGTGGGAGTAACCTACTGCTTTGTAAATCTTTGTTCTGCTTTGACCCACAGTGCCACCTCATTTCAGCTCACTGACCCTGACTCCTACACATCCCCACCCTGTGGAATTAACATGGGTTTTTCCTGATAGTTTCAGAATTTCTGTACATTGATTTATACTTTTTCCTCCCTTTCTCATAACTTTAGAAAAGAAAATATCAGTAAAAGCTGGATTTCTTTAAAAAAAAGGGCATATTAATGTGAACATTTTCAGAAAAAAAAAAAAGAAATGGACAGTCTGTACTTTCTTTGTAGGCATTCATTCTTTGCTGAGAGTTTTGTTTAGTGTGGATCTGCCAAGTAGTATATATTGTTTATGCTAGAAGAGTTGAAAATAATTTTTGTATTTCCAAATATGAAACCTGGAATGACCAGCTATTACTCAACTGTCTTGTGACAATTACTGGTTCTGGTAATTATTTAAAGTATTATGCAGGTGTCAAAGCTGTTAAGAAAGAAAATAATGCAATGTAGTATACAAGTCTCCAGAAACAAGGTTTTTTCAGCTTTTGTGATTTGCCTCAAACTCCATCAATGTTAATGCTTTTGGATGAGTTGGACTCTTGCACTGAAGATGACTTCATCACTGCTGACAAGTGCTAGTGAAATTGTCTGCATACACAGTAACCTCGAAAATTCTTTTAAGTCCTGGTAAGAACATGGTAGTACTGGGAAGGTGTTGTTAAGTGCCATATTTGGAGTTGGTGTGGTGTCTTGAACACTTCTGTGTTCAAACTAGACAGTACACTTTGTGATTTCTGTAAATCATGCAAGTGGGGGTTTATGCAGTATTCTCGTACATCAGGAATAGTGAGTGTAGTGCTGTAGTTGTGTTTCACCTTCTTAGTGTTAGAGGATTCTCAGAGAAGTTCCTCCTCCCGGTGTTTGTTTCTTTCCTTAGTCTGTTCTTCCAGCTAATACCATATGTAGAGTCTTCTGTTGGGATGATCTTACCCTGATTCACAAGCTGTTGAAACTCGCTGACTTGTTACTGCTTGGTCCTTGACCTTTTTTGGCTCATGTGCTCTCTTGTTTCCTGTTACTGTCCCTTAACTTTGGGGGGTTGTGTGGTGGTATTTGGTTTATTGTGGCATATGGAACTGCTTGTTCGATGTAATGTTTCCTAAGAATGCTTGGGAATGGTCGTCATATTCCAGGCTAGAGCACAGTGTTGCCTTTCTGTAGTGGTGTTAAAAGTTCAATAAACGTCCTTGACAGTGCGTTAGCTATACCTTCATGCATACAGGTTCTGGGACATGACATACAAATCTGACATACACGTCACATACCACACATGTGTTTGCATTCTATACACTTCTGGATTGTTTTTTGTATGAACTTAGTCTGCTGAGGTATTGGCACCAAGGTGTTTTCCTGTAGTTGACCCAGAATCCTTAATTATGTGCAAGTACATACTTAGTACAATTTTTTTTTGTGTGCTTCAGCCATTTTACTAATTTAACAGCAAACTGAAATTTCCATGGAACTTAGGTACTGTCTTAGGAAGAGAGATGTTAAGGAAGAGCTTGTGTTTGGCTGGACACAATCACTGTGTCCTTGAGCAGTAACTTGATGGTAACAGTGTAGGTCCAGTTCTTTTACCTGGATTGTTCTTTGATTTAGTAGCAGCATATGCAGCATGCATTAAGCTAGTAAATGCATCCAGGTTTTTCCTCAGCTACTTCAGCAACTCCCAACATGTGTGATCCTACAAGCTTGAGAGGGGGCAAGAGTGCTGCAGTTCCAGTGCTGAAGCTGGAGATGTATTCCCAGCAGGTCCAGGCACACAGAGCAGGAATGCATCACACAGATATGGCACAGAGCAGACGGAGGCAGGTGAGCACCACCAGCAGCAGCCTGTGGCTGAGCTCAGCCTCTCCCTCCCATGCTTGAGAAGAACTGAGCTCCAGGGGGAAGAATGGATGTACACATGGATATGGGGTGGATGTGGGAGTGTTCTTTCCACTCCCTGGAGCTCTACCTGACTCACACAGCTGGGTGACGCACAGTGTATTTTAGGAATGGTACTTCCCAATTCCATGCCCCCCACTGGGACTCTCCAACCCAGTGCTCTCTGTGCTTCCCTGTTTCTGCCTTCATCTTCCTCCTGTAGTGGGTTGGAGTGGAGAATTGGAGGCAGAAGGGGAAAGGCTGTGGAGTTAAGAATTTACTGGAAACAGTGATTGTGCATATGGGGGGAAAAAAACCCCAATAATAGACAATTGTGGACAGCTCCCTCCACTATTTTCTGAACCAGAAGGAAATCCTCCCTGGAAGAGGATCCCTTTCCTCCATCCCTGCTGATGATGTGAGGTGATAGAGAATGACCTCTGTGTCTTGGTTGTGCCCTCTTCTGGATACTGCAGAAACTGAACCCTGTCCTGCCTGGACGAGAACATTGCTCAGCCTTATTACATGTGAACACGGGTCTCATTTCCATAGTCAATGGCTCTCCCTCCAAGATGGTGGTTAGTTTAGTCCATCACTGTGGCTTCTGTCTATCCTAGATGTACACACAGTACATACAATATTACACAATTACAGACATTACAGAAGTCAAATCCCCTTCAGGTACACATTGTTTCCACTGCATTATTCCACAATGTTTCCACAATTCCTCTCTGTATTAGCTGCCATGTGCCCGTGGGTTTTGGGGCAAAAACAATCCCACACGTGGTTTTGCCTTTGCTTGAGGGAGTGCTAATCCACTGTATAATGTCATGCATCATACTGTGTCACCACATCTCAGACTTAGTACATTCAGATGCTTGTCACATAAATACGCACACACCCCTATTGTGTCACTAGCATTTCGTGGCACATGTCAAACATCTTTGATACTAGAGCTGTGCAATCAAGCAGGAGAAGGCAGCTCAGAAAATCAATTCTGATAATTTTTTTAGGGGTTCTGTGGTTTTTTTACAACTTACAGGGGGAAGGTATGTTTAGGAAAGTTCACCTTGTTATGCATTTTCAGATGCTATTAACATCCTTGTTCTCTAAAGACATCTTTTAAAGCTTGGGCAAATACAGAAGCTGATCCTGCAGATGCTGTTTAAGAATGTGGACCAACCTATAATTAGATTTGACAGACATAACCATATATAGCACCTTCCTCACACCTCAGCTAGCTCTTTGTGTCAGTAGTCTTTATACAAGTATTTATTTGAAAAACTGTCTTGAACTTCTTGCTGGAGGTGCTACATGGGGACGAAGGCAGCCTGAACATATTTTGAAAATCCACTGGAGATTGTGGCTACTGTGAAAATGTGATGTGGTGATCTCCAAAACTATAGCCAACACAGGCAAAGCCTCCTCTTTCCATGACTGTAACCTTGCAGCTGTCTCAGAGTAGCCCAACTCCAAAACAGTTTGTGCAAACCAAAAGCCACAAAAAGTGTATATAGTTTCACACTGTGCTGGTATTAGTGAAATGGTTAGTGAGCTCCAGCTTCTGCCTTTCCTGATGAATACCTGGGTGAGTATGTCTTTGCCATCTTTTTCTGCTTTCTGAACTATTGGACTGTTTCTGCCTTACCTAATGCTTACTGTTTAGGGATTTAGGAAATGTCTTGGTTATTCCACATGGGCTGTCTAGCTGCACAGACTGACTCCAGGGTAGGTTTTACCCTGCCGAAGCAGAGGGCTCTTAGGCTTTAGGAAATAATAAAGAAAGCCTTATTTATTAAGATAATTGTGTTTAATGAAAACTGCTCCTTCGCCCTCCCTCTGCTTGGTGAGAGCTGGGACAGCACTGCCACAACACTGCCCACAGACAAATGTCTGAGCTGACCGTGGAAGAGGTTTGTTTGCAAAGCTATGTATTGTGTGTGATGCTGTTCCTTTCTACATGCTGCATTTAAGAATTTTTGGAGTAAGAAGGAATATATTTAAAGAGGATTTTTCTGCAAAGATTGCCAAGGTAGAAGGAATTCTGATGTAGAAGTTTCTTGCATATTTTCTTGTCTTCTGTGTCCTACTGTGTTCAAGTATTTTTGTCATTACTGTCATCTGATTTGAAGAAAGGGTGGGGCTTATCTGTTTGTGGCTGAGGTGACTGACAGTATTTACTTTCCTGAGTCCTTGTGGGTGGGGACAGAGCACTCCTTCACCGTGGGAAGAGAAGAGAAGTAGAGAAACAGACGGCAGTGCTGTGAGTATTTTCCCAGTTTTGGCAGAAAGCTGTCATTAACACCCATTTTCTCTTTGCAGCATGCAAGGAAACTGCTGTTTTTTCCACTTTTGGTCTGGTTTTAAGTGTAAGGTGAAGTACTCCATACCACACCCACCAGGAAAACACATCAAAGTCTAAACAATACCTGATAGGTGTTGTAGTAGGCTCACTTTCATCAATTATAGCTTCTCTTGACTTGGGGCTTTTATGTAGTAAACAATGCTCTTACATTGTTTCTTTGTCACATTCCGAGTCCATCTGCATTGGGAGTAAGGATATTTCTGAGGTTGCACAGAAAGATTTCTGACAATACAGTGTGTTCACATGGATTTATACATTCATCTTCAATGTCATGTCAGTTTTGTTGTTCTGGATCCTCAGTTACCTGCACAGTTGTTATCTCTGGTGTGTTATTGTTTTCATAGTGCTTCCCTGTCTCCAAAGAATTTTGAGAACTATATTATTCTTACACCAATGAAAAAAAATGGGTCCTGCAGGAAGCTTGTGTAGCTAAGCAGTACAGCTCAAGAAAAATGAAAGGTTTCTTTTTTGAGAAGAAGCAATTTGGTGCTCTATACCTTGTGCTGTATGCCAGCATAAACTGGCATTGTATATTACTTAAAAAGTTTTCTGCAGGTGTCTTGCTTTGAGTCTGGTACCTGTACGCTTGCATGCTGCTGAATACTTCATTCATTCAATGCTTTGGTGTGTTTTTTAAAAAATAGGGTATTAAGTCACCCGTAAAAAGGCCAGAAATCATAACAAAGAAGACTCTAGACATAATTTTTTTATGTCCATGACATTTATTAAATATAATCCACAATAACTTTTAATAGCTTTTTCAATAAATAGTTGTCTTAGGTTGTTGACAAAGTGACAATGAATGAGTTTTCCAAAGAATATTGAGCCCCTAGGGCTTACAGAAAGGATCAAGTGTGATCTTAGAACAGATTTTCTTCCCACTCATATTAAGAACATTTAGTGGTCCCAAAATGGACAA